CAAAAACATATTGGAAGAAATAGTGACAGAAAACTTCCCCCACCTGGTGAAAGAATTAGACTTATAAGTCCTGGAAGCGCACAGAACTCCAAACAAAAGGAATCCAAAGAGGACCACACCAAGACACATCATAATTAAAATTCCAAGAGCAAAAGACAAAGAGAGAATATTAAAAGCAGTAAGAGCAAAGCAGGTAGTTATCTATAAAGGAGCATCTATACGATTGTCAGCTGATTTCTCAACAGAAACCATGCAGGCCAGACGGGAATGGCAAGAAATATTCAAGGTGATGAATAGTAAGAACCTACAGCCAAAGATAATCTACCCAGCAAAGCTATCACTCAGAACGAAGGCCAGATAAAGAGCTTCACTAATAAAAAAAAAGCTAAAGGAGTTTATCACCATCAAACCAGAATTATATGAATTGCTGAAGGGGTTATCGGAAGAGAAAGTAAATAAAGATAAAGATTATGAACAACAAATATGTAACTATCAACAAGTGAATTTAAAAACAAAGGAAATTTTAAAAAATCTGATGAACAATATTAACTGGTGAATATAATAGAATCAGAGGTATGGAAGGGGAGTGAAGTGATGATTCTTGGGGAAAAGGGGAGAGGGGGATGTGGAAAGAGACTGAACATAAACTGTGCACCTATGGATGAGGACAATGGGGGGTGGGGAAAGGGCAGAGAGTGGGATGGGAACCTAGTGGAAGAGAGCAATGGGAGGGCGGGGAGGAACATTTGTAATAATATGAATAATAAAAATTTATTTAAAAAAATGAAATATATAGCTGGCACCTGTTTGGCTCAGTGAATAGAGCGTCGGCTTGTGGACTGAAAGGTCTCGGGTTCGATTCCAGTCAAGGGCATGTACCTTGGTTGCGGGCACATCCCCAGTGGGGGGTGTGCAAGAGGCAGCTGGTCGATGACTCTCTCTCATCGATGTTTCTAACTCTCTGTCCCTCTCTCTTCCTCTCTGTGAAAAATCAATAAAATATATATTTAAAAAAATGAAATATATGATAACTTGATTTATAAAATCAATATAAAAATTAAAAAGATGTAAATCATTTGAAAACCCTGGTCTTGTACAAACCAAAATATCAAATATTGTGCTGTCATTATTTTCTTTTTTAATACATTTTATTGATTTTTTTACAGAGAGGAAGAGAGAGGGATAGAGAGTTAGAAACATCGATGAGAGAGAATCATCAATCAGTTGCCTCCTGCACATCCCCCACTGGGGATGTGACCGCAACCAAGGTACATGCCCTTTGACCGGAATCGCACCTGGGACCTTTCAGTCCACAGGCCCAAGTTCTAGCTACTGAGCCAAACTGGTTTCAGCTTTGCTGCTGTCATTATTTTCCATGGCAAATTTAAAGGCATGGATCATGCTAAACACTCTTATCTTAGAATTAAGGCCTTTTTGTTATCTTGTAACTATAGTAATGAAGCTCATTATATAAGCACACTTTTCAGTGCCCACAAAGAAAATATATACACTGAGTGGCCAGGTTGTTATGCATTCAGAGATCATAATCATCTAGCTACTCAGTGTATATCCTACATAATAAAAGATTAATATGCAAATTGTCCCCTGGACCAGGAGTTTGGCCAGCAGGCCAGCCAGCCAACTGCCCATGTCTCCTCCCCTGGCCAGTCTGGTCAGACTCCACCCATGCACAAATTCATGTACTGGGCCTCAATATATATATATATATATATATATATATATATATATATATATATATAGTGGACAGATTATTATGCATTCAGAGATCATAATAATCTGACCACTCAGTGTCTAGTTTAACAATTCTTTAAGACATTTTTAAAAAAATAAACTTTTTAAAAATATATATTTTTATTGATTTCAGGGAGGAATGGAGAGGGAGAGAGAGACAGAAACATCAATGATGGGAATCATCGATCGGCTGCTTCCTGCACACCCCCACTGGGGATCAAGCCTGCAACCCGGCATGTGCCCTTGACTGGAATTGAACCTGGGACCCTTCAGTCCGCAGGCTGACACTGTATTCACTGAGCCAAATCAGTTAGGGCTCTTTAAGATATTTTAAACTGCTTAAGTGTACTGGTTATTCCTAGAGCACACGCTTACAATGGAATGATTTTTAATAGTTAATCTTTAAAGTTTTCCAAAAGAGAAATAGACAGCAAAAAAAATTGAAAGGGAGCTGCTTCAGAGAAATATGAAATTACCACTCTAAAAATCTAATCAATGATCCCTCTGCAAGGAGAGAAAAGACAGTTTGAATAAAGAAAAACAGAATTTAACACATTCTTGTACATGCACACCCAAAGAATGACATTCCTTTTAAAAACAACTGAAGCACTTGACAATTTAATAAAGTCATACAATTAAAAAGTTAGCATTTATTAATATACAAAGTACTGAAGTGAAACACTGCCTACACTAAACAAACTAACCTCTCTTTTTGACAAACAAGACAGTTTCCTCATGAGGGTTTCTTTCTCTTTTGTTCTGAGGTACCTTTTGAATAAACAATCTTATTCTTGTCAAAAGTTCCCCAAAATGGTCACTGCAATTCTAAATTGTCTCAAGTGAAATTGTGGCAGTTAGGAAGATATGGGTATAAATTAGAGGAACCGTGAGAAAACATGAAGGAAGCAGGTATTTGGCCCAATTTTAGTTGGAACAAGGATCCATAAGGATGCTGCTGTGCCACCTGGTACCTGCAGAACTTGGCCAAAGACCAATTGTCCTTGATCAGGAACCGGAGAAAATGTCCTAAATCTGGGCAGAAGGAATGAAACAAAGCAGTTCTCAGGGACACAATCTCTCTGCCCCTCCCCTCCACCCCCCTCCCCACCCCCACCCCGGCCATTTCTACAATTCTGTTTCTTTTTCCTCCAGCAAACCCCCTACCAGACATGAAGCTGGATAGTTACCTCACACTTCTCACCACCCTTTCATATCAACCATGTGTTTCTATCTCATTTCCTTTTCTCAGGGTCGGGTATCTCACATTAGCTGGGAGTGTAAGACCTTCGCTCTGCATGGAACTCTGCCCTCACCCCTCTACCTGGTCATTGTCAGCGTTAGCTCAGTACCACCTCCGAGACGCCCTCCATAAGGACCTTACCTACTCACTCCCTGATGTCCCAGCACTACTGCCACCTCCCCTGGAGGCCGTCCCCTTAGCCTTGTTTAAAACAGTTAACAGCCTAAAGTGGGAATCACTTGTGCTGAGCCCCACATCAGCAAACCAAGACTTTCAATACCTAACCTGATTGCAACCTCAAGATCTCCCAGGAATGTAATCTTTATTTTAATACATTTTATTGATTTTTTACAGAGAGGAAGGGAGAGGGATAGAGAGTCAGAAACATCAATGAGAGAGAAACATCGTTCAGCTGCCTCTTGCACATCCCCCACTGGGGATGTGCCTGCAACCAAGGTACATGCCCTTGACTGGAATCGAACCTGGGATCCTTCAGTCCGAAGCCAGACTCTCTATCCACTGAGGCAAACGGGTTAGGGTGGGAATGTAATCTTTAACCAGGCAATATGGGATGAGCTGGTCAGCACTAGCGAGATAATACCTCCCCCTCACCCCCTAACACATACACATACACACACACACACACACACACACACACACACACACACACATACTGTCCCTTCCAGACCTCTTGGGAGGCCCATCTTTCAAAAATAAAAAAAAATCTTTGCTAATAATGTCTTTTTTTTTTTTTTGCCCCAGTTTCTGCCTTTGAAAACCTTTGCTTTCCTATAGCTTAGGGAGCTCCTTCCTATTTGCTAGATGGGATGCCCTCTGATTCATGAATGGCTGAATAAAGCCAATTTGATCTTTACATGTTCTCAGCAGGATTTTCATCTTTTAACAGCATTCTTTTTTTTTTTTTAATATATTTTTATTGATTTTGTACAGAAAGGAAGGGAGAGAGATAGTTAGAAACATCGATGAGAGAGAGTCATCGATCACCTGCCTCTTGCACACCTCCCACCTGGGATATGCCTGCAACCAAGGTACATGCCCTTGACCGGAATCGAACCTGGGACCTTTCAGTCCCCCAAGCCGACGCTCTATCCATTGAGCAAAACCGGTTTCGGCAGCATTTTTTAAAAATATATATATTTTATTGATTTTTTTTTACAGAGAGGAGAGAGGGATAGAGAGCTAGAAACGTCGATGAGAGAGAAACATCGACCAGCTGCCTCTTGCACAGCCCCTACTGGGGATGTACATGCCCCTGACCAGAATCGAACCAGGGACCCTTGCAGTCCACAGACAGACGCTCTACCACTGAGCCAAACCGGTTTCGGCTTGACAGCATTCTGTAAGAGCGTCCCTTGGGGTCTGTTTGCAGCTCTCCTCTGCGGGCGGGATACCTCGCCCAGTACCCTGCTCCTCGGGCCTCAGTTTCCCCGTCAGGCTTGGGAATCGCTCTGAGAACGCAAGCCCAACCAAGGCACGGGGATGTCGCTTTCCACCTGAGGCAGGCGGCCCGGCGCCGCCGGGACCTGCTCCCCGGTATCAACGAGGGGCCGCCCCTCACAGCGCCGCCCCCGCCCCGCACAGCGCCGCCCCCGCCCCGCACAGCGCCGCCCCCGCCCCGCACAGCGCCGCCTCCGCTCCGCACAGCGCCGCCCCCGCCCCGCACAGCGCCGCCTCCGCCCCGCACAGCGCCGCCTCCGCCCCGCCCAGCGCCGCTCCCGCCCCGCCCAGCACCGCCTCCGCCCCGCACCGGCCCGGACCAGCCGAAGGCCACTGCGCATGCTCCGCACTCCGGTCGCGCGGGTCCCGGGACGTTGACGCGCCTGCGCACTGCCGGCCGCGCTGCTGGAGGCGCTGGCGCCGGGGCCGCTGGCCGGTGTCTGCGCGGCGGCGTGCGGGCGTGCCGGCCGGGCTGCGCGGCCGCGGGGGTCGGACCGGGGTCCTGAGGGCGCGGAGGGAGCCCACGGCCGCCGCCGCCGCCACCCCCGGCATGTCGGCCGAGGCTTCGGGCCCGGCGGCCGGGGCCCTGTCCCTGGAGGTCCCTAAGCCCTGGGGCCTCGAGCCGGGCGCCGCCGCCGCCCCCGGGCTGCAGCCGCAGACCCCGAACAGCAAGTACGTGAAGCTGAACGTGGGGGGCTCGCTGCACTACACCACGCTGCGCACGCTCACGGGCCAGGACACGCTGCTCAAGGCCATGTTCAGCGGCCGCGCCGAGGTACTCACCGACGCCGGAGGTACCGCACGCCCCTCCCTGTGCCGCCCTCCGCCCGCCGGGCCGCGCCTCCAACGCCGAGCCTCTCATCGCCCGCCCGGGGTCTCCGGTCCCCTCCCTCTCTCACCGCCTCCAGCCAGCTCACTCTCACGCCCTTCCATCCCCACATCCCAGCTCCTCTCCCCTTTTTCCTCCATCATCTTCCTCCTCCCCCAGTCCTGACGCCCACTAGGCAACAACCCACACTAGGAAACAACCCTCTCTGCAACGCTGTGGCCAGGGATTTAACGTGTCACTTCAGAATTTTCATTCCCACTCCCACCCAGTGCTCCCACCCTTAACTCCCCGGCTCAAAAACCCTGGGAACCAGCAGCATCCGTCCAGGCAACCTTCTTCCCAGCTGCCAGCCTTTTGTTCCTCTGTCTTAGCGCTGCTAGCAGCCAGCCTGCAGAGTTGGAAGACCTTGTCTGTGTCTGCTTCCCCTGATGCACTCTAAGGCACCCCTGCAAGTGCAGGGTGTAGGAGAGGCTGCGTGTGGTTTGCCTGGGACGCCGGAGCGGCGGGTGGAGGGTTCCCTGGCAGGTAAACCTTACCTTCTCGGAGTGGTGCATTCAGGTTTGGGCCTCACAGGCCCCGGTGGAATCTCACAGTGTTGGAGAGGGGGACCCAGGAGGTGTTAACAAAGATTGTGAGAGCAGGAAAGGAAACATTTGGGAGTGGAGCTCAGTCTTCAACTGTCTGAAGGTGAAGAAGTTACTTATTCAGTATTTGTGAAGGGCCAGTTCGTACTGGAGGTGCTTTGTTTGGATAATGGATCTGAGCAGGATTAGGCTTATTGAGTTTACTTTTTTATGGGATCCGGGGAGAACAGTACACAAACATACCAATAAAAAGAGGCATATGCCCTGGCGGATGGCTCTGTTGATTGGAGTGTTGTCCTGAGCCACAAAAGATTGTGGGTTCCATTCCTGGTCAGGGCCCATACCTGGATTGAGGGTTTGATCCCCAATCCTTGGCGTGCAGGAGGCAGCCGATCAATGATTCTCATCATTGATGTTCGTGCATGCCTGGCGAGGGGGAGGGGACATGGGCAGGTGGCCAGCCTGCCTGTTGGTCGAACTCCTGGTCAAGGGGACAATTTGCATATTATGCTTTTATTATTTAGGATATATACTGAGTGGCCAGATTATTATGCGTTCAGAGATCATAATAATCTGACCACTCAGTGTATATGTGTGTGTGTGTGTGTGTGTGTGTGTATGTGTATCCTACATAATAAAAGCCTAATATACTAAGTGTCCAGTCGACCAGTCATCTGTTCAACCAAACAAAGCATAATATGCTAATGATATGCTAAGGTCGCTCACCCGCTCGCTATGACATGCACTGACCACCATGAGGCAGAGGCTCCGACCATCAGGTTAGCTTGCTGCTGGGGTCTGGTAAATTGGGACTGAGCAAGATGGGCCAAACACGCTTTGGAGCCCTGCTGCAGTCCCTCCCTGGCTGGTAACCTCCCTCGTCTCTCCCCTGCCTTATGCACCCGTGGGGTCCCTCAGTCTGGCCTGCACCCTTTTGCAATCTGGGACCCCTTAGAGGATGTTGGAGAGCTGGTTTCAGCCAGGTCCCGTAGGCCAGGCCGAAGGACCCCACTGGTGCACAAATATATATATGGGGGTGCCATGGAAATACTCACTGGACATGTTTTAATGGTATTTCCTTGGATGACAGAGGTTTGAGAAAATTCAGATTTGTAGCTTTGGAATCCCTTTTTCATAAAAGTTAGTAGCTTTAGGGCCCCCAGAAAGCCATCCTTCTCTTTCTTCTCCCTATCCCTCCAGGCTGGGTGCTGATTGACCGGAGCGGCCGCCACTTTGGTACAATCCTCAACTACCTTCGGGATGGGTCTGTGCCACTGCCTGAAAGTGCCAGAGAACTGGGGGAGCTGCTAGGGGAAGCACGCTACTACCTGGTCCAGGGCCTGATTGAGGACTGCCAGCTGGCACTGCAGGTGAGGGTCCTTCCCCCACCTCCTGAGTTCCCCCCTGTGCCATGACCCTGGCGAGCTGATCAAGTAGTTAGATATAAGGGCATTAGAAACAATAAAAGGAAATGTGGGCTACTAAATGTGAGGCTGCCTCTGCCTGGCTTTAAGTAGCCATGACCCCAGAAAGTTTGGGGGTGCTATCTTCTGCATCCCTGCTGTTTTAGGCAGGGCCCCTCTCAACATCTCATGCCAGGACTATTGCAATGGTTAAATGATTGCTCTCTCTGCTTCTCTCTGTTTCTACCCAGCCAAACCAGCTGTTACCTTATCACCCGATTAATTATCCTCAAAAATAATCGCAATCTAGTCTCCCCTTTGCCCAGAAATCAAGTCATAAATAACTCTTGTGTGCCACTAGGGAAAAAATCTAAACTTAAACTGGAATGTAGTGACTTCCATAATCTGATTCTATCCTGGCAGGCAAGACCCCACCCCCAGGGGCTTTAAAAAATTTTTTTCTGATAGAAGGTTTGGGGGTTCCAGAGCCCTACCTGCTGTGCTTCATTTCTGTGGATCTCAGGGTTCTGAGGAGCAGCTATTGGGAAGCACAGCCAGGACATAGGGGTTAAGTGTCACCTCCACTATAGTTGACTGGCTGGTCTTGAGTGAGTCACTTTCTACTTGGCATTCTGTCCTCATGTTCCAAAAGATAGGGAAGTGAGAAAAATATGTACAGTGTAGTGAGTTTTACATAAAGCCCTTTATTCTGTCCCATTTTTACAATGTTAAAACATCCTTTCTTTTATGATACAATATTAATGGAGACTATGAGGGTTTCTTTTTTGATGTTCTTTGTATATTAAAAAGTGGCAGATATAAACAAGTGTCTGTTCCCTTGGGAAATACTTATTCTTGGTATCCAAAGTATAGAAGTTCTTTGGGTTGTATCCATATTTTTCAAACTTTGTGTCTGCATCCCATAGAAAAAATGCATTTCATATTCATAACTGAAATAAGAGTTTTATAAAATGATACTTCCAGTGAAACATTCTGAAATATTATTTTCTTCCTTTCCTTTAATGCTCTTTGAGACCCATTAAGCTTATTTCAGGACCCATTAATGGGTAACCACTTGCAGTTTGCATGGGATGATCTTGGAAGTGCATTCCTGAGCTATAGTTTTACATTTGTCTAATGTTATCTCACACCCACTCCTGAAGCTAATGTTTATCTAGTGTTATCCACACCCACATACTCACTCCTGTGTGTCTGGAGTGATTCTGCTATCTGCTTGTATGTTCATCTTGTACCCCTGTTTGACTTTTTTTTTTTTTTTTAAGAGGAAGTTTAAGAGGGATGCATCCAAGATCAAAGAGCCAGTAAGCAGCTAGGCTCACATTCAGCCCAGGTTATCTGACTTCCAAGTACAGTGCTTTTTCTTCTGTGCTCCAACTACCTCCCTTCCAGGTTTCCCTGAGACCATTCCCACCCTTGCTTGTTTGGAGATTTTTATTTTTGTTTTGAAGACTTTTGGACAGAATGTTGAGTCCATCGTACTCCTCAGCGTGTGGCACTTAATCATCATCGGTCTATGCAAATCTTTTCATTTTATTTATTTTTATTTCCAAACCCCTGTCCTCTTCCCTTTTCTCCTCAGGAACTCCACCATATGCTTGGATTATGTTTGTTCCCTTGAAAAGCTAAAGCATTATTTTGTATGTATTTAAGTTTCTATAAATGGCATTTGAGTTATGGATCGTGTGTTTTGTTTCTTAATTCAGTACTTATTCAAGATTTATTCATGCTGCTCCATGTTCATTTAGTTCTTTGCTTTTAACTATTGCACAGGAATCTACGATATGCATTCACCATATTTTATGTATGCATTCCCCTGAGGTTAGAGACCTACAGGGACTCCCCACTTTCTGCCCCCACCAAATGGTGCCACCGTGACCATCTTCATACATATGTCCTTGTGGGTCCTGGGCCAGGGTTTCTTATGATTGTAGCTGGGAGTGGAATTGGTGGGTCACAGGACACATACCAAAAAATTTCATCGGTGTCATCAGATTACTCTCCCGAACGGCTGCAGCACTTTACACTCTTGTTCAGCAGCGCATAAGGGATCTAGTTTCTGCATATTCTTGACAGCACATAGCATGAGCCAGTGTTCTAATTTTGCCAATCTGATTCGTATAGAGTGATCTCATTTTAATTTGCATTCCTCTCATTACTAATGAGATCTCTTTATATACTAGCTTTTTTGATTTCCCCTTGTGTTCATACTCTTGTTATTTTTCCATGTGTTTATTGATTTTTAGAGAGAAGGGAGAGAGAAAGAAACATCCATCAGTTTCCTCCCATACAAGCCCCAGTCTGCCCAAGTGGGATGGGACCTGCAATCTAGGTATGCGCCTGACTGGGAATCAAACCCTCAACTTTTTGGTGTATGGGACGACGCTCAACCAACTGAGCTGCCTATTCATATTCTTTACCAAAGTTTCTTCTGAATTTTTAAAAAAATCTTTTTCTTGGCCTGCCATGTTGCTCAGTGGTTGAGCATCAACACATGAATCAAGAGGTCACAGTTTGATTCCTGGTCAGGGCACATGTCCCCATTGTGGTTCAATCCCCAGTAGGGGGCATGCAGGAGGCAACTGATTGAGGATCTTTCTCTCTACCCCACTCTGTCTCTCTAAAAATCAATAAATATATTTTAAAACATTTAAAAATATATTTTTCTTGTTGCTTTACAGAAATCCTTGCATAATTTAGCTTAGTTCCTATGGAGAATTAAGGCCTATTTCCCTAAGGCATGTGTTATGCATAATAAATTTACTGTTCTCCTATGCATCTAGAATGGTACTACTTACCTACCCTCCTTGGGAAAGTTCAGAAAATAGTTATTCAGATTATTTGCTAGGTTTTCAGATGTAGGAGAGGAACCCCATCTGAAGAAGTTTGGTTTTGATAATAATTTCTAGTCAGTTTCAGATGTTGCCAGCATTTTCTCCTAGAATGTCACTTGCCTATAGCAGCTATTGTTGAATGGAAATACTTGGACTTTTTAAAAATTGTAAATAACCATTTATTATTCTTAAAGCAGTATGTATATGTTTAGAAAACACAGATAATTAAAAATACAAAGTATCAAATGTCCTTCCAGGGGTGTGTGTGTGTGTTTGCCAAAATACAATCACACTGTATGTGCTGTTTGTAATCTGCTTTGTTTGTTAATAATTGCCATCTTTCCATGTCAATAAAATTTTATACAATATCCAGGGCATACAAACATTCTAGAAATGTCTTTTATAGCTCATTCATCTAAACAAGGAACCAGTCTAGATCCTTGCACCATCTCTGCTTATTATGTTCTTCAAGGTTCTTCCAACCCAGTCCCTTTTTTCTCACGATGCTGACTTGTAAAAGACCACCAGTTGTCCTGCACAATGACCCAATTTCCACATTTGCCTGGTTGTTTACTTGTGGTATCATCTGTAACCCACCCCATTCTGAGTTTTCTATAAACTACATGATAGATATAAAGGCTTGATATTAAACATTTTGGTTAGAATACATTTTAGGTAATTTTATATTTTTCATATTGTTTGTATTGAGGGATCCATACTATTGCTAATGTGGCTCCTCATTAGTGATGCTCAGAATTAGCCCCTTGACTCAGATGATGTTGGTGTGATCCTTCCATTGTAGTTACATTCCCTTGTTGCCAACTATAAAGTAATCTGTATGATGTTATTTGGCAATATATGAATGGCAATTACCTATCAACCACATACCAAATGGTAACCCTTACCTGAGTCAGTAATTTCATTGGAGTTGTAGAATAATTATAATTCTATCATACCATCAACATTATTAAGTGTGGTTATTTGTAAGGTTTCCATTGTCAACCAGAGAAATTCTGAATTTAATAAGTTTTTTTCCATTCTGCATTTTAAAAACAGCTTTATATTTTTATCTTTTATATGTGGATCTTTTCATCTAAACGGAATTCACTGTTGTAAATATGAATTATGAAGGGATTTAACTCTTTTTTGTCCTCCTTATAGTAAACTAGTTCTCCTAATACCATTTATTAAACAGTTTGTGCTAGTCAGTGTCCAAAATGGCCACCAAGCTCAGTTGGCATGGTTCAGTGGTTAAGCGTGGACTTAACCAGAAGGTCACAGTTCAGTTCCCTGTCAGGGCACATGACTGGATTGTGGGCTCGATCCCCAATAGGGGGCGTGCAGGAGGCAGCCAATCAATGATCCTCTCTCATCATTGATGTTTCTATCTCTCCCTCTCTCTTGCTTTCTGAAATCAATAAAAAAAAATTTAAAACAAAAAAAAAATGGCCACCAAAATTGTCCAGAATTCTTGCCTCCTGTTTATTCTGGCTCATGTTTAATGTTTAATCCCCTCTCACACCGAATAGGGCAAACCTATGTAACCAATAGGATATTGCAGAAATGATACCGTGTGACTTTTAAAGCTAGGTCATAACTGATATTGCTGTTTCTGCCCTTCCCTGGGATCACTCATTCTGAGGGAAGCCAGCTGCTATGTGAGGATTCTCACGCCAGCCCTAGCTTGGTGAGGGACTGAAGCTTCCTGCCCACAGCCAGCACAAACTCCCACTCATATGGGTGAACAGTCTCAGAAGTGGATCCTTGATGCCATTCAGTCTTCAGTAACTACAGCCCTGGCCAACATCTGGACTCCAACTTCATAAAAGACCATGGTCCAAGACCACCTAGCTAATCTAGTCTCGGTTCCCAACTTCCAGAAACTGAGATAATAAATGTTTGTTTTAAGCCAGTAAGTTTGAAGTAATTTGTTGCCCAGCAATAGATTACAGATTTTGATATCTGGAGTGGCATTCTGCCATAACAAAAACTTTAAATGTGGGCATGGCTTTAGACCTGGGAAGTGGGCAGAAGCTGGAAGGACTTTGAAGAGTGTTAAAAGCCTAAATAGTTTAAAGAGTGCGTTTATAGGAGTCTGATGACCTGTTAGGAGGCTGCAGTGAGGAAAATGTTACTGTTCTGTGGTGGCAGGAGTTTAGCAACACTGTCTCCCAGGAATGTGGAGGGTAGACACTTACCTGATGAACGGGGTGACCTAGCTAAAGAGATTTCCAGACTGTTTCTGGTTGCTTACAGTAAAATAAAAGAGGAGAGGGTAAGCTAAAAGTAAAACAGTTGAACAACAAGGAGCTGAGTTTGGCTCAGTGGATAAAGTGTCAGCCTGTGGACTCAAGGGTCCCAGGTTCAATTCCAGTCAAGGGCACATGCCAGGGTTTCGGGCTTAATCCCTGGGAGGGGGCGTGTAGAAGGCAGCTGATCAATAATTCTCTGTCATCATTGATGTTTCTATTTCTCTCCCTCTCTGAAATCAAGATAGATATAACAAAGCAAAACAACAATAGCTTGTAGGCCAAGAGCAAATACAGAGTATTTTCAGTAAAACTTGGTCTAAAGAAGAAGATGTGGATGCAATTGTAAAGTCTTTTAAAATCTCAAAAATATCCAAGAAGATATCTCAGAGAATCATTCAATCAAATAATAGTGCATCAATAAAATAATAGTGCATTCAATCAAATAATAGCTTAAAGATGCCCCTCAGGAGTCTTGTTTAAGCCCAAAGTAGAGAAGAGCTTATTTCACAGAGATTTGTATACGTGGCTTTTGCCTAGTGAAATGAACCCCAAGACACAAGATACCCAATAAATTTTAAGAGAATTCTTTTGGCAAAAGCCCCGAGAGGCACAGAGATGGTGCAGGAGGAAAAGAGGCCTTTAGAACCCCAAATTCTGCCGGCAGGAAGTGACTGAAGAAACGAGCTGCGAGCAGGGACTGGCATGGAAAAGGAAGGACAACTCAGGGCAGAACCAAACCTACCCAGAACCATTTGGGGTAAGAGCAGGCATCAGAGAACTCCCAACGTTTGTCCCGCTGGATTAAGAATTTTTGGGAAGCAGTGACTTCTAGGTGCCTCCTGTCCCCTGCCCTGCCTTTTTGAACAAGAGCGCCCCAGTTTGTATCTTTATGTCTGACCCACCATTGTGTATTGGGTGTTTGGAAAAGAGACGACTTGTCTCGAGGTCACAGGTCTTCAGACCAAGAGCAAATGAATTTAAGGAGCTATAGTTAAGGAACTACATCCAAGGTGCCTTCCCCCACCTGGACCTGATTCAGATGACAAGATTCTGTACTTCAAGCCGGTGGCTGTAAAGAGATGAAACTGGGGGAATCACTGGAAGCCATAAACGTGTTTTGCATATGGGAGGGATTTGAATCCATGGAAGCCGGCCTCTAAGGCAGTCCCCAATGATCTTATTTTCAGAATTCATTCTCTTGTGTAGTTTCCTCCCACACTGAATAGGTCTGACAAAACTGTCATAAAAGACATTCAGGTCTCCACCTTGCTTCCCCTGGAATTGCTTGCTTTGGAGAATGTTATAAGGGCACTCAAGAAACTCCGTGGAGAAGTCCAAGGGACAGAGATCAGATATGTCCTGCCAATAACCAGCATGAACTTGACAGCCATATGAACAAGCTTTCTCAGAAATAAATCCTCCAGACTCTGTCATGCCTTCAGATTACTGCAGCCCCAGCTGACTGACTGCAACCTCAGGAGAGTCCTGAATTCCTGAACCACAGAAACTGAGAAATGTTAATTGTTGATTTAAACTGTTAAATTTTGGAACAGTTTGTTACACAGCAATAATCAATACACACACCATACTTTCCCATTGATTTGCGGTATCGTTTTGTAAATATCAGTTCTCATATATACATTAGTCTGTTTCCAGTCTCTCTATTGTGTTCCATTGTTTTGTTTGTTTCTGCACCAAAACAACACTTTCATTATTATGACTTCGAAGGATATTTAAATATCTGGCACTTTTTTTTAAATTAACTTAAATAATAGTAGACTTTTATTCCATATTAACTTTAGAAAAAGTTTTATGAGTGTCTCAAAATTTTTTTTTAAATTTGTGTTAGAATTGCACACCTAGTTTATAGGTCAGGAGAGGTGAGATGATTCTAGAAGACAGAAAAAAGGAGAGAAGCCTTTGTGTATGGTTCTGATCTGCCTCCAGCCTCTCACCCAGCCAGATTCATTAATTTCTCAGATACTTACTGAGCGTCTATTGTACACTGTCGCTTACCACCTACATGGGAAGAGACAGATCATTAGCAAAAAAGACTAAAAACTGAGAAAATGTGAGGAACTGAGTGCAGTGAAGTAAGTGACCTGATACTGTGAAGAGGAAGTAGAGGAGCTTAGGGAGGGGGACCAGCACCCTGAGTGGCACTATTTGAGTTGAGATCTGAATGATGTGGAGGAGCCAGCCACGGAAACTTAGTGCAAAGGGTTAGGTGGGCACAAACCGGATGTGCCACCCAGCAAGCCGTTGGTGGGATTGAAGCCCAGCAAGCAGGGGAGAGAGGTAGGGACACGATCAGAGATGCCAGATGCTGCAGTCTTATGGACAACTGAGTCTGGATTTCCCCCCAAAAGGTGGCAAGTAGCTTTTGATGACTTTTAAGTGGGTAAGTGAGTGACCTTTGGTTGTGCTGTTAACCACCTTCCGCTTCTTCTCCAGCAAAAAAGGGAGACCCTGTCCCAGCTGTGCCTCGTCCCCATGGTGACATCTCCCCAGGAGGAGCAGCAGCTCCTGGCCAGCACCTCCAAGGTGAGGCCCTGAGTCCTTAGGGTGGAGGTTGGGCCTCTCCCTGCAGCCTGAGCCCCACCCTTCTCCATCCTCTCTCCCCCGACAGCCCGTGGTGAAGCTCCTGCACAACCGCAGTAACAACAAGTACTCCTACACCAGGTGACTGCCATGGGGCTAGGGAGGTGCACTGGGTGGAACCCTGGGCTCAAGACAGCTCTGCTCCTGGCCCAAGGGGAGGGCTGTGGCCACACAGAAGGACAAAAGGAGTGCCTGCCTGAACGGGAATTCCAGCTCTGCCACTTACCCACTGGGGACCTCGGACAGGTCATTTTCACTTCTGAGCTTTAGTTTTATCAGTAAACGGGTTTTGGTGAGGATTTGATGATAATGACTAGCATTTACTAAATGCTTATGTTACAACAAGCATTATTCTAATGCTTTACATATTTTAATACATAATCCTCACAATTGTTTGAAGGAGGTATTGTGATTTCCATCTCCTAAGGAAATTGAGGCACTGAGAGGTGAAGTAATTTGCCTGGTTTCACCCAGTTAAAAAGTGGTGGAGCTAGGATGCCAGGTGACGCAGCCTGACTCCAGAGACTGCACAGGTAGCCACTCTGCTGTGCTGGGATTTGCTCAGCAAATGCTGCTTCCTTGCAGAGGCCTGGTTGGCCTGGCCCCAGGGGTGGAGAAAGGTCCCTGCTGGGCACCAGACCCCTGGGCAGGACCCTTGCTGGGGGGAACAGAGGGTGGGAAGCCACTTGTGCTGAGGCCGCCTGGCCCCTGGTCTTCAGCACTTCAGATGACAACCTACTTAAGAACATCGAGCTGTTTGACAAGCTGGCCCTGCGCTTCCATGGGCGGCTGCTCTTCCTCAAGGATGTCCTGGGGGACGAGATCTGCTGCTGGTCCTTCTACGGGCAGGGCCGCAAAATCGCCGAGGTGTGCTGCACCTCCATTGTCTATGCCACGGAGAAGAAGCAGACCAAGGTCAGGAGGGGTTCAGGGCCTGGCCAGGGAGGGCTGTGGCGGTTGGCAGGACCAGGATCCTGGACAAAGGCAGCTGAGCAGATCAGGCAGGGGGGATCTATCACTGAGAGTCAGGATCCAAGTTCTGGTGTCTTAACTGTGTAAGTCATGATATGCCATCTAGCTTCTGACAGTCTTCTCAGCCTGGGCTCTTCTGACCTTCAGGAGGAATGTGCCTCAGATGCACCAGAATCTTGAAAGTCTCTACGTACCAAATGCTATTTCATGCTCCCCAACTTTGCACACATTATTCCTTTTTGTAGTTAATCCTCACCCTAGGACATTTTTCCCCCATTGGCTTTTAGACAGAGTGGAAGGTGGAGAGGGGAGGGGCGGGATAAACATTGATTGGTTTTATCCTGCACGTGCCCCAAGTGGGGCTGGGGATCAAACCTGCAACCCAAGTACATGCCTTTGATCAGCAATTTAACCCATTACCCTTTCAGTGCTCAGCTGATGCTCTAACCACTTAGAAACACTAGCCAAGGTTACATTATTCCTTTTTCTTGGGATTATTTTTCCTCATCACTATCTGCATGATGAATTTGTACTTAATCTTTAAGACCCAAATCAAACATCACTTTATTTGAGACACCTTCAATCATGAACGTTCACCCTAACAATCCCAGACAAAGTCGGTCATTCTTCTTCCTTAGCTAAATAAGCTGGGGGTGCTGAGGGTGGTGCGGGGGAGTTACTTCAGTAGTAAGGTGTTAGCTCCTTGAGAGCAGGGCTGTATATTTCCCCCCCCCCCCCCATTTCTCTAGCTCTAGTGGAGGCTCAAAGAAGAGTCACACAGTGGAAGCTAGGAAACATTTATTGAATGCGTGAATGAATGACCCAGCTCTAAGAAGCTTCCTCTGTTATTGGGAAGACAAGAAGATAAATCAATAATTAGAAGGTAGCTCGTTAAGAGTTACGTTAGTCATATTCCTCCAAGACACACCAAGGGGAACCTCCAGTCACCTCTTTGTTTCATCCCTCTCTGCTTCATCACTCTGTATTGTACTCTCTGCGTTGGCCTTGCTGCTGATGTTCAAATCATACCCTAAACCCACTCCTGTGCCAGAGCTTTTACACTGCTGTTGCCTCTTCCCAGACTGCTCTCCCTCTAGTTACCCACCTGGGTCCCTCCCTCTTCTCCTTTGGCCATTGGTCAGCATCATCATCTCAGTGAGGCCTTCTCTGAATAACCTCTGAGAACATTCCTGGCCATGACTATCCCCTCCCCATTTCCTGCTATGGGTCTCCCCCTCCGCCATAACATTTGTGATCATCTGACAGTTTGTATTTTGTTAAATGTATGTCTGGGTTCTCCCCCTGGACTGTAAACTTCCTGTGGATAGGAACTTTGTTTTGTTCGTTGCTATGTTCCCAATGTCTAGAACGACACCTGGTAAAGTGCACTTATTCAATAATGTTTGTCTAATCAAAGAATACACCAAGAGACCTAGGAGCAAGGCAGAGGAAATAAATAACTGCCCGACTTCAGAGCTGGACCTTGAAGTATAAGTGTGACTTCACTGAGTTAAGAAGTTGCAAAGAGGACAGTCCAGCCAAAGTACCAAAGACTAGGAGATGTGCCAGTGCAGAGGAGCTGGGGGAAAGGAGTCGATGTGGCTGGACCAGAGGATGGGAGCTGGGGGTTGCTCGCCTTTTACAGGTGGAATTCCCAGAGGCCCGGATCTTTGAGGAGACCCTGAACATCCTGATCTACGAGACTCCCCGGGGTCCAGACCCAGCCCTCCTGGAGGCCACAGGGGGTGTAGCTGGAGGTGGTGGGGTGGCCCGAGGGGAGGATGAGGAGAACCGAGAGCATCGTGTCCGCAGGATCCATGTCCGGCGCCACATCACCCATGACGAGCGTCCTCATGGCCAACAGATTGTCTTCAAAGACTGACCTTGACCTTTCTCCTTGTTTTTCTTCTGCCACTGGGACCCAGCCCCTTTCTTTTCCTCCCCTTCCCCTACCTTTGCCCCGGCTTTGCTGGCCAAGTCGTGGGGCTCCCTTCTGCCCTTTATTGCATGGTACTTTCACTTTGGCCCTTTTCCATTCATCCTCACTTCCTTGCTAATAACACGGTACATTCCCGCCCCTTCCCTCAGTCAGAGCCCTTCAGAAGGCCTACATTCATTCCCTTATCACCACTCTTGCCCTGCTATTTCCCCTTACCAGCTGGTTTAAAATGATTTAGAGTTCCCAGCCGGGACCGGTTTGGCTCAATGGATAGAGCGTCGGCTTGGGGACTGAAGGGTCCCGGGTTCGATTCCGGTCAAGGGCATATACCTTGGTTGCGGGCATATCCCCAGTAGGGGGTGTGCAAGAGGCAGCTGATCGATGACTCTCTCTCATCGATGTTTCTAACTCTCTATCTCTCTCCCTTCCTCTCTGTACAAAATCAATAAAATATATTTAAAAAAAAAAAAAAAAAAAAAAAAAAAAAAAAAAAAAAAAAAAAAAAAAAAAATAAAATGATTTAGAGTTCTCTTTCTCTTTTTTTAGTACATTGTACATGCCAAAATGTCAAGCCAGCCCTTAATAACACCCTCCACATTCTGAGCTGCCTCCCAACCATTGTGCAGGATAGTTTGCTTCCTCTTTCCCTTTCTGTTCTCCCTACCTCTTTAACTTTGTATTAGGCTGGCCTGGGCCTGCACCAGCTCAGCTGTCTTCCCAGTCTGTTTCATATTATTTATTATTTTAATTTTCTATTAAATTATTGAAATAAAGTTGAATTGAGGATTTGATGCTAACTCCCAGGGTGATGGCGAGGGAGATGGCTTATGTTGAGGGGGTTCCCTGCTAGCCAGATGGGAAGACATGCACCCCTGCTGTGGGGCTGGTAGCTGGGAAGAAAGGAGTCAGGAGTGAAAAGAGAATTTAAGATCTGTATTTCGATGTTTCACTAGCAAGTTCCCACCCTCAGCCCCATCCCACCTCCTGCATCGGAGAGGAGGTCCTGGCTACCGTGCAGCCACCCCTGAGTGCAGCATCTCTCCAGCCCAGATGTCCGAGGGCAGCGCCTTCCTTCAAGGGTCTGGTGCAAAGACAAAGTCGAGGGCCTGGCGCTCAGCTCCCGCCACGTTGGGATGCCAAAGGTCCACGATGAAGACCACTCGAGGGCCATCTTCAGGGGAGCCTAGGGCACATGGGAATCGAGGCAGGAGAGCAGCTGACATGAAGTACTTAAAGGCCAGAGCACTCGCCAAGTAATCAAAAAAGCGAACACTGTAAGTAAACGCCAGGCACTGTTCATTATGTGCATTAACTGTTAATCACTAAACAGACTCTGAGCTAGTTCCATAGTTATTCCTATTTTATACAAAGCAACAGGCACAAGGAGGTTAAATGAGTTGCCCGAGTTCATGCAGCTAGTACGTGCCAGAGGTATGTGCTGTATGAAAGGAGAGAAGGTTAGCACTCCCCTTGACAAGGGTGGAGGAGGCCCTCGGGCCTGACAACATGCCTGTAGATAAGATATCGCCACCTACTTGGTGGCATCTAACCATGTAAGTGCCAGAGGAGCACAGGAACCCAGATCCAGGCCCAGCGTCTTGTGCTATTAATGTATATTGCACCTACATTAGTTTATTTAATCCTTCAGTCACCTGAACAAAGCAGTTTCCCCATTTCACAGGTGACTGGAAATTATGACTTGTTCAAAGTTATGCAGCTAGAAAATGGTGGTACTGGAATAGCAAGCCAGTGGGGCTGAGTCTGCAGCCTCTCCTCCGTTCCCCTTCACTCTTAGTTCCTCATCCCTTCTAGCAGAATGGGACCCCATTACCGTTGTGAGCCACTGTGTGCAGGAAGGAGTCATCCACCAGTAGACAGTGCCCCTCAGCCCAGCACTGGGGCTCGCCTCCAACCACCAGCTCACAGCCCAGGGGGATCTTCAGACCTGTGGGAAAGACCCAGGCATCCAGCATTCCAGCCTCTACGGGAGGAGCCATCCCATTCAGGCCAAAAGCAGACTAAGGATCTAAAGCACCAGATTCTGTGGCGGTTCCTCTTGCTCTCCGGAAGGTGACTGGAATATAATAATAAAACAACTAGAGGCCCAATGCACAAAAATTCATGCAAGAATAGGCCTTTTCCCCCCGGTCTGCTGGCACCAGCTTCCCTGTAGCACCCGGGAACTGGGCTGGCTTCCCTCAGGCCCCCCACAGACACGCAGGGCCCTGCTGGCTTCCCTTGGGCCCCGGCTTCATCAGGAAGGACATCTGGAAGATACCTGGTCTAATTAGCATATTACCCTTTTATTAATATAAACACTGGCTGAAAGAAGTACTGGGAGATAAGGGAAATGCAGTGCAAAGCACAATCTATTCTGCTGTAGAGAGAAGGGAAGGCTTCCTGGAAGAAGTGGCATCTCCTCCCGGGCTTCCTGACAACTCCAGAACCTATTGTGTGCTGGGCCTTCCCTTCCTGTGAGATAAAACTAATGACTTCATCCTTGCCCAGGGACCACACAGTAGAGGGCTGAGCAGCCACTTCAAATGATGAGGAACAAGAAGACATCCCCGAGGAGGTGTGGTAACACTTGAAAATATGAGTCCTAAAGACTAAGTACGAGTTTTCCAGGAGGTGATAAAATGATAAAGGTAAAGACATTTTAGGTTAAGGGTACAGCGTGAATGTGGTATCTGCCAGGATTAGCCAGAAGGCCTTTATTTTTGAAAGCATGATGGGAGAAAAGGCAAGGAAGGGAACAGATGGGAGGCCAGGAGAGAAAGGATCTAGACTTGATTCTGAAGTGAGTGTGCTTCAAAGTGGAGGAGACACCCATCTGGTAGCACAATAAGATCATGGAATTAAATAACCAGAAACTCGTTTTCCTTTCCATTTTCTCAGTCTTTAAAACACCAAAAAGAGCATCTCACGTTTGGTGCTACCATGACATTAACACCCTACTAACATTGCTCCCTTCTAAGTGAAGAGAGTATAGGATTGCATCTCAGAGAGACGAGTATTTATCCAAAATTTGGAAAGCCTTTTTTGAAGTTTAAATTTGCTTTTATGATTACTTTCTATTTAGAACAAGTAATAATGATTATCATTGTTTTATAAACATTCCTTTTAAGTAAAACAAAATATGGGGAAGTCCATATGAAGAAATATAGTTCAGGTGGTAAAGGACTATGGCAAAGCTTATGAAGGTAGTCTGCTGAGGGCAGCAGTTGTAGTGGAAGATTTCTGAGAAGAGGCATGAGCAGAACCACAGTGTAGAAAGCTCTGGTGGCAGAGGAGAAGCAAGGAGGTTGTCTGCAGGCATCATCTACTTACCCAGATGGCATCTGACCCGGGCATTGGTGGGCCCACAGCGGCCTTCCAGCCGGGCCCCCGGAAGAAGGACAGAAAAGCCAGCATTGCCGAAGGAGTTGGCACTCATGAAGCTCCGCAGCCCTCTCAGAGCCCGATAGGCCCCAGGGCACCGGCGGCAGTTGTTGGGCTGGCACCGGCCTGCTTGGTACAGCAGGAGCTGGTAGCACCCAGGAGCCAGTGGTGGGGACCAGCCCCGAGGCAGAGGGGTAGTTCCTGAGAAATCCCAGCTCACAGCCCCAAAGTCCCGCAAAATAGCAGGGAAGCTGCTTTCCAGGAGCTCCACATCATGTCGCTGGGCATCCCGGGGCACAAAGGGCACAGAGGGCAAATTTGGCAAGAAAAGCAGGCCCGGGCGCTGAATGCCCAGGACCCCTGGCCCTCCCCCAGGGCCTGGGCCACCCTGAGCTGCCCGCCTCACCCTACCCATCCCTGCCCAGGAGTAGCGCCTGGCGTAGGCCCGAAGGCGGCGGCTCACTAGACCTTCTGCCCTGGGTCCTTCCCCAGGCTCCCCAGAGCTCCCTGGACTCGGCCTGCCAACCTCAGAGCATCCCCCAGGCCCACCCCTGACACCGCCAGCCTGACCCCCAACTGCCAGGGCCTGCAGGTCCTGGGAGCCTAAGTAGTAGCAGTACCAGAGGAAAAGGGAAGTGAGGGCTCCGAGCAGCAGGGTGAAGGCTGAGGAGACCAGGGGCAAAGGCCACGTGGACATGATGGGCAGGGAGGCCATGGCCAAGAGGCCTGGGGCATCTTCCAGACCCCAGTTCCCCTGCCCCCCCAGTTCTTCCTCCATGGCTACTCCCTGGTTCCCTCCGGGGCTGTTTCCCTTCCACATTGCCACTCTGTTCTCCCTCCTTCTGAAGTCTTTTCTCCACCTTGTATCTCCCTCTTCCCTCCTCCCTTATGTACCTTTAACCCTTTCCCCTTCCTTGTCTTCTGCCTCTCTCCCCACTCTCTTACCTCTCCTTCCGGCACTTTCCTCTCTCAGCCTCCGCCTCTCCTTTCCCCACCTCCCGTCTCCCCCTCTCCTTCCTTCTCGCCTCCCTCCACCCCCCTCTCCGCCCCTTCCCTTCTGGCTTCCCTGGACAGCAGTTCGTACCCCAGCTGGACCCGCAGCCCTGGGGACCGGAACCTGCAACCAGTCGTCCTCCGTCCTCCGCAGTGGCTTCTCTCCTCTCCCCCCCCTCTCTCCTCCAGCCCTCTAATCTCCTTCCACCCGGCCGGCGGTTCTCTCCCTCTCGCTCTCGCGCTCTCGCTCTTTCTCCCCTACTCCTTCCTGGGCGCTCACACATCCTGACGTCATTCCTCCTACAGCGGTCTGCTCAGCTTAGTTACCCCAGCCCTGCCCAGTGGCAGCGGCAACTCAGCCAGCGGGGAGGGGGCAGGGGGTCGTCGCCCGATTTTCCCCTCCCCGGACCCCGCAGGGGCGCCACGTGCGGCGCCAGGGGGCAAGCTGCCAACCTCCAGCCACCCCGCAATGCGTACAGGAGGGGCGGGGCCCGGGCGGGGAGAGCCGAGGGGTGGGGCGAGCACGCGGACTGCGGCCCGGACGCCGTGGCCTGTCCTTGGGCCTGCAGAACCCTGGACCATCTGCCCGTGTCTCCGCCTCCCCTTCGCTTTCGCGGGAGCCAGCCCCGGGGGGCGGCCTGATTGATGGCGAAGGCGGCTCAGCCAATGCCCACGGCGCTGGGGCGGGCCCGCTCCGGCGCGGCCGGGAGAGCTGTCCGCGCTCTGGTGGTGCTGAAAAAACGCTTCAGAGGCGTGTGCGAGGCCAGCAAGGAAAAATCAAAGTGGAAGCCCCTGCCAGCTGGCCGGGCTCATGTTGCATGTTGTATGGTAAGATGAAGGGTCTCTCCTCTCCAAAAAACCAGCCTTGTTACCCTCTTAGGCTTCTCACAAGTGCGGAAATTTGCCATTCTCCGAGAGGAGGAAGGGGAAAGCTCATTGCCCATGAGCTTCTGTAGGAAGAAAGGGGAAGTCCATGGTGAGGGTCTGGATAAGCGCTGGGGGCATATTGGGAGCTGAGCAGCTTTGCCGCCCCTCGGCACCCTGGGAAGAGGAGATTCAGATTCCAGATGCCGCTGTATCAGGAAGAGGGGTCCATAATTACTGCTGGAACCACATGGTTTCCCTTGCCTCCCCTAGGGGCTGCGGGAGTGAGGATTACGCTCCTGGCTCCTTTGGTCCCTCCTTCCTCCATCTGCACTTCCTCCTCCCTCCCGCCCCCCAATAAATCCCAGGCCCCTCCCTTCGCCCGTCCCCAGGATCTGACGTGGACTCGACACCTTTCTCAGCTTCTCCCTCCCGCAGCTCTAGTGCCGAGCTTTCGCCTCTCTAGGTTCCGCAACCCCCTCTCCTCCCCGCCAAGCCCCTCTAGAGCTCCCAGTAGGTCCTCAACCCCACCCCAGGCCCCTCACACGCTGTCTTGCCTTTACCCAGCTGGATCACACTTTGGGATCCAGCCAGCCTGGTGGACCCAGGAGCCAGAGCAGGAGGGTAACCCAGGAGGCCCGGTCCTTCGGCCCTCTCGGCTCCACCCCCTGCTGCCGGAGCCGCGCCCCCTCTCCCTCAGATCCCGGAGCAGAGAACAGAGGAGATTGGGCAGAGGCTTGGGCTCCAGGCGACCCCCCCACCCCAATTCTGCCCCTCCATCCCAAGGGGTAGAGAAATTGTCTTCCTTGCTAACTGCCAGGAAGAAAAAATAAATAAATAAAAGGAAAGACAGAGACAGAAGAAAGGTGACAGCTAGATTATTTAAGAGAGGCGCAGAGGAGAGAAATCAGTGTGAGTCGCCATGGGGACTCCCAAGGCCCAGCATCAACCGCCTCCCCAGCTGCTGTTCCTAATTCTGCTGAGCTGCCCCTGGATTCAGGGTAAGGACATGGGATGGTGGGGGTGGGCCCATGAAAGCTCCCAGGGGGGCCCTTTACCCTCCTTTCCCGGAATACCCTGGTCTCCCAAAGCTCCTGAGGCAGGGGAGGGACCCAGCTGATGGAAAGGGACTAACCAGGGCTTTCTAGTTTGTACCTGGAGCCCCTAACCCCACTGTAGAAGGGGGGGGGAATGAGTGAGGGTAGCTTTTAGCAGCATCTCAAGGGTTACATACAGGAAGAAGGGCTGGGAAAGTTGGGGGGCTGTCTGTGGAGGCGGCAGAACACGCAGAGTACCTGAGTAGGAGATGGAGATGCTGGGAGGGATGCCAGGCACTGCACACACACTGTTCTTGGATGTATGGACAAAGACAGATGAGCAGAGGCACTGCTCGGAAGCCAGATTTTCAGTCCTCACTCTGCCCCTCAGCGAGACCAGGGAGCGACCACAGAGAATGGGGAGAGGGGAGAGAGGAGAGGGGAGATGAGAGAGAGAGAACGTACACTACACTGCAGAGATAGAAATCCAGAGAGAAAGCTGGGTACTGCGGAAGCAAGGGCTGGGAGGTGCTGTCAGGCCAGGAGACCAGGAGACCACTGAGGTGAAAATGAAGGCAGCACCACCCCCCTTCTCCACCCTGCTGGCATGTCCAGGGTTCATTGGAGCCAAGGTGCTCGCTGAAGGCCCACACAGCCTGGGGGGAAACATGGAGGAGAAGGTGGGAGATTGTGAGGGGCACCTGGGAGCCTCTCCTTCCATCTTAGCTCTCAGCTCAGCCTGGGACCCTGTGAGCTCCTGCAGGCCCAGCCGAGGAGGGGGAATAACTCCAGAAAAGATGTTTCTGGTGAGTTGAGGAGTGTGGGCAGCAGAAAGGCTCATACAGCTTCATCCCTCAGGTCTGCCGGTGAAAGAGGAGGAGGCACTGCTGGAGCCTGGAAGCGAGACCCCCACGGTAGCCTCGGAGGCCCTGGCCGAGCTGCTCCACGGGGCCCTGCTGAGGAGGGGCCCAGACATGGGCTACCTGCCAGGTGAGGCTCCCAGAGGGGCAGGAGTAGCACAGAGGCAGAGGGAGAGACATTCCCTCAAGGAATTGGGGAACCAAGCCGTTAAAATTCAGAGGGAGAGAGAGGGTGATGGTTAGAGAGAGTCAAAACTGAGCAAAGACAGAGAAATAAAATGGTCAAGAGATAGAAAAACAAATAATCAGAAAAAGACAGATGGAAAATCTGAGAACCAGAATCAGAAAAATGGTGGGAGAAAGAAAAAGAGAGAGAGAGAGAGAGAGAGAGAGAGAGAGAGAGAGAGAGAGAGAGAGAGAGAGAGAAATACAGAGATTAGTAAACCTAGAATCATAAAATCAGAGAATGATAAGAATACTAATCAGAGAAATAAAAAGAGTTCCAGAGAGAGCAAGACAGAGGAAAGAGAAAGCGGTAGCTAGGAGAGGAACCAGATCTGAATGGGGAGGCAGAGAGAGAGGCTCAAGGAGACATCAGAGTAGAAGGACCTGGTTCAGATGTGAACAGTGGAAGAGAAAGGGGAGAGGGTGTAGAAGCCTTGGGAGGAGGTGGGGAATTGAGGTGAGAAAAATAGCAGAGGAGGGTCTGCACCTTGTAGGGGAGATCTTTTGGGTTCAGTGGGGAACCCCGAGTTTCCCTCAGCTCTCTGCCCCACTCAAGACCCACCAATTTGCTCTTCCTGTGCCCTGACTTCCCTTGCACTGTCCCAGGATCTGATCCAGACCCCACGCTAGCCACCCCTCCAGCCGGCCAGACTCTTGCAGCACCCTCTTTGCCTCGGGCCACTGAGCCAGGGACAGGGCCTCTGACAACAGCCGTAACCCCTAAGGAGGGTAGGGGGACAGGCCCCACCGCGCCGGAGCTGCTGACCCCGCCCCCAGGAACTACAGCCCCGCCCCTTTCTGGTCCCGCCTCCCCAGGCCCGCCCCTTGGGCCTGAGGGAGGAGAGGAGGAGACAACGACCACCATCATCACCACAACAACCGTCACCACCACGGTGACCAGCCCAGGTGAGGCGACTGAAAGGAAATGAAGTAGTGTTCAAGTGGAGGAGGATATGAATAGGAGAGAGGCTGCAGGGAAGGTGTGCAGGAAGGGATCTGGGTACAGAAAGAAGAGTTTCTCCTTAATAATATGTGCCCATCCCATGTACCTTTCTATGTTTTATCCATGTTACAGTTGGGGGAAGGGGATTCTGGGCACGGGGGGAGAGGAGCTTTGGGACGCGAGGGAGAAGAGAGATGGGGGGCTCCACAGTTGCATGACTGGGAGGGCAAGAACACAGGGATTTGTTCGACTCCAGCCACTTCTATCTTTTTAGTTTTATGTAATAACAACATCTCCGAAGGTGAAGGGCATATTGAGTCTCCAGATTTAGGGAGCAGCACCAGCCGCACCTTGGGGCTCCTGAACTGTACCTACAGCATCCATGTCTACCCTGGCTATGGCATTGAGATCCAGGTAAGGGAATGTAATTGTGACACCTCCGAGCCCTTTCCTCTGGGTCCTAGGGTGTGCTCAGGTTTGACCTAAGAGCCAGGGAACCTGTTTCCTAACACAAATGCTTAGGGCCTGCTTTCTGACGGTCAGGATAACACCTGGAGTTCCACAACCGGGCCAATGTCACCGTGGTATTTGGGCTGCCACATACAGGGGGAAAGGAAAGCAATCAGGGTGTGGGGTGGGGGGCACTTCTGGGGTTTTCCACTCTGCTTGTCTTACCCTGGTGAGTCTGGGTCTGGCTTCTGTAGGTGCAGACACTGAACCTGTCTCGGGAGGAGGAACTCTTGGTGCTGGCTGGTGGGGGAGACCCAGGCCTGGCCCCCCGATTCCTGGCCAACTCCTCGATGCTGGGAGAAGGACAGGTCCTCCGGAGCCCAACCAACCGGCTGCTCCTGCAATTCCAGAGTCCCCGAGTCCCAAGGGGCGGTGGCTTCAGGATCCATTATCAGGGTAAGGGTCCAGGGAGCTGTTGGACTGCCAGGGACTACACTGGCACAAGGACATCCCTAGGAGACTTCCAGGCAAGGGCAATGCCGGGGACCTTTCCTCCTGACTAGCACCCTGGAGGCAGAACTCTCAGAGGAGACCTGTGCACAGTTATTTCACACACTTACAGACCTATGTCTGAGTGTGCGTGCATCCCAGTGACAGCTCATCCATTCACTCAGCAAATGCTTAGCTAGTTTCCACTTCATATTGGCCCCAAGTTAGCCTTGGGGAGAGGAATGAACAGGCCACGTATAAATCTGACTTCAAGGAACTCAGAATCTAGGTAGGAAGATGGACAAGTAATCAGGATGATTATAATTCAGTGAGCTCAGGACCCTTATCCCTATGGTGGAGAAATACAGGCAGAAGGAGCAAATACCAAAGGGACCTAAATTTCTCCTGTGGAATATAGGGACACCTTCTTGGAGGAGATGATGGTTAAGCTGAGACCTAAAAGATTAGTTAGCTAGGGAAAGGGAAGGAGGGAGCACAAGAGGAAGAAAGGCAGATGTCAAGATGGACAGAAAAGCACACTCCAAAACCCAGAGAGGAGAGAAAATGTGAGCCTCTGGAAGAGTTGAAGGAAGTCATCATGGGAAGTAGAATTGTCACAGCTTTGTGATCTAGGACAAGTTACTTAACTTTTCATTGCCTTATCTGAAAAATGGGAATTATAATGCCTACCTTGTGATATTGTTAAGATGATCAAATGAGTTAATACATGCCAAGTGCTTAAAATAGCAGCTGGTACACAGTGAGAGCTAAAAATGCCAGTCATTGCTATTACAGTACAAGCACAGAGAGTACAGGGGGAGAAATAAGCTAAGATACCAGACCAGGAAGTAGGTTGGATTGGGTTCATGCTCTTATCAGCATCAATGAGGAGTTTATACTCTTCCAGCAAGCGGCGGGGGAGGGGAGGGGGGTATTTTGAAGTATTTAAAGCAGGATAATGACAGCCTCAGATTTGAGACCTAGAAAGATCTTGCTTGCTTCTGAGGCAGGGAAGGAGACTGTTTGTGCATGACTGCATTCACGAGCATCTCCCCACAGGCAACCTACACACGTGTATATCCACACTTGCCTGTGTGTACAGGGAACCTTTCCATAATGCATACATGTGTACATGTGTGCAAAGGGCCCAGCCACTGTCCCATTCCACACACTGCTGCCTCTCAAAAAAGCCTTCCTGTGCTCCTCAGAGACAAGGAAACTGGGTTAAGTCAATGTCCTTTTCACATCACCTCATGGCCTTGCCTGCCCCTTTGTTAGCTTTGCTGACCCCATATCCCTTTCCCAGGGCACACACACAACGTATACCCCCACTTCATACCCTCTCAGCCTTTCCTGAGGCTTCCACTGGGGGCCTGCTCCGAGGACTCCTATGTGCAAAGGTGGAGGCACCCTGCGCCAGACCTATTCGTGGAGAGACCAGTGCACTGAGGAACATAAAATTGGTAGTCAGGGCCATATATAGTTGTTGAGGAGCAAGAGCATGCCTTGAAGGCCTAGGGCAGAGGGTTGGACTTCAGATATTACAGAATGTCCCTCTGCTGTCTCCTTTAAGCAGCCACTTCTCTGGGGCATTGAAAATAGGACTCTAGGCTAAGTAGAACATTTGGGGAAGCAGGGTTATTTCATAAATTGGCCTTCTTTACCTACCTCTGTCTTCCCTGCTTTACAGCCTCTCCAGGCACCTTTGGGACCAAAACCCTGTTTAAGCCCTTCCAAATGTGCCCTGGCTGGGGCCTCTGGTCCAGCGTGGCCTCATTAGCTTCTCTGACAGACCAAATTCTCCATCACCCCTCACCCCAAGCCCAACAACCGTTGTTTCATTTGCTTCCCACAGCAACCCTGGGGGTGGCCATTGTCAATTCGGGTTATGTGGTTTGCCCAGTCACCTGCAAATTCATTGCAGAGTCAGAATTCCAAGTCCCTGACTCCCAGTCGTTCATTAATTTTGGCTGGTGAGAGGCAGGTGATTAACATTTTCTGAACACTTTTTATATGCTGGCTGCTTTGCATGTGTGTTTGTTTGTTTCACTTAAAGGCCAATCTTTATTGATAATGATTATTATTGCCGTTTATAGGTTAGAGGCCTTGGAGGCAAAGTTGCCTGATGAAGGTCATACAGCTAATAAGTTATGGAGCTAGACCTGGCACTCAGATCTGCCTGTCTCCAAAACCAGTGCTCTGCACTGTCACATTGCTGCTTGGCTGCACCAATTGATCAGCTAGGCCAGGCTCTCTCTCATTTTCTTTTTTAATGAATCTTTATTGTTCAGATTATTACAATTGTTCCTCTCTTCCCCCCACCCCTCATAGCTCCCCTCCACCCAGTTCCCACTCCACACTCAGCCCTAATCTTCCCCCCACTGTCCTCATCCATAGGTCTACAATTTTTGTCCAGTCTCTTCCCACACCCCTCACATCCCTTTCCCCCCCGAGAATTGTCAGTCCACTCCCTTTCTATGCCCCTGATTCTATTATATTCACAGTTTATTCTGTTCATCAGATATTTTATTCATTTGATTTTTAGATTCACTTGTTGATAGATATGTATTTGTTGTTCATAATTTTTATCTTTACTTTTTTCTTTTTCTTCCTCTTCTTAAAGAATACCTTTCAGTATTTCATATAATACTGGTTTGGCAGTGATGAACTCCTTTAGCTTTTTATTATCTTCAGCTCTTTATCTGACCAATTCTGAATGATAGCTTTGCTTGGTAGAGGAATCTTGGTTGTAGGTTCTTGTTATTCATCACTTTGAATATTTTTTCACCTCTCCTGTCTGGCCTGCATAGTTTTTGTTAAGAAATCAACTGACAATCGTATGGGTGCTCCCTTGTAGGTAACTAACTGTTTTTCTCTTGCTGCTTTTAAGATTCTCTCTTTGTCTTTTGCTCTTGGCATTTTAATTGATGTGTCTTGATGTGGGCCTTTTTGGATTCCTTTTGTTTGGTGTTCTCTGCACTTCCTGGACTTGTAAGTCTATTTCTTTCACCAGGTGGGGGAAGTTTTCTGACATCATTTCTTCAAATAGGGTTTCAGCATCTTGCACTCTCTCTTCTTCTGGAACCCCCATAATTCTGATGTTGGTACGCTTGAAGTTGTCCCAGAGGCTCCTTACACTATATTCACATTATTGGATTCTTTTTGCTTTTTGCTTTTCCAGTTGGGTGTTTTTTACTTCTTTGTATTTCAAATCTTTGACTTGATTCTTGCGATCCTCTAGTCTGCTGTTGGATCTATGTATATTATTTTTTATTTCAATCAGTGTATGCTTAATTTCTAGTTGGTCCTTTTTCATATCCTCGAGGGTCTCGCTAAGTTTATCAGCCTTTTCTATAAAGTTCTTGAAAAACTTTATAACTGTGTTTTTGAACTCTATATCTAGTCATTTGCTTTCCTCCATTTATTTCATTTGTGATCTGTTTCTTTGTCTCTGCATTTTTGGCTGCTTCCCTGAGTTGATAGAGTGGCTTTGTGTGCTACGTGTCCTTTAGGGCTCAGTGGCTTAGCCTCCCTAGTTACCTGAGATTGACACTCTTGGTGCTCCCCTTTGTGGGCTGTGTGCACAGTCTTGTTGTAGTTAAGCCTTGATTGTTGTTGGTATCACTGGGAGGAATTGACCTCCAGGCAAATTGGCTGTAGGAAACAGCTGTGTCTATGCTGGGAGAACTTCTGTGCTGGAGACACCCTCATGAGACAAGACTTGCAAAAGCCTCTGTCCTCAACTTGGATGAACTGGAGTCTCAGGGTGGAGCAGATAGCAATGGCTTCCCATCAGCCCTCCCTAGAGGCCCCCGGTCTCAGTGTACCGTGGTAATCACTGCAAGCACCTCTGAGAGAAAGCTGCCCTCGAGTTTCACCTGCTGCCGACAGTCCAGTTTCTCCCCGAATGAGTCTGGGTCCCCAAAGTCTCACTCGGAAGTAGAGTTCAGAGCTGTCAGGAGCTTTTGTCTCCCTCCCACTTGAGAAAGCCAGCAGAGTACTCAGTTGCCTGCCCTCTCCGTGCATGCCTCAGTATCTCTGCCTTCTGCAGCTCCTTGGAGTCTCAGTGTGCTTTTCTCTTTCCTTCTAATTGCAGAATTTCCTCTCAGCCAGCCTTTCTGTGGTTCTGGATGATTTTCGTTTTGTCTTTTAGTTGTAGTTTTGAAATTGTTGTGCGAGGCAGCAGCTTAGGTGTTTACCTATGTTGCCATCTTGGTTTCTCCTAGGCCAGGCTTTTAGAAAACAAATAAATAAGGCTTGATTCAATCTCTTAATGGCAGTAGTCAGTGGTTAATGTGAGTATAAACTTACTAGAGGCCTAGTGCATTAAATTCGTGCATGAGTAGAGTCCCTAGTGGCTGCCGGCTGCCAGCTGTTGGCTGCCAGCCAGGGTCTTACTTCATTCCATGCCATCCCCTGGTGGTTATAGCAAGCGATCAAACTCCCAAGGGGACACTTTGCATATTAGGCTTTTATATATAGAGAGATATGTGTGGGACTGTGTATAGGCAAGAGAGCAACCAACTCTACTGGGGAGAGAAAGGGTCAGGAAGCCTCCCTGAAAGAGATGGTACATCAGTTATTCCTTGAAAGATTAGAAAAAGAGAGGGCCTTGCAGATAGGGGAAATAGTGTAAAAAAAAACATGGAGGTGAGACCATAAGGAGTCACAACTTACACTAGGTAGGATACACAGGTCATAGGTGATGACAATTGGATGTGCTGGGAAAGACCCTGCTGTGGGGCTTAAATGTCAATCTAAAGTACTGAGACCTAAAAATAAATAAACAAACAAACAAGCAAATAAAGTACTGAGACTCGATTCTGTTGGTCCTAGAGAGCCATCACAGAGGCCAACATTTATTCAAATCAATGTTTCCTAGAAAGTAGTTTTTATGTCTGTCTATCTCAGTAGTCTGTAGATTTCCAAAGTAAGGCCTGAGTCTTTTCATCTCTTTCTCCTCAGGACCCCACCAAGGAACTACTTGTTGAATTTTTTTTTTATAAGTATATTTTATTGATTTTGTACAGACAGGAAGGGAGAGAGATAGAGAGTCAGAAACACCAATGAGAGAGAGTCATCGATCAGCTGCCTCTTGCACCCCCCCCACTGGGGATATGCCCGCAACCAAGGTACATGCTCTTGACCGGAATCGAACCCGGGACCCTTCAGTCCCCAAGCTGACGCTCTATCCATTGAGCCAAACCGGTCCCGGCTACTTGTTGAATTTTTAATATAGTGAGAGACAGGTCTCTTACAGAATCACTGAGGGCTAGAGAGTGAGAAAAAGCAAAGAACTAGGCAAGCTGGTAGCTCCCAAGCCCTCTGCTAATTGTAGTCTTCCCCTCCTACAAGACCCAGCTTTGATGTATTTCTTCCAAGAAGCCCTTCTCAATGAGCTGTCAGCCCTTCTGCCTGGTCTGAAATAGACACACAGAGCTCTGTCAAGATCAAGTTTAGAATCCATAATTTACTACCAAGTCACATTCTATTTCTTTGCTTTATCTCATATGATTCTACAAGAAAATTGCAGGAGGCTTTAAAAAAAGAATTCAAGCAATAAAATTAAATAGAATAAATAAGAAAAAATTGGTACCAGGTAATGTTTATTGAAGTTGAGAAAATAGAATGTGGGCAAGCCTTTGTTGCCAGGGATAAGCCATAATCTGGTTCTGAGCTTCCTAGTGGCCAGGGCAAAGAGAGAGAGAGAGAGAGAGAGAGAGAGAGAGAGAGAGAGAGAGAGAGAGAGAGGAGAGAGAGAGATTACATAGATCTCACAACAAGAAAGAAAAAGACAAAAACAGTTCTTTAATGAAAGCAAAGCTTTCCCTAACACTTCACTTACACTGGGAGATTCATTTAGAGAGCAGTGAGTATGCATTTAATGGTAAAATAGTCAAAGCTTCTAGAGTCTCATTTGGTTCCCCTGGGTGGAAGCTGAGGGCATAATGCCCTAGTGTACCTCAGTGCAAGTCCACTGTGTGTAAAGAGGGGAGAAGTGCTCCAACACACTTAATCACTCGAATCCTCATTGGCTGCATCTGGAAAATAGGCCACAGTGTTTCTCTGACTCCTCTAAAGCTCTGTGTGAACTCACTTTGGAAGGTGAACAAGCTCTGCAAATATGTTATTTGTTATTATTAGAGCTGGATGGGGTTCAGAGTGGTCAATCGATTTGCCTGGGGTCACATAGCAAAAGAATTCTGGGATCCAGAATTTCTTTGAATCTCAGGTACCTTATCTATAAAGTAAAGGCCACAGTGGGTAAATTTACAAAGATTAGAGGAGGTGAGAGATGTTGAAATGAGCGCTTCATGAGACAGTGTGCCCACGTGAAGCCAGTTTGTGCCCCCAGGGGGTCTTGGAAAGAGGGGAGGAAGTGCTGGGGCACTGGGAGGGTGACACGGGAAAATGAACCCCCCTTCTCCCTGCTCTCCTGTCCAGCCTACCTTCTGAGCTGCGGCTTCCCTTCCCGGCCGGCCCATGGGGATGTGAGTGTGACCGATCTGCATCCTGGGGGCACGGCCACCTTTCACTGTGATTCAGGCTACCAGCTGCATGGGGAAGAGACCCTCGTCTGCCTCAATAGCACCCGGCCAGCCTGGAGCGGTGAACCCCCCAGTTGCATGGGTGAGTCTCCTGCCACAATAGGGGGAGGGGGACTTCTGTCCTGGGAACCTCACTGGAAGGGTCCTCTCTTGGGGGTCTCCATCTTTGGGGACTATCCATCTTGAAGGGGTTTGGACTCTGAAGAGTAGCTATCCTGGGGCCTCCATCTGGAGCCCTTTACACTGAGGTCTCTATCCTTGGAGTCTCCAACGTTGGTTGGGGGGATCTCCATCTTGAAACGTCCTGGAAAGGTTTCCATATTGGGAGTTACCATTCTCCAGGTCCCTTCTCTGGGAGATGCTCATCCTAGAAGATACCATTCTTGGGGTGGAAGGGTGGAGTCTCAAACTGTGGGGGTGTCTCTATCCTGAAGAGTCTTCATCCTGGGGTCCCAATGTGAAGATTTTCCATCTGAGGACTTAAATTAGGGGGACCCTCATGGTTGCCCATCCCAGCATGTCCACATCTGGGGAATCTTCATTTTGGTGGAATCACTATCCTGGGGCTGTTCACTCTGGGTTTTATTTTCTTTTTTAAAAATATTTTTCTTTATTGATCTCAGAGAGGAAGGGAGAGGGAGAGAAAGAGACAGAAATATCAATGATGAGAATCATTGATTGGCTGCCACCTGAACCCCCCCCCCCCCCCCCCCGCCACTGGGGATCAAGCCCACAACCCAGGCATGTGCCCTTGGCCATAATCGAACCTGGGATCCCTCAGTCCGCAGGCCGACACTCTATTCACTGAGCCAAATCGGCCAGGGGTCTCTCTGGGTTTTCTTATTCCAGGTCTGGGTGCCTGCCTGGGCAGTACCCCCGCAAAGGTCCTGTTCTCTGGGGTGGGCGTGCAGAGCAGAGGTCATGCTGAGGCCAGGTCTCAGGCAAAGGTATGGATACAATAGCTCTGAAGATGGGAGGACAAATCACCTTAACCTGCCCCTCCTCTGCCCACAGCATCCTGCGGCGGCACCATCCACAATGCTACACTGGGCCGTATCGTGTCACCTGAGCCCGGGGGAGCTGCAGGGCCCAACCTCACCTGCCGCTGGGTCATCGAAGCAGCTGAGGGACGCCGGCTGCACCTGCATTTCGAGAGGGTCTCGCTGGATGAGGACAATGACCGGTGAGGGCCTGGGCCTCAGGTCAGAGTTCCCACCTCAGGGGAACAGGGAAGCTGCAGGGAGATGGACAGACCTTGGGTGGATCCTAGTTGGGATCTGTGTCAAACACAGGTCAGTCATTTTTCTTAGACAGCTTAGCTGTGGAAACTTAGATGAATCTCTTAGCCTCTCTGGGCCAGTTTCCTCGTTGGCAGAATGGAGATAATATCTCTCTCTCAAGTTTTCTGTGCGGATAAATGCATTAAGATATGAAACATGCTTAGAATGGTGCCCAGCACACAGTAAGCACCAGATATGTGTTTGCCATGGTCATCGGCACCATATTATTTACCTAACAAACCGGCACCCCAGCTCTGCCCAGCCGTTGCTATGTGACGTTAGGCAGGCGACTTAATCTTCCCGGGTCTCCATTTCCTCATCTATAAACCGGGAGATAATAATAATAGTATCTGACTCAAGGTTTCCTGTGAGCATTAAACATGATAAAATATGTAAAGGCTTAGCTAAGTACATGGCATATAATTAATGTTTGAAAACAATAGCTATGAAAATTAGTAAGGCACTCCAGTGGCGCAGTTGGTTAGCGCGCGGTACTTATAAGAAAAGCAGGTAAGAGATGGAGCAGTTTCTGAGGGGAAACCGAGCTCCCGGCCGCCCTCTGTCCACCGCAGGTTAATGGTGCGCTCAGGGGGCAGTCCCCTGTCCCCGGTGATCTATGACTCTGACATGGACGATGTCCCCGAGCGGGGCCTCATCAGTGACGCCCAGTCCCTCTATGTGGAGCTGCTTTCAGAGACACCTGCCAATCCCCTGCTGCTAAGCCTCCGGTTTGAAGGTAACTGTCCCCCCCACCTCCTCCCACCTCCAACCCCTGCACCTTCCCCTTTTCCCGATGCCCACACACGGTCACGAGCATGTACCCTCTCCCTGCTCATCTCTGTTTGGATTACTGAAACCTGACTTGCCTTCCCACCCCAAAACTACAAGGATTCCTTCATATGGTCCTCCTCTAATTTCATAAGGTAGTCTTTTTATTTAAGCTTCATATATGGCTGGATCCAGGTACACAGTCAAGAGACCAGTTACCTTAACCTCTCAGTTCTTTCCTCTGTGTTGGCTTCATTCTCCAACACTCAGTTTGTGGTGAACCCAGCAGTGCCAAATTAGCATGTGACCAACTTAGTAACTCTTATCAAAAGAGAGAAAGCATACCACTTTCCCAAGGGCTTCAGCAAAAAATGCCAGGAAATGTTCTGATGGCCTGGCTTAGGTCATATGCCTATGCCCAAGCCAATCACTGTGGCTAGGGGCAGATTCTGATTGGCAGATCCACATCACGAGGCCATTCCTCCTTGGCCCCAACTGAACCTCCTGGACTGGAAGTTGGGGAGGCATGTGTGCCAAAATGCTGGACAGGTAGAAATGAGGTCAGTTATCATGGGAGAGGGGGCATTTGAGCTGGGCCTTACAGATAGAGATAATTTTAAAAGAGAGAAATTGGGTGGAATGTTTCAGGTGGAAGGAACAGGGTGAGCAATGGTAAAGAGGTAGAGAAAGGCATGTTTGGGAAACAGAGTTTCAGTGTGGCTCTAGCAGAGGATTTGTGCAAAGAGTAGCAGGAGAGAGACAAAGAAAGTGAAATGCTCAGAAATGAAATGAATCAAAAGAGAAATGGAATTGGCTCTGGGCCCTAATGGATGTGTAGGATTTGGCCATGATACCTTACAAGGTTAAGTAACAGTGAAATAAACAGTGAATCTACAGAATAAATTGCATGTTATATTCTGGGAGTGCAAAGAGAATGCGTAGGTGCGAGGCCAGCCCCCACAGCTGTGGGCCGCTGTTGTCATGAGCTCAGAGTCCAGTTCTGTACCATAGGCATCTGAATCTGAGCTCACAGAGTTTTGCAGCCAAGGTATGATCAGGTGGGGGAAAAACAACAATGCTCTACAAGTGTTCATTTTTGCTGACCTAGTCCAAAGTCAAAACATAGCGTTTGTGTTAGCTGCACTTTTGGGTTCCAGCCCCAGCATGGATAACCGGGGATTATCAGAACCCAACAGTTATTTCTGAGAAGAGAACACACCTGCGTGAGCCGGTGTTCCTAAGGCCTGCTCCTCACTCCCCTCCTTTGCAATTTCCAGAGGCCAGTGTTTTTGGCCGGTAATCAAGCAACCTGGGTTTCAGACTTGGTTCTGCCTCTGCCCTACTGTGTAACCTTGGGCAAGTGGTGTTTTTGTCTGTGGGCCTTAGTTTCCTCCTCTGTGGAATGGTGGCTAGGATTTGACTAGCCCTGGGGCTTCCCTCCAGAGGCCGGGAGGTGACATAAATGTACGAGCGAGGTGGGTTGGGGTTTTAGGGAAACTGGAGAGTGAAAGCTAAGGCCAAAGGCATTCTATTGAGCGGCCAAACAACACTTGAATTCAGCCAATCGCCGTCTGAGACCCCTGAGGCCTGTCCTAATGCTTAATTTGTGTGACTGACTCTCCCTTAGCCTTTGAGGAAGACCGCTGCTTCGCCCCCTTCCTGGCGCATGGCAACGTCACCACCACCGACCCCGAGTACCGCCCAGGGGCGCTGGCTACCTTCTCGTGCCTCCCAGGATATGCCTTGGAGCCCCCTGGCCCACCCAATGCCATCGAATGTGTGGACCCCACAGAACCCCACTGGAATGACTCGGAGCCAGCCTGTAAGGGTGAGCCTTCCGTGTCCCCAGGAAGACCTTCTGTCTACAGATGACCCCCTGAGCTGGGAGTCCCAGGAAGGCCACTTACAGACACCTGCATGTCCAAACCTAATAAACGCAGGCTGTGGGTAATCTCCGTCCCTTCCAGAGACATAGTTTTCATAAATAATTGGTGGGCTTGTTACAGAATTCAGGAGTCACAACCCAAATGTCTCAACAGCTAGAAGTGGAGTTGGGCTAAGTGGAGGGCTGGAGGGAGAGTGGGCAGGGTTAAGAGCAGGGCTGGGGATTGGATACAGCAGGACGAGGGTGGCAAGAAAATACGGGTGGCAGGGAACCCGTGAGGCGGTCTGCTGTGTACAGTTGGGCGTGGTGAGGATTGTGCTGAAATGGAGACTGCATGCCCACCTGGGTCCTGAATTTGACACCCTTTCTACCCCAGCCATGTGCGGAGGGGAGCTGTCGGAGCCAGCTGGTGTGGTCCTCTCTCCAGACTGGCCCCAGAGCTACAGCCCCGGCCAGGACTGCGTGTGGGGCCTACACGTCCAGGAAGAGAAGCGCATCTTGCTCCAAGTTGAGATGTATGTTTGGGTGCCGCAGAGGATGCGGTGGGTGTGGGCTCAGCAAACTGGTATGACAACACACCAGCCTGCACCCCCAGCCTGGCTAGCTCCTGTGTCTACACAGGACTGGGTGAATGTGTGGTCTGATGAACGAGGAGACTAACGGCTCCTGATAGGGTGTGGGTTGACAGGCAGACTGGGGTACAAATCACTGGTCAGCCAGTCTTGGACAGGTAAATGGGGTGAATGGGCCTTCCTCCGTCTGTTGGGAAAAAGGGCATTCTCTCTGGTATCTCCCCCTGGGGCTGTCGCTGAGGCCACCCCGGAGCAGATTTCCAGGGACCCAGGCCCAAGTTGTTGCAGCAACAGCAGAACTAAAAAGGGTGTGGGGAGGGTGCAGTGAGCTGACTTGAGATGAGGTAGTTAATGGGACTGGACAGAACCGGAAGTGGCCGTGGCCAAAAGCCCCTCAGGCGGGGCCTACAGTTGGGCGGGATGATCCAGAGCACGAGGACCCACAGCCCTAGTGGAACCTGGATACTAGCGTAGAGAAGCCCATAATTGGCCCAAACTGAGGAGGCCAGATGGATGGGATGTAGCCCAGCCTCCATATCTGGTCCCACTCCCTGCAGCCTGAATGTGCGCGAAGGGGACATGCTGACACTGTTCGACGGGGACGGTCCCAGCGCCCGAGTCCTGGCCCAGCTGCGGGGACCCCAGCCGCGCCGCCGCCTCCTCTCCTCTGGGCCCGACCTCACGCTGCAGTTCCAGGCGCCGCCCGGGCCCCCCAACCCCGGCCTGGGCCAGGGTTTCGTGTTGCACTTCAAAGGTACCGAGATCCGGGGTCCCATGGGCGGGGTTCCAGCAGGAGCGAGGCTCCCGAGGCTGGACGGGTGCCCCGAGTGGCGGGGCGGCCTCTAAGCTCCGGTCTCCCCTGCAGAGGTCCCCCGGAACGACACGTGCCCTGAGCTGCCGCCCCCCGAGTGGGGCTGGAGGACGGCTTCCCACGGGGACCTGATCCGGGGCACCGTGCTCACCTACCAGTGCGAACCTGGCTATGAGCTGCTGGGCTCCGACATCCTCACCTGCCAGTGGGACCTGTCCTGGAGCGCGGCCCCACCCGCCTGCCAAAAGAGTGAGCTGGACCGCCCGCCTCCCCGGCTCCGCCCCGCCGCCCCAGCCCCGCCCCGCCTCTCCAGGCCCCGCCCCCAGCTCCGCCCCGACCCCTGGATCCGCCCCCGGCTCCGCCCCGCCTCTCCAGGCCCCGCCCCCAGCTCCGCCCCGACCCCTGGATCCGCCCCCGGCTCCGCCCCGCCTCCCCGGCTCCGCCCCGCCGCCCCCCAGCCCCGCACCGCCTCTCCAGGCCCCGCCCCTCCAGACCCCGCCCCTCCCACAGCTCCTCCCCGCCTCTCCAGGCCCCGCCCCCACCCCCACCCCCGCTCCGCCCCGCCTCCCCTGGCTCCGCCCCACCTTCCTCCCCCTCCCGGCTCCGCCCCGCCTCCCCCGGCTCCGCCCCGCCTCCCCTGGCTCTGCCCCTGGCCCCACCCCGCCTCTCTTGGCTCCGCCCCCGTCTCCGCCCCGCCCTCCTGGGTCTCACTGCTCCGCTTGGGCCCCTCCCACTTTCTCTGTGCCCCGCCTCCGTCCTTTGTCCCCACCCCTATCCGTCTGGTTCCGTCCCTTCTATCGGGGTCCGCGCGGCATCTCTCTCAGGCTTCGCGCTATGCCTTTTGGGTTCCACTCATTTGCTTCTCGGTGCCCGAAACTGTGCCCTCTGGACCTCAATCTCATCCTCTCGGGGCTGCATCCCGCTCTCTGGCACTGCTCTGCTCTCTGACCCCGTTCTCGCTGGGTCCTGTCTTATCTTTCTACTCCCACCCCCACCCTGGATCCGCCCCGTCAGGGCTTGGTTCCTGCTCTAGGTCCTGCGCCAGTGTCTCAGTCCCCAACCTCTGACATTGCAGGGAGTCACTCTGCCAGGACCTAGCCAGGCACTGAAGCCCCATGCTGGATTTGGGCTGGGGTTAAACAGAGAGGTTGGGTCCCTCCCTATCTTGATGGAGTTCACAGTCTGAGAGAGGGACAGCTAGTTAAACAACTCAGGAGATTACAGAGTGGTAACCACTAGCACTTAACAACCCCAAGCCAGGCTTCTCACCGGTGAAGTAGGAATAGGGGTTGTGAAGAGCAAATGAAGTTTTTCACACAGTGCCTGTGCATGTAACAGAAAGTGACAGCTGTGTGAGTGTGACGAGGGCTGTGGGAAAGGGGTGGGTTATTTGTCCCAGGGAAGAGGCAGGACAATTCACAGAAGAGATGATATATTTTTTAAAATATATTTTATTGATTTTTTACAGAGAGGAAGAGAGAGGGATAGAGAGTTAGAAACATTGATGAGAGAGAATCATCGATCAGCTGCCTCTTGCACACCCCCTACTGGGGATGTGCCCGCAACCAAGGTACATGCCCTTGACCGGAATCGAACCCGGTACCCTTCAGTCCGCAGGCCGACGCTCTATCCACTGAGCCAAACCGGTTTCGGCAGAAGAGGTGATATTTAAAGGAGCTGGGACCAGGCTGTGGCTCCGTTGGCTGAGCATTGTTCACGAACCTCTTTGATTCCTGGTCAGGGCACAGGCCCAATTGTGGACTTGATCCCCAGTACGGGGCATGCAGGGGGCACCTACATGATGTTTCCATCTCTTTCCCTCTCTTTAAAAAAATCAATAAAAACATATTTTAAAAAACACACTTTAAAAAATAAATATAGGGCCGAAACCGGTTTGGCTCAGTGGTAGAGCGTCGGTCTGCGGACTGGAAGGTCCCGGGTTCGATTCCGGTTGGAGGCATGTACGTTGGTTGCGGGTATGTGTCCGATAGGGGGTGTGCAGGAGGCAACTGGTCGGTGTTTCTCTCTCATCGACGTTTCTAGCTCTCTATCTCTCTCCTTTCCTCTCTGTAAAAACTCAATAAAAATATATTTTAAAAAATAAATATAGGAGCTGGGAGCTTTTATCTTTTAGAAGAGCAAAAAAAACCCCACTTTCTCCCAGTGGGGCAGCCCGTTATGAGGATAAAAATTGTAGGTGTTCTGCCTGGCCCTGGGGGGCACTGGTGGGACCGGTGAGCATGAGCTTCAGGAGGCCAGATTGGATTGGACACAAGTCTAGTTGCCACAGCTTCCCCTATGTGGGAGGATTCATAGGATGGCCAGTCTAGAACCCAGGCAGGACAGGGACAGGGACAGAAAAGGAGGGAGGCATGTCCAGAGCGGGGAGACTTAGCCCAGCTGCTCCAGGCTCAAGAGGGAATCTGCCCGAAGAGGCACATTGAGCCCGAAGCGAAGCTGAGACCCAAATCTCTGCATTTCAGCCCAGGGCTCCTCAGCTGTGCCCTGAGCGGCCCCAGCCCTCCATTCGCTGAGTGACTGTGGGCTAATCATGAGACTGCCCTGAGCCCCGGGCCCGGGCAAATGACAGTGATCCTGACCTCTCAGGACCATCAGAGTATAGAGTATATATCGAGTCTTGGTTGTTGTTGCTGAATCCTGACTGGAGGATAGTTTTCCATTGATTTTTCAGAGACAGTGGAAGGGGAATAGGAGGGGGAGGAGACATATTGACCAGTTGCCTCCCACACTTGCCCCCGCTGGGAAGTGAATCGAACCCGGGAACCTCTGGTCCTCAGGCCAACGCTCTAACTTCTGAGAGACACAGGCCAGCCTGGGTTTTTTCCTGGGTTTGTTTTTAAAATAATCAGAGTATATATTATGTTTGTAAACATGTAGCACAAGTCTGTATATAAGAAATGGCTGTGATTATGACTCTTCCACAAGTTGTAAGCTCCGCACCCTCAGGGGCCAGGCCGGCTCTGTCAGTGAGCGGGGAGTGGGGGGATGCTGGGGTGGAGGAGCAGGAGGCAGCTGTTCTGCCGATGAGCTGCCGTGACTCAGCTGCTATGCTCAGTACAGTGGTTAAATATTAACATTTTATCCTGGGATAGGGGCCTAGGTTGCCCCAATCACTGTGTTCCCCCCCCAAAAAAAAAACAACAACAACAAACAAATATAAAATGCATTGAATTATAAGTTTTTCCAACTACCACTCCCTTCATTCTCAGGAAATAGTGGCAAGTAGGGGGTTCCGGCATCTCTAGCTCTAAGCTTCTGGGAGGTCTTTTTTTAAAAAAAATTTTTAACCTGTTAACCGAGCAGGACCTATAAATACATCAAACGTAAACACTATCAGGAACGGGTAGGACATATGAATACGTCTTTGAAATATATGTTGTGCCCTGAGAGGGACAGTATATATTTTTTGTAATCTTTTTTAAAAAAATATGTATTTTACTGATTTTCTTACAGAGAGGAAGGGAGAGAGATAGAGAGCTAGAAACATCAATGAGAGAGAAACATTGACCAGCTGCCTCCTGCATACCCCCCACCAGGGATGTGCCCGCAACCAATGTACATGCCCTTGGCTGGAATCGAACCCGGGACCTTTCAGTCCGCAGACCGACACTCTACCGCTGAGCCAAACCGGCTTCGGCTGTAATCTTTATAATTGTTTGTAAAATTTATAATTTTTTAATTCGATGTTTCCATTTTTTTGTTGGTATTCTTTTCTATTTGTTTGTAATTTTGTATTTTACTTTGTGCTTTATATATAAATAAACAAAAAAATATATATTTCATTTATTTTAATTAAGTATAAATAAAAAAATAATAATATAAAATTACGTCCGCTGGGTGTGACGTACTGACACGTCCTAGTGAAAGAGTACATGCCTGTTGTACGTTGCATAATTAAAAAGGGAACTCCCCGGTTAACAGGTTAATATATTTTATTGATTTTTCACAGAGAGGAAGAGAGAGGGATAGAGAGTTAGAAACATCGATGAGAGAGAATCATCGATCAGCTGCCTCTTGCACACCCCCTACTGGGGATGTGCCCGCAACCAAGGCACATGCCCTTGACCGGAATCGAACCTGGGATCTTTCAGTCCGCAGGCAGTCGCTCTATCCACTGAGCCAGACCTGTTTCAGCTGGGATGTCTTTTAAGGCACTGGCTCCCCTTGACTCTGCCCTCTTGCCAACAGTCATGACTTGTGCTGACCCCGGTGAGATCACCAATGGGCACCGCACCACCTCGGACGCTGGCTTCCCTGTTGGCTCCCATGTCCAGTACCGCTGTCTGCCGGGGTACAGCCTTGAGGGAGCAGCCGTCCTCACCTGCTACAGCCGGGACACGGGCACGCCCAAATGGAGCGACCGGGTCCCCAAGTGTGCCCGTGAGTCTGGGCCCCCTGGGAGGGATGGCTGGGTGGCTCGCTCAGCAGTGCCCCTGGCATGTGACTGGCATGTTCCCTGCAGTGAAGTATGAGCCGTGCCTGAACCCCGGGGTGCCGGAGAACGGCTACCAGACACTGTACAAGCATCACTACCAGGCGGGCGAGTCTCTGCGCTTCTTCTGCTACGAGGGCTTCGAGCTCATCGGCGAGGTCACCATCACCTGTGTGCCCGGCCACCCCTCGCAGTGGACCAGCCAACCCCCACTCTGCAAAGGTGCCTGGGCAGGCCGGGCAGGAGGCGACGTAGCAGTGTTTGGGGAGTGACAGGGCTGAGAAAGTCAGGTAGCAAATGTGAGACAGCGATAGCCCTGCCCAGCTCCCCGCTCTTCTCCCCGGGCACTCAGTCAGGAGTCCTGGGGAAGTCACGGCCATGAAGTTATCCTAAGGGATGTAGCAGAAGGGGCTTGGATTTGGAAGTCCCTTGTCCTCTAGAAAGGTCTCAGTTTCCCTATTTTTGAAAATTCTATAGACCTGGATGGTTTAGACTGCCCAGGGTCAGGAACCCGGAATTGTAAGGGATCTGCAGGGGGAGGAAGAAGGCCCTGCCCTGACTCCTCCTCCCCCTCCCCAACCAAGAGGAAGACAAAGCTTAGGTTAAGCATCGGGCAGAGAACCAAGCTGTCCAGCCCAGCCCCACTGGGCTCCGGCCCTCCTCCAGCCTCCTTCCCTCCCTGGCTCAGACCCCGTCCCCTCCCCCTCCTCTCCCTGCAGTGGCCTATGAGGAGCTCCAGGACAACCGAAAACTGGAAGGTCAGTGAGGGCACAGGCGGAGACCCAGGCCTGGCTGAGTCGGGAGGGCAAGGCAGAGGCTGGGGGCAAGAGGCCAGGCCCCGGAGGGGTGAGGCCCAGGGTTCAGGGCCCAGGGCAGGAGGCTGGGAGAGCCCAGGGCTCAGCCCAGCACCAGCTCAGTGACCTCCTCCTCCCACCAGTGACCCAAACCACAGACCCATCAAGACAGCTGGAGGGCGGGAACCTCGCCTTGGCCATCCTGCTGCCCCTCGGCTTGGTCATTGTCCTCGGCTGTGGCGTTTACATATACTACACCAAGTACGTAGCACTGAGGGAGCTGCGGCCGGGGACCCTCTGCCTGCCGGTGGGGGAGGCGGGTGGGGGGCTCACCTCTCTCTCTAAGCCTCTCCATCTCCTCCTCCCAGGCTGCAGGGAAAATCCCTCTTCGGCTTCTCGGGCTCCCATTCCTACAGCCCCATCACCGTGGAGTCGGATTTCAGCAATCCCCTGTATGAAGCTGGGGTGAGCCTCTCCCTGCCCCCCGAGAGCCACTTTCCCAGCTCCCCCAGGACCCAGAACCTTCTCTCACGGCCTCTGTAACATCTGTCTTGGGAATTTCACACTCAGCTGCCTACAAAGGCCATGCCAATGAACAAAGCAATCAGGAGTGAACAATAGGAGATGATGAGGACTTTGGCTAATTGGAGAATGTGTGCTCCATCTAGTCGGCAGTGGAAACAGGCCCAATTGCCAGATTGTTCAAGACAATCCAGAAATTCAGATTCCTATGTGCTTTTAATATGCTGTAGGATGAACCGAACACATCCATTTCCATCCTGTGGCCCCCAAACCACCAATGATGTGACCTTAGCAGTCCAGGTTCTTCCCCTCCCCTGTGCTCATACTCGCCTCTCGCTGCCTCCTCCACCACCATCCCCCTCTGCAACTGACCCTCTCTCTGTCTCCAGGACACACGGGAGTATGAAGTTTCCATCTGAACCCCAAGGCGAAGGCTGCAGGACCCAGGACGTCTCTCCCTCCTCATCCTTGGCAGGGAGGAGTGCAGGCCTGGTCTCTGGCTCCCCTCCTTCCTGTTGTGTAAATAGCCTCCTGGTCCCACAAGGGGGCTCTGTTGGCCCTGGGGACCCCACAGTAAATAAACCAGCATCCTGTCACCCAAAACCTCTTCTCAGTTGCCAAATAAGGGGCCTGCCCCACCCTCCTGGCTTTGGATCCAGGCACGGGAACCCAGCTCCACCACAACTCCTGGGGCCCCTCCAGCCCAGGCACCTCACGAGGACTGCCCCCGAGCGCCCTGTTCCCTTGGCCATGAAGGCTCTGCCCTTCCCAGACGCTCTGGCCCAGCCTAAGCCCTGGGCTTGGAAGGTCAGAGGATGAAGGGAGAGCTGGGACAAGGCCCCTATGCCCTTCCCGCCATCTACTCAGCCCACGGCCTCCCTCCACCTTTGCTTCTGGATTTTTGTTTTTGAGCAATAAACAGAAAGTCACCATTTGTAACTGGGCTGGTGGGGTGTGGGAAGGTGGGTCACTGAGCATTGGAAGTGGTGGTGGGGGCCTCTCTGGAGAGTGTGCTGGGAAAAGGGGAACAATTGGGGTGAAGGGGGATTTAAGATTAGGCTCAGGACAAGGTCAAGGGGTCCAGAACCTGGCTGTAGGGTCAGCCTTTGTGGAGGACCGACTGGGCCAAGTCCCTCTGGGCCTCAGTTTTCTCTCTTCCCAGGCTTGTGTTTCCAGGCTCTTCTCGCCAGGAGGTAGCTGACGGGAGTCCCATCTCCTCCCTCAACTTTGGCAGGAGACAAACAGGTGTCAATTTGTCTCATGTTTATCCTCCCCCGACCCGGGGGAATTTCTGTATCCAAATGTACTGTCTCCACCCACTCACCATTTTGGCACTTAAGCATATCTGCTATTGCAGGTCTACCACGAAATGGTCATATTTACGGCATGTCATAACCAGATAGCCCGTTTTGTATCCTGGGTCCATTTCTACTCTAATTTTTCACATTATAAGGAATCTATAGCCTGTTTGTCTAAAGAGTTTCTCAATTAATTGACTTTTACTTAGTTGGAAATGTATATTTAAATATAATCAAATATTTAGGACCTTCAAAAGGACACTGAAATACTCGAAGGGGGTCGAATTTTAGGAGAACATGGGGCAAATTGATCTTGATAACAGTCTGAGTTTGGGGCATTTATTCTGTGCCAGTGATTGAGCTAAGTACGTTGTATGCACGTTTTTAACCCTGTGAGGCGAGGACAATTATTCCCATTTTCAGGTTAGGAAACTGGCTCAGAGGTATGAACTGACTTCCTCAGGAAGCCCCACTATCAGCCAGACTGGAATGTCGATGCCACGAAGCCTGCTGAGTGCCTTCTGGCCAGTAATGGATGTGACGTGAGACCCCAGAGGTCAGCGGGGAGACCACAGCCTGATTTTGGTGGCAGAGGCGGCAAGGGTGGACCTGCTCACTCTTACGGTGTTCGTTTGGCTAGAGGCTGGGTTGGGATCTGTGAGCTCACCTCTGCCAGCGGGTTGACAGATAACTCCCTGAATGAAAACCACTCCACAATATGCCCACACATCTGGCACACAAAAGAGAGAGAGAGAGGCCACTCCTGCATCTCCATGCCAGAGAAGTCACACGAGCACTGCCTGGGCTGGGAGGAGGAAGACTCTGTCTCTTTATTAAAGCCTTGGTTTTCGGGCGCTGTCCTTGCCCACTGGGAGGGGAGCGGTGTGTGATGGTTCCAGATATTTAGAGGCTTCAGGGGTGATGGTGCTCACGACGGCCAGTCCCCCACAAACGGGAGTGATCCATGAGCCGTGAAAGAGGAACTCTGAGCATGTTGTACGGGACCAAATGGGGGAGGGCACGAGGGGCCGAGAGCAGCACCTAAAAGGGTTGGGATCACCCTCCGGAGGTCAAGCTGCTGGGCAGAGCTCCCTAGAAAAGAAAGAGAGGCTGTGACTCTTTAGATCCAAGGCGCAGGGTTTTTTATCCTTCCATCCTTCCCCATCCATCCAACCCCTCCCCCACCTATCCATCCATCCATCCATCCACCATTTCTCATCCATCACCCATCTACCCACACACCATTCTGTTTCCATCCATCAGTTCATTCACACATCTACCCAACATTCCCCACCCATCTGTCCACTCATCTGTCCATCCATCCATCCATCCCTCATTCATGCCCCACCCATGTCTCTACCATCTAATCACCCACTCCCACCCCCATTTAAACTTGAAGGCAGGCACTCTATTTGGCTCACATCTATACTCCAGCTCCTGGAGTACTGCTGGCACATAGTGCTTATTAAACTGATGAATTTATTTACCATTTATTTATTCACCTATTTACTTACCCTCCCCAACCTATTCATTCCCCCACCCACCATTTTCACCACCTACAATGTCCTACAATTCAAGGGGCAATTCCAATATCTGTAAGCTTCCATGTTCTTTCTTGAGCATAAGGGAAGTCTCCGGGGACCACTAGGAGCCAGCGGGTGGATGAAGGGGTGTAATTTAGCTCAGGATGAAATCCCCAATGAAGTATCATTTGGGAAGGAAGCTAAACTGCTATGTGGGCAGGCAGGGCCCTCACAGGGCATTGTGTCCGAGGCTCCCATCTGACACACGGGGCAAGGTGCGGCAACTCGTACAAGGCTATCAAGTAAACAGCAAATTAGCTGGTTCTCTCTCTTCCTCTCTCTGAAAGTCAGGCCGGGACTTTCATGCTACTTGAAGCTGCTTCCAACACCAACTTGGAGAGAGCAAATGTCCCAAAGGCACTGGAGTTAGATCCTGGAGGACTAGAACAGGGCTGGTTGTGAGCTGTATCTGCCTCTGCTCTTGGTCGTGAACCTTTGAAGCAGCAGCCTCTGTCAGACACGCGACTATTCGCATGGCCTGCTGGACCTGACATATACTGACACTCAATAAACACTTGGTGACCATCAGTTCCTTTATGCCTTCTTCGTGAATCCCTCTCCCCACCTCTGCCAGTCTCTTAAAAAAAAAAAAAAAAGTATTGATTTCAGAGAGAGGAAGAGAGAGAAACATCAATAATGAGGGAATCATTGATCATCTGCCTCCTGCACACCCACCACTGGGGACCGGGCTCACAACCCTGGCATGCGCCCTGACCAGGAATCAAACTGTGACCTCCTGGTTCATGGGTCAAATGGTTTTTTTATCCTTCCATCCTTCCGCATCCTGGTTCATAGGTCAACATTCATTCTGCCAATCTGTTAAAAGGAGCGGTTTCCCAGGCTTCCATCCTCAGCACCCTCTTCTTTCTTATTCTGTTCGCCACCTCCCACCCTGCCTAGGGCAACTGCACACCTTCCAATGCCGCCTCCCTCCCAGGTCAGACAGCTTCAGTGAGTTTGAAGCCTTATTTCCAGCTCTCCACAGGGCATTTCCACCTGGAGCTCCTATGGGCACCTCAACCCAGTCTGTTCAAAGGCGTGAGGATGACTTCCACGCTCCAAAAGGACCGAGAGTGAACCAGGGGTGCAGTTCTAGGCAATGAGGTTGGAGGGACAATGGGTGGGGAGGAGAGATCATGTAGCGCCTTGTAAGCCACTGAAGACTTCGGCTTTTACTCCGAAATGGAAACTACTATAGAGTTCTGATATCAGACTTACATTACAAATCTGAAACCCAGTCATCTGATTTCTGCATCCCCCCCGCCAATATTTCTAATCAATTACCAAACTCAATCTTCCTGGTCTTTATTTTTCTTCGTTTTCCAATTACAGTTGACATTCAATATTATTTTATATTAGTTTCAGGTGTACAGCATAGTGACAGCTATATAAACAGTTATGTAAGTTACAAAGTGGTCCCACCTGATAAGTACCCACCTGGCATCATACATTCTTATTACAATATTATTGACTACATCCCTATGCTGTGCTTTATTTATATCCTTGTTATGACTATTTTGTAACTACTAATTTGTACTTCTTAATCCTTCACCCTTTTCAACTAATCCCACAACCCCCTCCCATCTGACAACCCTCAGTTTGTTCTCTGTGAGTCTGTTTCTGTTTTGTTTGTTCATTTAGTTTGTTCTTTAGATTCCACAAATAAGTCATATGGTATTTGTCTTTCTTTTTTCTTTTTTTAAATATATTTTATTGATTTTGTACAGAGAGGAAAGGAGAGAGATAGAAACATCGATGAGAGAAAGTCATCGATCAGCTGCCTCTTGCACACCCCCTACTGGGGATGTGCCCGCAACCAAGGTACATGCCCTTGACCGGAATCGAACCCGGGACCCTTCAGTCCCAAGCCGACGCTCTATCCATTGAGCCAAACCGGTCCCGGCTGGTATTTGTCTTTCTCTGACGGACTTATTTCACTTAGCATAATACCCTCTAGTTCCATCCATTTTGCAGATGGTAAGATTTCATTCTTTTTTATGGCCAAGTAACACTTTGTTGTATATATGTACTAATCATCTATTGATAGACATTTAGGTTACTTCCATATAATGCTGCAGTGAACACAAGGATGCATATGTCTTTTCAAATTAATATTTTTGATTTCTTTGTATAAATACCCAGAAGTGCAATTGCTGGGTCATAAGGTAGTTCTATGTTTAATTTTTTGAGGAACCTCCATACTGTTTTTCATAGTGACTACACCAGTCTGTATTCTCACCATCAGTGAACAAGGGTTCCCTTTCTCCACATCTTGGCCCACACTTTGTTGATTTACTGATGATAGCCATCTTGACAGGTGTGAGGTGATATCTCATTATAGTTTTAATTTGCATTTCTCTGATGATTAGTGTGACTTCATGTGTATATCTCACTCGGGTCTTCTGTTCAATTTTCAATTGGATTGTTTGGGTTTTTGGTATTAAGTTGTATGAATCTTTATATATTTGGGATATTAGCCCCTAAATTAGCCTCTTAATTTAATATATCCTTGGTGAATATCTTCTCCCAATAGATAGGTCCTTTTTTCCCCCTGTCTTTTTGTTTTGTTGATAGTTTCTTCTGCTGTGTAAAAACTTTTAGTTTGATGCAACCCCATTTGTTTATTTTTATTTGTTTCCCTTGGCTGAGGAGATATATTTCATATATATTTCATATATATTACTAAATGCAATGTCAAGAGTTTGCTGCCTATGTTTTCTTCTAGGAGGTTTATGATTTCAGATCTTAATATTTAAGTTTTTATTCCATTTTGAGTTTATTCTTGTATTTGGTGTAAGATAGTAGTCTGATTTCATTGTTTTTTTTGCATGAATCTATCCAGTTTTCCCAACACCATTTACTGAATAGCTTGTCATTACTCCATTGTATCATATAGGCATGGGTTTATCTCTGGGCTCTCTGTTTCAGAGATCAAGATGTCTGTTTTTATGCCAGTACCATGCTGTTTTGGTTACTACAGCTTTGCAGTATAGTCTGATATCAGGTAGTATGATACCTCCAATTTTGTTCTTCTTTCTCAAGACTACTGTGGCAATTCAGGGTCCTTTTTGGTTCCATATAAATTTTAGGATTATTTCTTCTAGTTCTATGAAAAATGCCATTGGTATTTTCATAGGAATTGTATTAAAAACAGATTGCTTTGGGTTGGTCTTTATTTCTTCCTTGCTTCCATCTCTACTGTCACTGTGACAATTCAGGACCTAGTCATCTTTAGCTTCGTCTCTTGGAATAATTTCTAACTGGCCTCCCTGCCTCGGGTCTCTCCCCTTTCCAATTCACTCTCCCCACTGACCACCAGAATGACTAACCTCAAATTCCAACCTGTCTTGCTCAAATCTCTTCAATGACTCCTTGGCTAGGAAAACATCTATGGATCTTGCTCTGGCCAGTGTTCTCAGTGGGTAAAGCATTGGCCCATACACCAAAGGGTTACAGATTTCATTCCTGGTCAAGGGCAGGTACCAGGATGAAAGGTTCAATCCCTGGTCCCTGGTTGTGGTGCATGCAAGAGGCAACCAATTGGTGTGTTTCTCTCATTTAGGTGTTTCTCCCCTCCACAACGTCCCCCTTCTACCCCCGCCCCGCCACACACACACATTGGCTCTAAAGATCAATGGAAAAAATAACCTTGGGTGAGGATTAACAATAAATAAGTAAGTAAATCAATAACTATGGATCTTAATAAGGCACACATAAGGATCTTTTAAGTTTTCTTGATTAGTCCCTGGCTACCTTGCCTGCATACTCCAACAGTTTAACTACTCTAGTTTCGCCTCTCCCCCGCTCTAGGAAGACACACACATATACTCACACTCACTCAGAGACTCGCCTTTGCTCACACAAGCCTGACACTTGGTATAACCCCTACCTACTAACACATTTTCCCCTGGAAAATTCTTTCTGTAGTGTCACCTCTTCCAGGAAGCTCCATGATTCCTTTTGTTTCTGTCCCAACTGAGCTGGGACAAGTGCTCCTCTTGCTGTCTCCATCTCTGTAACGGGAGCTCACTAGCCCATATGACATTGTAACTGGCCATACACTTAACTGGCCCCACACTAAACAGTGAACTCTACAAGAGCAAGGCCTGTATCATTCTCTTCTGTGTCCCAAGTTCCTAAATATTTGGTTACTACCGAATGACTCATCATCTGGGGCCTCGTACACACCTGGTCACGACGGGACGGCAGAAGGTGTGCCTTGGTGCAGACATGGCTCCTGTCAGAGCTAGAGATGACGGAAGGGAAAGGAGAGGGAGGAGAACTCTGAATTCGAGGGTCAGCGCAGAATAGAATAGGACTGCAGGGTTTAAAAATCCCCCCTCGCTCTCTCCCCTCATAGGCTCATCTTTCCCCCAGAACCGTGAGCAGCTCCCTGGAAGCCTCACTCACCGGGTGTCCGTGCCTGTGCCTTGGGTCTTGGTGAAGAACTCTGGAAGTAGAGGCCCCAGTCAGAGAAATGACTCTCCCTAAACACACAGCCACAGACAGGGGCGGCTAGGGAGGGGGCTGAGGTGATTCCCAGCGAGCAGTGAGGAGTGGGACTGGCTAGTGGGGGCAGTCTGGCTGTGAGATGGGGGAGGTAGGGGAGGTGGGCAGATTCCTGAAGAGGTCAGCAATGGCTGGGAGGGAGTCTGGAACTGGAACTGGAGTTCTGGGGGAACAGCAGTGGTCCTGACGTGGGGGAATCACCATGTTTGTATATCTGAGTCCCTTGGTCCTGTGTCTGCATTTTCTTGGAGGGCACGGGGTTCATGCGGTAGCCAGCAACAAACAAGGCCTCGTCTGTGAGCTCGGTGCTGATCCGGGACAGGAACTCCTCAGAACGGGACAATGAAGGCTTCTGCTGAAGGGAAACCAGAAGGGCTCAGCCTGGGAGCTCCTACAGGGGGGCATTGGGTGGGGCTCCCAGACTGGGGGCCCTGCATCTAAGGAGTTGAAGCGCTGGGCCCTGAGATTAGGCCCTGTAACTGGGGGGTGGTCTCTGGGGCCTGGGGCCTAGCGCTGGGGGTAGAGACTCTTAGGGGGAGTCTGCCCTCAGCCTAGGCCTCTGCTTCGGCTCACCCCATCTCTAGAACTCCCCTCCAATGCTCACCGAACCTCCAGTCAAGGACGTTGCAGCTTGAGGCAGCCCGCTCCCCTTTCTCTCCTTACTCCTGGTGGGCGAGGCTTCCATCCCCCTGGGGTCAGGTGCAATGGTGTTAGTTTGAGAAACCTGCCCACCTCCTCCAACGGCTTCCAACACCATCCCCAGGCCCCGATTTAAGCCAGGCCTTTAGGCAAAAAAACCATCCTGTCTCCGTAGTTCTCTGGGGAAGAAAGGGGACTGCAGGGTTCAAAAATCCCTCTGGCCGAAGCTGGTTTGGCTCGGTAGAGCATCGGTCTGCGGACTGAAGGGTCCCAGGTTTGATTCCCGTCAAGGGCATGTGCCTTGGTTGCGGGCACATCCCCAGTAGGGGGTGTGCAAGAGGCAGCTGGTCCTTGTTTCTCTCTCATAGACGTTTCTAGTTCTCTATCTCTCTCCCTTCCTCTCTGTTAAAAATCAATAAAATATATATATTTTTAAAAATAAAAATCCCTCTGCCTGATGGGGTGCTGTCAAACCCTCGCTCTCTCCCCTCATAGGCTCATCTTTCCCCGTTGATGAGGAAATATAAAATAAAATAAAATAAAATAAAATAAAATAAAATAAAATAAAATAAAATAAAATAAAAACCGTTGTCTTAAATCTTCCTGGGGTGAGAAGTGGGTGGGAAGTTCCACAATAATCCCCTCCCCACTCTCTTTCCTCCCACCCACAGCCCTTCCCAAACCAGGCAGCCGACGGGCCGCCCCCGACCTGGCAGACGGTTGAGATCTTGGGCTACTGGGCAGGACGGGGGAGGCTTGGGGCTTATGACAGGTCCTGGGGACGGGAGCTGGAGTGGGGAGGGAAGGTGGAGGTGGGAAAGAGGGGGCCCAGCGGCGGCGCCGCTGCCCGTTCCTATAAGACCCTCGGTGTCGGCGGGGTTCCGCGGTCCCGTTGCCAGGAGATCAGAGATTCCAGAACCAAAGGCCGGGAGGGGGCGGGGGAGCACTTTCCCGGAGAGTCGCGAGCGCTCCTCCGGCTTCTCCTCCACCCGCCTCGGGTCCCTGCCGGGGGCGGTGACCCCAGCGCCCGAGGTGGAGGAGCGGGCGCAGCGCTTAGGGTGGAGCCGGGCGCTCACCCTCCCACCACTAGGGGCACCAGAGGAGCAGCCGCCCTTCGGCCGCTCTAGCCGCCGCCGCGCAGCGAGCCCGGGAGCGCCCATGGGCGGGGGAGGGGCGGGGCCGCGGGCGGCGCGGGCCGTACTACCGAGCCTCGCCTCCGGGGACGCGCGGACGCCGGAGGACCGGGTTTTTCCTCCTTATCTTTGTCTCCAGGAGGCCACACCCGCCCCAGGAAGCAAAGGATGGAGGCTTATCTAGGCCCCTGCTCTTTGGACCCCCCCTCTCCGTGCCTTCCTTTGCCCCTGCTCCTCCCTCCGTACTTTGGTACGAGCCGATGGAAAGGGGCGGAGGGAGGAAAAGGAAAAGGAAGCTGGCAGGCCTTAAAGGGGCCGCAGCCATTTTTTAAGGCCTCTTTGCCTTTTTCCGATTTTGGAAGTAGGAGCGCGCTAGCGTTGCTTCTCGGAGGCTGAGCGCCCCCGGAGCCGGAGGGGCCGCAGCTGGGGGCTGCGGCGCCTGCGGGGCGGGCGGAGGCGCGGGCCCGCCCACCGGGAGGGCGGGGTGCGCGCGCCCCCCGCGCCCGGCGCACATCTGGGGCGGCCGGGGCTGCGGCTGCGGCGGGCTGCGCGCTGACATCTGGGGCCCGGCGGGAGCGGGAGGCCGCGCGGCGGGGCGGCGACAGCTGGCACCTCCGGATGGGCAAGGGGGCCGCCGCGATGCCCAGCGAAAACATCTTCCTGTTCGTGCCTAACCTCATTGGTGAGTGCTGCCCGCGGCGCCGGGCCGGGCGGCAGGGAGCCGGCCTGGGGCAGCCTTCCTGATCCCGCCCCATCTGTCTCCCCCGCCCCATCCCAGGTTATGCCCGGATTGTCTTCGCCATCATCTCTTTCTACTTCATGCCCTGCTGCCCCCTCACGGCCTCCTCCTTCTACCTGCTTAGCGGACTTCTGGACGCTTTCGATGGATATGCTGCCCGAATCCTTAATCAAGGTGACAGACAACTCCCCCCAGCCAGCCGTGAGGCGCCACCTCCCCTCCCCCCGCTCCCTTTCCTGTCTCCTGGGGACCCCAGGGTGGGCAGGTTCTCCGGAACCAGAGGACGCTGTCATTCTCATCTCTCCAAAGCAGAGCCCAATGGCCTGGTTTTGTAGAGGGGACCTAAGCTAGCTGTGGAGGAGAAGTCCTGGCGGTGCTGGGCGCGTGATAGCTGGCCTGGATGGCAGTGACAATGCTGGGGGTCTTGGCGTTCATATCAGTCAACAGGTGTGGACTGGATGTCCGCTGTGTGCCAGGCACAGCGAGATCCGGGTTCCGGAAGGCCTGTCAGAGGGAGGGTGCAGAGGCAGGGGTGGGGGTGGGGGTCTGGAGGGTTCAGTCTGTGCTCCAGGCCCACCTCCAGGACTTTCCCTACCACTTCCGGCCTCCAGCCGCCGTGTCTTGAGACCTGGGCCCTTGGTTCTGGGGTTGATAAGTTGTAAATGCACCACTCTCTCTCCACACTCCCACGCCTCCTCATTTCACGTCATGGTGACCCTTGTCCTTTGACCTCACACCCCATGGGGTGCAGCCTGCTTTCCTCCCAGGCAGTGGATGGTGGACATTTTTCATCTTTGAGACTTGGCATCAGAGTGATACACACACATGGCCCCTGTTGTCGATCCACCGCCCCCTGACAGTGTCTTCCCCACTAACGGCCCCCGTTTTTCAGGGACCCGGTTTGGGGCCATGCTGGACATGCTGACCGACCGCTGCGCCACCATGTGCCTGCTGGTCAACCTGGCCCTGCTGTACCCGCGTGCCACCCTTCTCTTCCAGCTCAGCATGAGCCTGGACGTGGCCAGCCACTGGCTGCACCTCCACAGGTCCGCAGCGCTGGGGGGGGGGGAGGGGGGTTGGCCTGCCGAGGGGGCGGGGGGGGGGGGGGGACTGTCTGGGATGCCTGCAGGCTTCTGAGAGGTCTCCTTTTCCACCTGCTTTGAACAACCATGGGCAGGTCCAGTCCCGGTGAACTTCAGTTTTGTTTACAGTTGCATTAAGCAAACTCTAAAACTTCTGACTGATAGTCAAGGCTTCCACATAGCTACCAGCTCTGGGGGCTTTTGAATGTGGCATTTGAATGCTGGCTGTGTCCCCACTGGGTAATGCTGTGGCTTTGGGCCTGACAGTGGTGCCCAGCGGGGCTCCCGGTCCTCCTCTGTGCAGAGGCCATCCCAGCGCCTTCCTCCGGAGGCTGTGTGAGGAGTAGTGGGTGTCAGTGGTAATGCACGCTCACGGGTGCCTCTGCTTTCTCCCCAAGCTCTGTGGTCCGAGGCAGCGAAAGCCACAAGATGATCGACCTGTCGGGAAACCCAGTGCTTCGGATCTACTATACCTCCCGGGTGAGCATTTCCCCCCCCCCCCCACTTACTCACTCAGCTGGCCCCCGGGGAGGACAGCCCTGTGAGCTGGGATGTGGGGGTGGGGCGGGCCTGGGAATTGTTCAGGCAGGCGGTGGTTTTTGAAGTAGGAAGTAATATCCTGAGGTTGCTCCGTATTCCTCCCTGCCAGCCACACCCTTATTTCCCCGGCAGAGTTCCGGCTCCCCATCCTCAGAGAGAAGGGCCCCGCTCCTGTGTGTGCGTTGTGGGTGGGGAGGTTTGCACACTGCCCGCCCTGCTGTGTAAGCAGCCCGTTTGCTCTCTGTGCAGCCTGCGCTGTTCACCCTGTGTGCTGGGAACGAGCTTTTCTACTGCCTCCTCTACCTGTTCAGCTTCTCCGAGGGACCTGCAGGTAGGCGAGGAGGGCCCGGGCTTAGGATGGGGCGGTTCTGGCCCGCCCATGGAGACGTGGGCCCTCTCCCTCACCTGCACCCCACTTTCTCAGCATTGCCCTTGCTCCCTCCCCACAGTTGGCTCCGTGGGCCTTTTCCGGCTGGGACTGTGGGTCACCGCCCCGGTCGCCCTGATGAAATCCCTCATCAGCGTCGTCCACCTGGTCACAGCCGCCCGCAACATGGCTGCCCTGGACGCGGCAGAACGGGCCAAGAAGAAGTGACCTTGGGACTCCAGCCTCTGGCGGCCCCCCTGCCCCGGGAGTCTCCTGTGTCACACGGCTCCCCTCTTCCTCCCAGGAGGTCCAGGCTCACGTCTTCCTCGTGTGTTGTTCAGCCCGCTGCAAGTGGGTCAGCCTCCTCGGTGATGTCATGTTCTCCAAGCTCCAGCAGGCCAATCCCGCCCCCGGGCTCCAAACCAGGAAGGATGCTCGGGAGGCCCCGCCCACACAGGCAGTGCTTCCAGCCGAGGGGCCGGCCTGAGGGCTGGGCATCGTCACCCCTGCAGGCTCAGTAGGGACATGTGTGAGGGAGATGGGTGAGGGCGTTTCCCAGGAGGCTGGGGGGCCGGACTCTGCCCCCGGCCAGAGGAGGCCGGAGGGACTGAGGCTGAGCACACGGAGCTGCCTGTTCCTTCCCCATCGCAGTGTCCCCTGTCCTCTGAGACCCTGGATAATAAAGGCTGCTTCCCTATCCTGGGCTTGCTTCCCTGGGACATACTCTCGGATGGGGCCTGGGTGAGGGGAGCTGGGGGAAGAAGGAAGGGCCCTCGGGCTGCTTTCCCTTTGTGTTGACTGGCCAGCTCCTTCCTCATTCCACAGGGACCCTCTCTGCCACCCACGGCCGTGCCTGTCCTTGGCCACTGGCTTCATTTCCTCTAGGACGCTGTCACGAGCTGCTGATTTATTAGCATCCCTGGTGTCTTCTATCCCTGGAACGTAAGCTCCTCAAGGGCACGGACGTTCCTGGTTCCTTCTCTGTCGCTCCGGGGCAGACGAACCTTCACCCGGCCTATTGTAGCTGCTGAATAAATATTCACCAGTAGACCAGTTGGTTTCTCAGTGCTGTCTTTAGACCACCTTTTTTTTTTTTTTTTTTTTTTTTTTTTTTTTTTTAACTATATTGAGCTTACCATATGGCAGAGCTTGTGCCGGGGTTGTCTGCAGCTGTTACTCATTTGATTCTTATAGCCAGGGGCCCACATGTCCAGGAGAGCTGAAATGCAGCAGGTGTGTGCCGAGCCTCGGCGTCTGCTGAGCCGTGGGGGAGGTCACAGGCAGCAGGGCGGCTGGTAACGCGGTTAGGGAGGTGCTTTGGGGGCAGGAGTAGGAAGTGCTGTGACATAGGTGCCGGTGAAGGGTGTAGGTAGTTCAGGAAGCTGGTAGGGTTTGAGCCGGAAGAGAACGCAAAGGAGGGGCCTGGTTTTCACCGGAGGACGGGCCGGAGGGCGGGTTTCGGAAATGGGACCTGATGAGATCTGTTGCTGAAATGTGTTTCCGCAGCCTGGGGAGCTCAGGAGGGCATCTGGACTCTCCTGGGGCCACATGGGGCCATTGAAGGAATCTTCAGAATAATGGGTAAAATATTAAGTTGCAGACTTGAAGAAAAAAAAAAAAGATGATGAGTCCTGGCTGGCGTGTCTGTTATTGGGCATCTCCCAGTGAGCCATCTGGTTACTGGTTTGCCCTAGCCAGTTTGGCTCAGTGGATAGATCCTGCAGATTGAAGGGTCCTGGGTTCGATTCCGGTCAAGAGCACATGCTAGGGTTTCGAGCTCAATCCCCAGTAGGAGGTGTGCAGGAGGCAGCTGATCAGTGATTCTCTCTCATCATTTATGTTTCTCTCTCTCCCTCTCCCAATCTCTCTGAAATGAGTTAAAAAGATTTCTGTTTTGGTTCCTGATCAAGACACATGCCCGGGTCATGTGTCGATCCCCAGTAGGGGGCATGCTCTCACATGTATGTTTCTCTTTCTCCCTCTCCATGTCCCTCTTCTCTCAAAATCAGTTTTTTAAAGGGCGAGGAAGCCAGCTGGCACCTATAAGCACTCACTTTTCCCACTGCTGCTCATTGCTTATGTATCTGTGTAAATTCACTCTTACACATATATTTTAAAATATTTGACATATCCTGTTCTGCTAACAAGCTACCCCTGCCCCAAATGCTTTTGACTTGTATTTATTCTATTTGAACTGATGCCTACACTGTACTGTGTGCTCAACTGTACAAGCCTTTTCCAAAAAGGAAAGGAGACCAACCTGGCTGGCTCGGCTCCAAAGCCTTAACATCCGCCACACACAGAACCCACGTAAGTGGTCTTAACGGTGGCGTAGAGTTCCCTCACTTGTTTAACCAGGTTCTGCCAGGGAACAGTGCCGCAGCAAATCCCATGGCCCCTCCCAGGGCACTTGGAGTGTGAGGACGGTGCCAGGGACACATCTGTACTCGAGGGAGATGGTCACAGGCTGGGCTGCCCCTTCAGCTCCGCGGGGGTCCCAGTCATCGTGTGCGAGACCTTCATCCCGCGTCAACTCCTCCAGCCAGGGAGCGCTCGGGCCCTCTGGCCCTGAATGGCTCCTGGCTCTTGGGCCCTAACCTTTTATTTGTAGTGGTTCTCGACCTTCCTAATGCCGAGGCCCTTTCATACAGTTCCTCACGTTGTGGTGACCCCCAACCATAACATTATTTCATTGCTACTGCATAACTGTTGATTCGAACCGTTTCCATGAACATGGGAGGAGAGAAGAGCTAACTGGAGTGGTGGAGGGGATCATGAGAGGTGAGAAATGGAAGCAGGAATTGGCTGTGAAGGGAAAATAAAGGTGGGGCAGCCCGAAGGAACGTGGGGCGAAGGGAGAGTTCTCTTTGGTTCTACGATGAGGAGAGTGGAGCATGTTTGTGCGGGTGACAGCCATTGGGGGAGGGGGAACTGGAGGCGAGAAAGGTGATGGACGCAGGAGTGCCCTCAGGGCTGAGATCTAACTCAGGTGGGACCCAGAGCCTAGGGGAGGAGCTGCCTTGGGAACAGGAGGGAGAAGGGAGATTTGCTGGGGAGGGGCCAGCATTCCTGCCCAATTGTATTTTCCCAAAGAGGTGAGAGTGAGCAGAGGTGCGGGGAGGTTGAGAGGAGAGGGGGTGTGACGCGTTGTCCTGAAGGGGATCTGGCACATGCTAAGACACGTACTCAGAGGGCATTAGGTCTCGAGGTTTGATGCCATGAATTTAACATGAGGTCAGTCAGTATGTGAGTGTTCCGCTCCCAGCAACACACAGCTGGTCAGCGTGAGCTGGGGCTTCCCACTAAGTTCCACATGGGAGGGGAGAAGGAAGGGGGTTGGGAGGTTTTGAGTGAGTTACATGGACAGGTTCAAGGTCACAGAAGCCTTGACTTGGAAGGCGAGGGTGAAGCAGCAGGAGGAGAGGGCTCAGAGGTAGAGGTGGCCCTGGGAGCCGGTGGCTGAGATGGGAAGAAGGAACGGCCCCACCATGACCTTGCCTGCTGTACTCACTCCAGAGGCCCTTGGCAAGGAACAGTGCCAACAGCCCTTACCACGAGCCAGGTACCAGCTGCGGAGCTTCAAATCCATTACCGCCCTCAAGGGAAGGGGCAGGAGAGGGGGAGGAAGCAGGTGAAGGGGCTGAGCCAGCACCACCACGTGCTGTGGCTGCACTGAGCCCCTGGCCTCCACGTGCCCTGGCCTGAGTGAGGCCACTGGCCACACAAATGCATCTCTACTTGGAAAGGGGCAAGGCTCATGGGGTCAGGCACTGGGGGGAGGGGGGAAGGAGGAATAAAGACCCTAAAAACAAAACTGCAGCCCTGCTCCATAGGGGCCTTGCTGGCTCATCACAGAAAGAGACCAGAGGCTGGGGCCCGAGCTTCTCTCCACCTGGGACCTTTCCTTCCGCAGCAGAGGCCAGGCCAGCCTGACACTCCACCTGGGCTGAGGGAACGGTTCACTGATGGCACCCGGGCTCTTCCCTCAAACAGTCATGGGGAAGGTGGGGAGGAGACACCCTGGAATGCTCTGGAAGAGCCCACACTAGAAACGCAGGGAGGCAGGATTCTCCTCCAGCCTGACATCCCCTTTAGAGAGGGACAACTGCACAGCCTGCCAGGTGTGACCAGCAGGTGGCGCCAAAGGAGCCTCCCACGTGCTGAGGGCGGGCGCAAGCCCCTGCAGCTGGGGTCCAGGAGGAATCCGCAGAGACGCTGCCAGTGCAGGCCCCACCCTCTCACCAGGGCATCTCTCCCACCTGGAGCCCAAGGCAAGCTGCTACCAGGAGGACAGTCTGGCTCAGGAGGAAGACTTTGGCTCTAACCGGTTTGGCTCAGTGGATAGAACATCGGCCTGTGGACTCAAGGGTCCCAGGTTCAATTCCAGTCAAGGGCATGTGCCTTGGTTGCGGGCACATCCCCAGTAGGGGGTGTGCAAGAGGCAGCTGATCCATGATTCTCAGTGTTTCTAACTATCCCTTTCTCTTCCTCTCTGTAAAAAGTCAATAATATATATATATATATTTTAAAGGAAAAGAGTAGGACTATGGGGCCATGTCTGTTGGTTTGATGGGGTTAGGCTTCTCCAGACCCCGTTCTCTCTCCACATTACACATGGGGTAGTCTCCAGCAACTATCTCCAGATATCAGGGTGTTCTCTACCCCTCTTCCCCGCCCCCACCTTCGCATTAAGCTCCCGGTGACACAGCCTTGAGACAGGGTTTGAATGCCCAGAAGTGTACATTTTATTGTCGACGCTGTATGGCGCTAAGGCACAATGGGTTTGTCCCCAGGGATCTGAGAGGAATGGAGCAGCAGGTGTTCTTCGGGGCCGGGACCGCCGGCCGCCTTTTTGGCTGGCGGCTGGAACTCGGACCCCAGCCCCAGGAGGCCCAGGGCTGTGCTGAAGAGGTTGATGGGAGTGGAGCCGTCGGTGATGAGGGTGGATTTCAGGCCCAGGCTCTGCAGCAGTTTCACCTGGAGCAGCAAGAGGGTGAGAGTCAGGCCGGCCCCCTGGCCGCGTCTCCAGGGCGGCCCGCCACCCACTCATCTGACACGCAGCTGCACCCAGGCCGTCCTCAGGCTCAGTGCTCGGTGAGGGCATCAGCGGGGCCGGGGGCTCATCCTCAGGCCTGGAAGCTCGGTCCCTCCCTGCAGCTGCCCCAGAAGCTGGCCACCCCACCCTGCACTTGCCAGACCCTCTGGCCCTTAAACGCAGCGCGTTTCATTCTGTCTTTGCATTGGGCCCTCTCCTCGGAAGCTCTTGTCAGCTCTGCACAGGGTTCAAGGAGCCCTCTTCAAGTGACCTTCCTTAGACCAACTAATCTGAAGTGTCACCGCCCCTTTCGCTGCATCACCCACTGGACTTTCTTTGAACACTTGTCCCACGGATGCCCCCAGAAGCTCCAGTCCATGCTGAGCTAGTGCTATATCCAACGTGACACCGTGCTCCAGTGACAGGTCAGGGTCTGGGGACAGGGGGACCGGGACAGCTCCACCCCTCTCCCCTCCCCCCTCGACCCTCAGCCTCTCTACTGGCCTCCCCAGCTCTGCCTTCTTGGTTCCCTGTATAGCCCCGCCCCCCACTCTCACCTGCATCTCTGGCCCAGCGATGGCAAGGTCCCTGATGGTGCTGGGGCCCAGGGCCTCCGTCATCTGCTTGAACTTCTTCACCTCCACCTCGGCCAGCTGCTGGGCCTTGCTCACCTCCAGCTCCAGCTGGGACCGGGCGTAGGCCAGTTCCAGCTCGCGCACTTTCTTCACCCGCTGCAGCTCGGCCTCCTGAGAGGGGAAACCCGCATTCTCTCACCCCTGTGGCCCCGACAGTCCAGCACGCGGAGGGACTGGGTGGAGCGATGGGACTGTACACTTCTAGTCCATTAGGTGTGGATCTTGATGGCAGTGACCCACGGGAGGCCCAGCCTCGGGCCCCTCATCTGTAAATGCAATGATACCTACCTCCGTGGGCTTCCCAACACTAAATAAGATCATGCATGTAAAACATATGCAATACCTGGAACAAAACTGTCCAATGTGTGAATACGTATCACACAATAAAATGAGAATCATCATCATCTGTGTCTTCCAGACAGGCAGGAGGTGGATTCACAGAGGACAGAGGACTTTATAAACCACAACTATGTGGATAGAGCTGTATCTTAGGGCACTTGGCATCCCACTCGCCTTCAGGAACAGCAGGGATTAGGCGTCTTCCAGACCCCAAGGCCACACCCCTCACGGGCATCCCCCGACTCACCGTCTCAATGGCCAAGGCCTCTGCCTTCAGCTTGGCCTGCAGCACGGAGCCCTGTCCCTCGATGCGTGCCGCCTCTGCACGGGACTCAGCTTCCGCCTTGGCAGTCCCAGTGCTCTCCACGGCAGTGCTGCAGGCAGACACCCCAGTCAGCGAGGCCAGGAGAAAGCCCTGCCCTGCCCTGCCCTGCCCTGCCCCTGCCCTGCCCTCCTCCAGCTTCGACTTGTGCTGCAGCCACTTTCACAGACACGCCCCTGGCTCCCCCCACCTGCTGCTGCTTTGTCAGAACACTAAACAGGACATCATTTCTTTTAGTTCTGATTTTATTTTTTTTTTTTGAGAGAGGGAACATCAATGCATTGTTCCACTTGTTTATGCACCCACTGGTTGATTCTTGTATGTGCCATGACTGGAGCTTGAACCTGCAATCTTGGCGAACAGGGATGGTGCTCTAACTAACTGAGCTACCCAGCCAGGACTTCCTTTAGTTATTGACCCACCTCAGAGCCTCCAGCTCCAAGAGCTCCCTGCGAGCTTTCTCGGCTTCTGATTGGTCCAAGATCTTCTGGCGCTCCAGCCGGCCCCGGGCTTCCTGTTCTAGTCTCTGAGCCTCATGCCTGGACGGAGAGAACAGGAACAGAGGAGGTGCTGGTGAGGGGCAGGGCTGACCAACATGGGACAGAGCCTGGCCCGTGGGAGGCACCCAACATGAAACGAAGAATGGTGTGTGCACTGCGTGCCTGGCATGATTCTGGGCTCAAGGGAATGCGGTCATGACCAAGGCCCCTGCTTTCATACAACTTGCCTTCCAGCGGGAAAGAAACAAGGAGGATGGTTTCAGACAAGGACCAGTTCCCTGAAAGTGAGGACACAATGACTCGGCAACAGGATGCCGCTTAGTTAGGGTGAGAGCAATGGGCTCTCCAAGGAGGTGATCTTTGGGCTGAGGCCCGAGGAGGAGCCTGTCCTGCAACCTCCAAGGGGCAAACACTGGGCACAGGAGCAGCCAGTGCCGAAGGCCTTCAGCCCAACTGTGCCTTTGAAGAGCAGAAAGGAGCTGGTGGTGTGATGCCAACAGCAATCAAGGCTCAACTACAAGACTGCACACAGCCCACACAGGAGTGCACCGAGAGTGCCCAGCTCAGGGCACTGGGGCATCTGAGCCCCTGGACACCTACAAACTTCCAATTCCAGGGGATATAGCAGCTCCGCCCAATACATAGAAACAAACAGGGAAGCAGCCAAAATGTGGAGAAAGAGAAACATTGTCATAAATGAAAGGACAGAAGAAATCTCCAGAAAAAAAACTACCGTGTTTCCCGGAAAATAAGACATCCTCCGAAAATAAGACCTACTTACAGGTTTCCTTCTGAGTGAAATATAAGGCATCTCCAGAAAATAAGGCCCCCCTAGGCTCTGTCTCAGAATGAAGATTAATTTACGAAAGAAAAATAATTCACGAAAGAAAAATAGATCAGAGCCGAAACCGGTTTGGCTCAGTGGATAGAGCGTCGGCCTGTGGACTGAGGGATCCCGTGTTCGATTCCGGTCAAGGGCGTGCACCTGGGTTGCAGGCACATCCCCAGTAGGGGGTGTGTAAGGGGCAGCTGATCGATGATTCTCTCTCATCGATGTTTCTAACTCTCTATCCCTCTCTTCCTCTTTGTAAAAAATCAATAAAAATATATATTTTTTTGAAAAATAGATCAGATAATGATTCCCGCAGGAATGAAAGCCTATCTCCAGACTCTTGATATTGCAATAAACAAGCCATTCAAAGACAATTTGCGCATGAAAATTAATGACTACAATGAAAATAGAATGGAGAGAAATCAGCGTGGAAACTTTGTGAAACCTAAACTGCAAGAAGTTGTGACTTGGGTGAAGAATTCATGGGAGAAAATCACTGATAGTTGCATTGCAAATGCACTGCGAGCAGGCTACCTTGACACTAAGTACTCATTTAAAGACAGTGCTATTGCTAAACATGAGAGATTTGGTCCACTGATTCTGAAAGCAATGCAGTCACAAGAAATTCACCAGGAAATTCAGGAATTGGATTGTTATGATGATGTTCCAGAAGATGATGACATGATTGTCATTGAATAAATGAGTAAATTCTTGATACTGTAGGATTCACAGTTTGTCTGGTTTGTGTTGACAACTACTGTACTACTGTACCGTATACATGTAATAAATTTCCTTTATTTTCATTTAATAATAAATGTGTACTGTATTCTTCTTCATGGAAAAATAAGACATCCCCTGAAAATAAGACCTAGTGCATCTTTGGGAGCAAAAATTAATATAAGACACTGTCTTATTTTCGGGGAAACAGGGTAAGTGAAATGGAAGCAAGCAAAGTTCAAAACAATGGTTATAAGGATGCTCAAGGATCTTAATGAGAGCTTCAAGGGACTTAGTGAGAATTTCAAAGACATGAAAAAGGACCAGTCAGAAATTAAGCATACACTAATTAAATGATTTATAGGAATTCAACAGTAGAGGATTCTGAGAATCAAATCAATGATTTGGAATCTGAGGGAGCAAAAAACACCCCATCAGAAGAACAAAAGAAAAAAGAATCTAAAATAAAAATGAAGATAGTGTAAGGAGCCTCTGGGACAACTTCATGTGTACCAATATTTACATTATGGGGGTGCCAGAAGGAGAAGACAGAGAGCAAGATATTGAAAACTTATGAAGAAATAATGACAGAAAACTTCCCCCACCTGGTGAAAGAAATAGAAGTGCAGAGAGCTCCAAACAAGAGGAACCCAAAGAGGCCCACACCAAGACACATCATAATTCAAATGCCAAGGACTAAAGACAGAGTCTTGAAGGCAGCAAGAGAAAAGCAGTTACCTACCTATAAGGGAGCAAGTGCCCATATGATTGTCAGCTGATTTCTCAACATAAACTATGCAGGCCAGAAGGAAATGGCAAGAAATATTCAAAGTGATGGAAAGCAAGGACCTACAACCAAGATTATTCTACCCAGCAAAGCTATCATTTAGAATTGAAGGTCAGATAAAGAGCTTCATAGACAAGAAAAAGCTAAAAGAGTTCATTACCACCAAACCAGTAATACATGAAATGTTGAAGGGTATTCTTTAAAAAGAGGAAGAAGAGATAGAAAATATAAACGATAAAATGACAATAAATACATATCAACAATCAAATCTAAAAATCAAAATAAACAAGGAATCTAATGAACAAAATAAACTGATGAATAAAATAGAAACAGAGGCATGGAAACATGGGTCTGATGAATCTCAGAGAGGGGGCAGGGCAGGAAGAAATTAGCCAAAGATCTTATATGCATATATGTATCACCTATGGACATAGACTATAGGGTGGTGAAGGCCTGGGGTGGGGGTGGGGGTGGGAACTGGCAATGGGTGAGGGGAAGGGAATATATCTGTAATACTCTCAATAATAAAAAGTTTTTAAAAAACTAAAACTAACAAAAACAAAACAAAGGAGCTGGTGGGCCTGGAGCTTGGGAGAAGGCTGGAGGGCGAGCTGGGGGAGGCAGGGCTGCATCCAGAGAGCCTGCAAGAGCGCAGAATGAGTTTGGTTCCAGCACAGCAAGCGGAGAACCACGGGAGCAGGGTGGCATCTAGTCACACTGTAAGTGGACCATGCTCTCTCACCCAGACTGACCGTCTGGGGACGCCATTACGCAGGGCCCAGCAGGGGCTGGAGATGGAGACCCTGGAGAGATCTGGCCACGGGAGGCACTGTGGGTGCTGCCCTCACTCACTTGGCAGCTGCCTCCTGGGAGTTGGTGGTAATCTCGATGGCCAGCTGGACGCTGCGCTGCAGGGCGTCCCGGGTCCTCTGGTCCACGGGCTCCACGGACTGCACGTCCACGCTGCTGACCACCAGTCCGTTTTGGGGGAAGACGGCCCGGTCCCGGGGCTGGAGCAGAGCCTCCGCATCGGTCTCCTTGGGCTCCAGAGTCTCGAAGCCGAAGACGGCCGTGCGGATGATGCGGGCCGAGTTCTTGTGGAAGTCGTCGAAGGTGACCGAGGCCACGGCCCCCCGCACCCGGGACGCGATGGCCTTGCAGGCATCCCCCACGAAGTCGGGCACGGAGAAGAGCTTGGCTGCCTCCTTGGGGTCCTTCCGGTCACTCAGCTCAAAGTGCCTGTGAGCAAAGGGGCCCAGAACAGGAAGCTTTTCCTCCAGGAAACGGCTCTCTCACCTTCAAATGCGACCGACGCCACCTCCCTGGCTGGCAGGGTTGTTCAGGAGAGACTGCTGATCAGGGTCCACCTGGGCCGGTGAAGTCCTAAGAGCCTTACACGTGTTCCCAGCTCATTCTCGGTCACTATGAGGTGCGAAGGAGCATTGTCCCCATTTACAGATGAGAACACAGAAGGCCACAGGGATTAAGTCACAGGCCCAGAGTCGTACAATATATGGACTCTGTACAAGCCGGGAAGTCAAACTCCCAGAGCCGGGAAGTCAAACTCCCAGTCAGTGGCTCCCAGAGTCTATGCTCTGAGCTGCCATGCTCTCACACCCCTATGAGATCAGCGCCTCATCTGCCTCTGTCCGGGTCCCGGCCACTCAGCTGAGAGGTAAAGAACACCTCCTTAGCCTTAGCTGGTTTGGCTCAGTGGATAGTGTCTCGGCTTGTGGACTGAAGGGTCCTGGGTTTGATTCCAGTCAAGGACACATGCCTGGGTTGCGGGCTCAATCCCCAGTGAGGGACATGCAGGTGGCAGCTGATTGATGACTCTCTCTCATCACTGATGTTTCTCTCTCACTCCCTTTCCCTTCCTCTCTGTCAATAAAAAATATATATATTTATTTTTGAAAAAAGAACACTTCCTTGGGAGTAGTTGAGCATCACTTCTAGGTGTGGCTTGTCTTCTCTATCTCTAGCAGCTGCCATTTGATCCCTAACTATGTACAGCAAGCATGTCAAACTCAAAGGCTAACACCAAATAAATGAGGCATGCGGCCCCTGAGTTTGACATGCGTGATATACAGGGCATTGTTCTGATGCTCACTGCATCCTTTCGTCAGCCTGTGACATTTTATTTATTTTTGTTAATCCTCATCTGAGGGTATTTTTTTCCATTGATTGTAGAGAGTAGAAGGGAGTGAGGGGGGGAGAGAAGCATCAATATGAGAGAGACTAATTGATCGATTGCCTCCTCCATGCACCCCAACGGGGGCTGGGAATCAAACCTGCACCCAGGAATCTAACCCCCTTTTGGAGTGACCCTTTAGCGTGTGGACAGATGCTCTAACCGCAGAGGATTGAGGCCTGTGAAACTGATGGTCATGTGACAGATGGGGAAACTGAGGAAAGTGTCAAGTCACCGGCTCAGATCCACGGCCAGAAGGCAGGCCTGGGAGCAGACCCAGGCAGTGGCCCTGAGCCTATACTCTTGACCTCCTGCCCACACCGCCTGCTCCCGCCGGCTGTGTCTGACCGGCCTTCTGACAGCCGTGCAGTCGTGGGGCTCAATCCGTGTGGGGCTGTCCTCCCATCAGGTGCCCAAACCCCTGCTCCAGGAAGGCAGCCCACACCTTCCCCATCATTCCACGGGGGCGCCAGACTGGGTTTGCGGGAACCGCCCTCATTCTCAGCCCAGCGCTGGGCGGAGGCGTCGCTCATTCTGGGGGTCCTGCTGGGGCTCTCCCCCGGAAGCCGCCCCGCCCCCCTTACCAGTTGTAGGCCAGCTGCAGCTGCAGCCGCGCGTGGTCCGCCGTCTCGATGGTGATGACGTCCGTGAAGAAGTCGGGCCCGAGCAGCAGGCAGAGCGCCCGGCGGGCGTGGGGGCGCTTGGGCCGCCCGGCCGAGAGGGACAGCACCGTGAACTGCTCCTCCGGGCCCAGCGACACCAGCTCCGGCCCGAACACCACGCTGCGGGGAGCGGGGAGCGGAGTCAGCCCCACCGCGCGCAGAGCCCCCCTGCCGCGTCCCCCACCCGCGCCCCGGGCCTCACCGGGCTCGCTTCTCCCGGTAGTCGTACACCTGCACGGCCGCGTTGTGCGGGACGCGGTAGCTGACCACGCGCGTCTTGTTGCGGGGGACGGAGGGCGAGGGCGGCCCCTTGGCCGTCTCCTTACCCCTGTCGGCCAGAGGGTCCTGCCCCTTGTTCAGCAGCTCCTCCACCCCCGGCGGCAGCTCCTTCTCCCACAGGACCTCGTCCTCCGTCAGCATGTAGGTGCTCCCGATCACCGCGCGCACCTGCCGACAGGGGGGCGTGGGGGGTTGGGGGAGCAGGGGGGAGCTGGCCTGGGCAGTGGCCCGCCCGGTTGCACGGTCTCTGGGGCGAGGCCGTGTCCACCCCCGCCATCTGCAGGCTCCGTACTCTGTCTCTGGGGACGCCCTTCACTCCCAGCCTCAGCTCCTCCTCCCTCAATGGACCTCCCCGGGGCTGCCTCCCAGGGCTGGGAATGAAGGACTTGGCACACAGGAAGTGCTTCATGTTATTTCTTCTGGAATTTTCCTTCATGGGCGGCTAGGCCATGTCCCGAGGACTGATGTAATCCTAGGAACCAGGTGGCACACACTGACCCTGCCTGGATTCTGAGCTCTACTTGTAGGTCAGAGATGTGGTCCTAGGTCAAACCAAGGTCAAGCGGAGGCTCAAAGAGGAGGGACTATCGGTTCTCCCTGTTCCTCTGCCCACCCCAGCCAGACCCTGACGCCAGGGCCAGATCTGCAGCGGGAACAGAGTCCCCAGCCCGAAACCTGGCTCACCTCCTCCCCGGGGGAGAGGTTAGATGTTTAAATGAAGGGAAGGAAAGGCACATAGTCCACAGGCAGCCTCACACCTGCCAGCCAGGCGCTCAGCCGCTACCAACGTCCCCTCGGCCTGCACCGGCCCCTCCCCCTCGGCCTCCCCCGCGGGCCCAGGGCAGTGACAGGGTCCACCCTCGGCCGGTACCTTCCCCGTCTTGATATCCTGCACGTAGATGCCCTCGTTCTCGTCCAGGGGGATGGTCTGCCGCTCCTCCACCACCTCCACCTTGGCGGACGGCACATACTCCAGGGGCCCCCGGATGAGCCAGTGGTCGCCAGCCTTGTGCAAGACCTTCTCCTCGCCTTCCCCCTCCTCCAGGGGCTGCAGGGCCCTCAGCAGCAGCCCCTGCTGCTCCGACAGCACGTACACGTCCTGGATGCCTCGCTCCAGCCTCTCCCCCGGCTGCAGGAAAAAAGACTTCTCTCCCTGGAGGGGAGACTCGGGGTCAGGAGCTGGCACCCCAGGCTGGCGGGAGCCTCTGATGGCACCTCTGCCCGCCCCTGGGCTCATGTTGGGGTCAGGAGCCCCCAGGGCACTTGCCCCGTCCCCAGGTTATGACACAGTGAAGTGTTAGCTGGACCCCAGGCTCTCAGCGATGCCTGCGGATCTCAGCTGGTCAAACCCGCCCCGAAGACTCTGCAAATCGTCAGGACCTGAATCCTCTCAGCTCAACAGGTAAGAATTAACGTATTGTTACTCGTTTCTCCTACGTTTTGTTTTCTTGGGATGGTGTAGTCTGGCCCACTGCCTTTTAAAAAAAATACACAGGGGTGGGCAAAAGTAGACTTACATGAAAGTTTATTCTTATATTTGTTAATTGTTGTATTATTATTAACCTATTTTGCCCACCCCTGTATAAACTACATGCTGTAAAATCTACCCACTTCAAGTATATAACTTCTATTGTTTTAGTATATCCACAGAGTTGTCCGATCACAACCACAATCTACTTTCAGAACATTGTCATCATCCTGAAAAGAAACACTGTGCCCTAGATCAGTTACTGCCCACCCACCCCACCAACCTATTATATTTTCTGTCTGTGGATTTACCTGTTCTGGACACTTCATAAAAATGGAGTCATACAATATGTGGTCTTTTATGCCTAGCTTCTTTTGCTTGGCATATGTTTGAGTTTATCCATGTTGTGGCATGCTGATCATGTTTATTTCCTTTTATAGCTGAACTAGAGGTCTGGTGCATGGATTTGTGCACCAGGGGGGTCCCTTGGCCTGGCCTGCGGGGATCTGGCTGAAACCGCAGTCTGACATCCCCCGAGGGGTTCTGGATTGCGAGACCTTTCCCACTCTCTCCCCTCAGATTCATCAGTCTATTCCGTTTCCAAGCCTGTGTGCATTGAGCGTCTGCCCCCTGGTGGTCAGTGCACATTATAGCTGTGGAATGAACAGTCACTTAGGCTGGCGACCCCGGTTAATCCCTGTATAGTTCAGAGAGGGGATGAGGTAAAGGCTGGGGAGGAGGGTAAACTAAGAGTTGTTTTTTTGTTTTACACAGAATGATTCCAGGAATATGAAATACGGAGTTTCCTGGTCAGCCTGCAGTGCGGGGCTGGGGCAGGGCCAGGGCCAGGGCCGTGCTCCCAGGGAGGCAGTGTGACGGGAGGTCAGGGCAGTTGCCCGGGAGATCAATGGGTATGTGTCTCAGAGCTAGAACCTCGTGCACCACGGCACAGAGGGAGCCACGACCAGCGGGCCTTTCCGGAAGATGGGCCTGGTGCGGGGACAGGGAGGACGAGCCCTCTGCGGGGGGCGGGGAGGGGGCACCTACCTTGACCACAAGCTTCTGCCCCAGCTGGTTCTTGCCATCCTGTCCGACGGGGTCGAGGATCACACAGTAGTTGTGGGGGCCCAACGTGGTGATGGGCACGACCCCCAGCATCTCCTCGTAGACGTCGGGCACGTGGGCCTCGGTGTCCTGCACCGTCACCAGCCACTCCTCCCCGGTGCGGCGGGCCACGCCACGCAGGTCCCGGAAGTTCTGCAGCGCCCGGAGGTGCAGCGCCGTCTGCAGAGGAGATGGGGTGTCGGCGTGAACCCACCTCCGGCGTCCTCGGGGGGCCTGGGGGCCCCGTGGGCCGCCGAACGCTCCGGGTCTGTGACAGTTCCCACCTTCCAGGTGACCCGGGCTCTCCTCAGGTGACCTAGCAGACTGCTCCTCTTCCACGCTGTTACCCGACCCCATCCCCGCCCGAGCCCCTCACCCGCACCCACGAGCACAGACCTTCTCCGTGAGGATCACGGCGTCCACCAGGTCCAGGACCTCCTCGAACACCGCCGGGAGGTACGCGCCCACCGAGCGGACCAGCCATTCCTCTCCTGTAAGGGTCAAAGGTCACCCAAGCTTGCCCCCAGCTGCCCCTGGCCATAAACCCAGGCGAGTAACCCAACTTTTGTGTCTTGGTTTTGTTAGATGGGAAATGGGAATTAGTAGTGACTCGAGGTTGTTTGGGGACCAAATAAGAGACTATTTGCAAAGCATTCCGAGTCGCACCTGGCACTGTACAATGGAAGACATTGTACATACATCACATTTGTCACAAACAAGTGCCAACTGCATGGGGTCACCCGCTTTGCTGACCCAGAAACAGACAAGGCCACGGCCCCGGCGCATGCTAAAGGGGGGGAGGGGAGGGGAAGGCCGTCACAGGACGCTGATCACAGGTCAGGGCTGGACCTCGCCTGCGTGAAGGCGGCTGGGGAAGCGACGGTGGGAGCCCCCAATGGCGTCTAAGATTCCAGGGAAGCACTTCCTCCCGGGATGTAGCCATTTGTGAGTGGCTTTCCCCACCGTCCCCCACTTCCCTGCAGGTGAGAAAGTCAGAGCCAGGGCCTGCACACACACACACACACACACACACACACACACACACACACCCCGTGCTCCTCCACCCCTCACCTGTCACCCTCTCCTTGCCGTCCCGGTCCCGGCACTCTTTGCGGGCCCTCAGCCGCAGAGCCTGGTTCTGCCTGACCACGGTGGCCTGGATGATTTCCACGACCTCCACCTCCTTCCGGGGGATGTATGTGCCTGAGGGGAAGGTGCGGCGGGGGTGAAGGTCGGGGTTGAAGGTCGGGGTTGAAGGTCGGGGTTGAAGGTCGGGGTTGAAGGTCGGGGTTGAAGGTCGGGGTTGAAGGTCGGGGTTGAAGGTCGGGGTTGAAGGTCGGGGTTGAAGGTCGGGGGTGAAGGTCGGGGGTGAAGGTCGGGGGTGAAGGTCGGGGGTGAAGGTCGGGGGTGAAGGCCGGGGGTGAAGGCCGGGGGTGAAGGCCGGGGGTGAAGGCCGGGGGTGAAGGCCGGGGGTGAAGGCCGGGGGACATCATGGCTGTGATGGGAAGCCAGGCCCAATGGAAAGAACTTACCGGGTCCTTCAAAGAGCCACTCGTCTCCGGCGACCACCTTGTCTCCGTTTTCATCCTGGAAGTCCAGCAGCGCCTTCAGGTGGAGCGCCGTGTTGGGCAGGACCACCTGCAGCGGGGTGATGTCCTAACGGGGAGAGGGGGTCATGGGCACTCAGTGCTGTGGCCCCAGAAGTCAAACCTGATATCTTGGAGGTCAGAATCCACCTATCAATCTTCACACAAGCCCCCAAATAAGAGCCGGAAGGAAACGTTCAAGATGGGGGTAGTCCCAGAGCCATCCGGTCGGAAGGACTAAGAGTTGACAGAGCAGGAGCTGCTGTGGCTGGAAAGCAGCGGTGAGAGAGGCAGGGGTGCGGGAAGCTCTCTCCACCCTGGGGAGCGTTTACTACTGGTTCCCATGCCGGAACTGGTGTGGTTCAGTGGATGGAGCATTGGCCTGTGGACTGAAGGGTCCCAGGTTCGATTCCAGTCAAGGGCATGTACCTTGGTTGTGGGCACACCATGGGGGGTGTGCAGGAGGCAGCCGATGGATGTTTCTCTCTCATCGATGTTTCTGACTCTCTCTCCCTCTCTCTTCCTCTCTGTAAAAAAATAATATATATATATATATATATATATATATATATATATATATATATATATATATATATATAAAAATACTGGCCCCCACCCCCCACTCCCCCAGCCGGGATTTAGTTGGTCTGAGGTAGGCCCTAGATATGGGTGATTTTCACCTTCTGACCGTTTCTGACTTAAATAAAGGCGATTCTGATGCAAAGTCTACCCCTAAGGCTCCACTCGGAGTCCTCAAAAGTGACGTTCTATTATTCTGTGTCACTTTCCACCTCCACACACACCCTCTGCAAAGCACTGACATCTCAGCGGACAAGGGTCTGGGGTCCCCTGGGTCACCCTTCTAGGCTGCCAGGACTAGGAAGTGCTGCTTAGCGGAGGAGCCCGGAGGGAAACGGGTAGAAGGGCAGGAGGCGAAAGCAGACAGTGATGGGAGTGGAGGCCCAGGGCCCGTGCCACACGGAGGAGGGCCTGGCCGCCAGGGCAGCCCCCAGCGCCTTCCCGTGGGGAAACCACGGCGTCCGAACCTGGGCCTCCTCTCGTCCGCCATGGCTGTCACTGCCCACCAGGGTCTGGCACCTTTTGAATGAATACAATGCTTCCTCTTGGCACAAGCCATTCAGTGCCAGATTGGCAGGGAGTTCCCAGCAGGCTCTGGAGCCTGGTTGGCCCGGTGGGGAGACGGGCTGACAGCTCTCAAAAGGGGCAAGTCTGGTGTGGGCACGTGCGGAGGAAGGGGGCGTTTGGGGGAGGCCGGTGGAGGGGCAATGAATCGATTCCACCCCTAGTGAGAGCCAGGAGATGCCACCCCGTCCCCTTCCAGTGCCAGCTTGTTTTCCCTCCTGAAGGCAGTGTGGGAGCAGGATGGGAGAGGGGGCTAGGGGAGGCCAGGCACATACCTTCTCCAGAACCTCCCCCGGGTACAGGGGGAAAGGGTCCTGGGCCAGCCGGATCTCCAGGTCAGCGTGGCGCAGCCGAACTTGCCCGGTGACGTCGAACAGCACCGAGCCCTGGGCGTCCCGGCACACAGGGTTGGCCACGGTGCAGTAGTGGCGTGGGGGGACGGTCACCATGACCAGGGGCGCAAACAGGACCCTGTGGGAAGGTGAGAGGTGGCGTGAGGAGAGAGGAAGCTGCCTGTGACCCATGTGAGGGCCCGTCCTCAGAAGAAGTGAACGATCACGCCAGACGGACAGCCCCGCCTCCGCCCCGGTCCCCCACAGCCCCGCCCGCACACCAACCTCTCATTGTCCTGCCGGATGTAAGTCTTTGGCCCGACCTCCACACGGGACACATTGCTGTTCTGGTCCAGCACATGGATGTAGTGGTAAGGGGGAATGCGGATGATGGACTCTTCAGTCGCCATGGTAACTCCTGTGCCCAGGGCAAGCATACAGAGGGATAGATGGGTGGGAGAAGACACAAGATGAGAAAGGGGCCTCGGAGGAGGCAGGCAGGAGCCTGGAGACTGGCTCGAAGTGGGGGAAGGACCTTCTTCCTCCAACTCGGATTATTCTACCTCTCGCTGTGTCCATGCCCAACTCTTCCTATTTCTTCCCCCCTGGGCAGCATAGCTCACCCAGATCTCACCTCTGCCAGGACTGCCCAGCACCGTTGCCCACAGAAGCCCAGGGCTCTCGCTGACCCTTTCCCTCCTTCCCATCAGCTTTATGGCCTGAGCTGCCCACACTTTTCCAATTTCCAGCCCCCACGGTGGAGGAGCTGGGAGTGCAGGTCAGTCTCTGGAGGTGCTATGGCTCCCCCGGGGCCAGCAGCCTTCATTTCAGGGGGTCCTGAGGACCCCAGCATTATTCAACTGACAGCCCGCAGCCCCAGAATATTTGCATAATCATTGCTCCTCCAGCCCCACCCTGTGCTTTAAACAGTCCTGCGGACCTTGACGAGCTGATGCTCCTGTAGAATCAGCTGGATCACACAAATTATTTCAGTTCTTTCCCCCCTTTCCCTCAACTCCCTGAGTCCCAGCAGCTCCGTCCAGCGACTGGCCCAGGAAGTCACAGCTCCCACCTACACCCCATCGCTGCCCCCAGCATGCCTTGGGCTTTTGACGGCATGTACCTTTGGGTCCCACAGAGGGAACCAAGTTTACTAAGCAACTCAGAGCCTGTCTCCTGATACTCTGGTCAGTTTAAAAGCCACCTGCTGCACCCTACATCCAGCTTCCAGGCTGAGTGAGAAACGGGAAGGAGGGAGGGAGAACTGGCACAGGAATAAGAGGCAGGAGCCACAACACTATAGAATCAAGGCGAGGAGACCCAAGAGTTTTACTTGATCTATATAATCCGTAAAATTTCAGCTTTGGGGTTTAGAAATTGAGAGTTTTCACAAACTCCTAATTCCTGCTTTTCTTGAAGCATTAGGACAGTGGTCAGGAAACTGTGGCTTGTGAGCCACATGCGGCTCTTTAGCTCTTTGAGTTTTTAGCAAAGGCCAGCTTAGGAGTACCCTGATTAAGTTAATAACAATGTACCTACCTATATAGTTTAAGTTTAAAAAATTTGGCTCTCAAAAGGAATTTCAATTGTTGTACTGTTAGTTGGCTCTATTGGCTAATGAGTTTGCTGACCACTGCATTAGGAGATAGTCCCTACATTCCTGCAGAGCAGAATCGGTTAGAGCCACGGGGCAGCTGTGTGCTTTAGGTGGGACACAGGTTTTCCTGCTTACCACAGTCCCCACCACTCCCTGCTGCCTTCCACACGGCCCCTCATCCCACACGGCCCACTCCTGCTCAAAGTGCTGTAACTCAGCAGCTTCCAACAGGACTTTCTGCAATGATGGAAATAGTCTAAGTCTGTGCTCTCTGGCTGACCACATTGGAAATATGGCTAGTGTAACTGAGGAAGTTGTTAAATATATATGTATTGACTTCAGAGAGGAAGGGAGAGAGAGAAACATCAATGAGAGAATCAGATTGGCTGCTTCCTACACACCTTACACTGGGGATTGAGCCCATAACCTGGGTATGTGTCTTGGTCGGGAAGAGAACCGTGACCTCCCAGTTCATAGGTCAATGCTCAACTACTGAGCCACGCCAGCTGGGCAGTTCGTTTTATACTTTAATTAACATAGCCAAGTGCGAAGGTACCAAATATGATGCAAAAAATTGTGGGCTGGTTTTCTTTTTTCTTTGGGGGTGGGGAGAAGAGATAGCCAAGTACATACATCTGAAACTAATACAAAGTAATATTGAATATAAACTAATTGAAAAAAAAAAAATAGCCAAGTGTGGCTGGTTGATCCCATTATTAGAGAGAGCAGCTCTCAGTAGCCGAGTCCCAGATAGGGACAAGTCCTCCGAGCCACACAGCACATTGTGGGGTCTGTTGGGAGGAGACTCTCAATGCAGTGGCTCCTTTGCGGTTCAATGGTTAGTGCTACAGATTCAAACAGTCTGCCTGGGCTTCCTGACAAGCCTGAGCTGCAGCTTTCATGCCTTGTATTGTTTCCTTAATCCCTGGCTTCATTTTAAAAGGGGCTACAGTTTTTATCTGTTTTCCTGGGACACTTTTCACATCAGAGGGATGTTATTCTACTCATTCTTTTATCTTGCAACTTTGTATGGGAACTGACCTTGATACTTTTCTGTGGTTCCTTTTTTATATGAATTCCCCTTAACTCCTAGGAGAGCGGCTTTCCTAAAGCCAGAGCGCCCTCTTCTGTTGATGTCGGATAGTGCTTGAAAATACTAGGGCTGTGTTCTGCTTTTGGGGTTCTGTTCCTCTCCTCACTCTCCTTTCTCCCTATTGTCCCATCCTGCTCAGCTGTGCTTCAGTCCCTGAAATTGCTCCCTGATGCGGGGCTCCACACGTGCCCGGGGGCTGGAGCTGCCTGGATCTCCGTTCTCCCCTTTACTGGATCGGTGACCTGAGACAAGTCCCTTGCCTTCCCTGTACCTGTTCTCTGGCCAATGAAATGGGCATGGATAGGGTAGTGGTCAGCAAACTGCGGCTAGCAAGACACACGTGACTCTTCGGCTCCTTGAGTTTTTAGCAAAGGCCAGCTTAGGAGTACCCTAATTAAGTTAATAACAATGTACCTGCCTATATAGTGTAAGTTTAAATAATTTGGCTCTCAAAAGAAATTTCAATCATTGTACTGTTTATATTTGGCTCTGTTGGCTAATGAATTTGCCGACCACTGAGCTAGGGCATTTACCCAGGTGATGAGGGCCGAGTTCATCATAACGCGCTTGGAGCAGAGCAGGGCCCTTCGAAAGCACCGCGTCTACTGAGGCAGGGAATGGCCCGAGGCCACTTTCCTATGCATTTAGAGCACGTGACCCCACACCAGACACATCTCACCCGCACCGGCACCTGAACCCCCCGTTTCTGGTCAGGAATGTGGCGGGTCTTGTGTCATGCCAGCCGTGGGGCTAGAACTGCAGAGAAGGGGCACCTGGCAGCTGCATGCAGCCTTTTCTCCCTGCTCCTGTGCTGGGTCCTCCGCAGTGGCAGCCTGGCCAGGAAGGCAGATGGGGAGAGGAAGAGCGCGGGCTGCAGGCGGAGGTATGGACAGGCTCTGCGAGGCCCCCCAGGAAGAGCTGAACTCCAGGTTATGCAAGGCTGGGCAGCAGGCTCTGGAAATAGCCTCCAATGGCTCGTTGTTGGATGATCCCAATCCCCACCCGCTACGGCTGAGGCCTCGCCACCATCTGTCACCCCAGCTGGGCGCAGTCAGCGGGGCTGAGTCTGGCCCAGCTCACGGCTCAGCTGAGAGTCATCCTTTCAACGGATCAAACTGTGCTCCTTCCTTGTTCTGGAGCCAAGCCCTTGCCAACTACCCTTGTTTCAGGACTTTTCTTAACCTCCCTGCCCAGTTCACTCAAGAACAGACTTTGCCTTTTCAGTCGCCACCCACAGGAATGAGCCTCAGCATAAGCCTCTCCGGGGATCCAGCGGAACCATTCAACTCAGGCAGGATGTTGGTGACAAGTTTCAGATTTAGACTTTAGTGGTTACCAGATGGCATGTAACCTTCAGTAGATCAGGGCGTGGCTCAGTTGAGCACAGGGCATGGCTCAGTTGAGCACTGACCTATGAACTGAGTCATGGTTTGGTTCCCAGTCAGGGCACATGCCTGGGTTGTGTGTGTTGTGTGTTCGATCCTCAGTGTGGGGTGTGCAGGAGGCAGCTGATCAATGATTCTCTCTCATCATTGATGTTTCTCTTTCTCTCCCTTATGAGGGAAACGTTGGCTATTTATATTTCAACATATATATATGTTATAAAATTTTTAAAGGACAATGGTTAAGGAGTCTGTTGACCTTTGAAGGCCCTGCCCTGGCTTGGGTTTGGCCCTAACTCCCCAAATCCATCAGACCTCCCTTCAGTGCCTGCTTCTGAGATCTGCCCGAGGCTGCCCTAGGGGCACATTTCCGGGTTGCCTGATCATATTTCCCTATGGGTCATGGGGCTCCTGTAAGAACCAGTCAATTTTCACCCAGTTTTCTCCCTGCTGCACCACACCCTCCCCGCTCACAGGGGCAGGGGAGTGGGTGGATGAGCAGAGACAACACAGCCTGAGGAGGAGGAGCTGGGCTCATCCTCTAGTTAAGAGACAGCTTTCACCTGTCTCGGCTGAACGGTAAACTCGTGCTGCAGTAAAACGTAATTAATGAGCAGGAGTCGCTCCATATCAGAGATCTTTAGGGTCACCTGTGCGTGGCTGACAGTGAATCTTAAACCACGCGAGCAGCCACGCTGGTGTGCAGTGAGCAGCAGGGCTTCGCCGGGAAGCTGGAAATGCAGAATCTTGAGCCCCACCCGAGAGCTGCTGAATTGGCTGGCCCCTTAACTAAACCCCAGTGATTTGGGCTCACATTAAAGAATGAGCAGAATGTTTAAACAATGTGTCCATTTATGGGAGGGGAGTGGACTGTTCTCGGGGAAAGGGAGGGAGGAAGAGACTGAACATAAACTGTGCACCTATGGATGAGGACAATGGGGGGTGGGGAGGGGGTGGAGGGTGGGGTGGGGACCTGGTGGAAGGGGGAAGAAATGAGGAACCTTTGTAATAATATGAACAATAAAGATTGATTAAAAAAATTAAAAATAAAGAATGAGCAGAACAAAGATGAGCTCAGGTTACAGACTGCTGTTCAAAGGCGGGGAATTTCATTTCTCCTCCTCCAGCCCCCTCACCCTCATGGCCAAGTAGCCCCTGGCCAACACAAACCCCTAATCCTAAATCCTGGGCTCTCGGTCCAGCAGGCCCGCAGCTGGCAGTGAGGTCATGATGCAGCCTCACCGCCATCACCGCTATCAAGCTTAGGCTTAGGAATTTGCACGTGAAGTGCAGCCCAACCAGGCGCTCCCTTCAGAGGCTCCTTCACCTATTTTCAACGTTCCAGCCTTTGTTGGAGAATGAGTCACACTGGGGCACTGCTAAGGCTGTTCTCCAGACCGTGTCCTGGCTAGGGAATTGCCTCCCGCTTAGGGACCACAGTGGGAATTCTGGAGGATCTGTCTCACATAAATCACTTAGCAGAACTTTAGAGACTTTTCTTCCTAGGAAAAGCTTCCTGAGCTCCAGCCCAGCTAGGCCACTCTGAGGAGGAGCAGCTCAGGGTGCCTCTTGTCCTACCTCCATCGCTCTCCCACGTGCTGCCAATGAATGCCAATCGCTGAAGGGAAGGGTCGCCTAGACTAGGACCCAGGAACCGGCTTCAGAACCCCTGGTCCACGTCAGTGTTTTCTAAACTTGTCATCGTAGGACTCAGCTGTGAGTGCTCCCAGGTCTGATCCAGTCAGTGCTCCTAGGTCTGACCCAGTGCACAGAGGTTTCTGGGAGACTCAGACTTGTACCATCGGCGAGTACCCTGAATAACAGCTCCCCTTACTCCTCATTAAGAACTTATCTGTGTCAGGCAGGTGATAAGTACCTTTCATTAACTCCTTTACTCCTCACAACCTGGAAGTTAGTGAACTTGCCGAGGAGCACAGAATGATCCAGGGCCGAAGCTGGAGTTCCACCCCAGGTGCCTGGCTGCAGGCACCAATGTCAACAAGACCAAGAACAAGGGCTTGGGTTGGGCTGGGTACTCCCCGGGGAACGGTGCCAATGGCAGTCCAAAGGTGGGCATTTTCTGCCCCGAGAGGGCAGCACTCAAGGAGGCCGGGCCATTCCAGTGGCTGCCCTGCCCAGGAAGCACCATTCGGCTGGGTGCCCTGTGTGCCAGGGGAGAAACAGGCAGGCGTTCCCAGGCAGTCAGCTGGCACTCTTCCTCCTCCCCCTACAGCCAACCTGCCCCCATAAGCCAGGGGTTCATCTGGGCAGGGAGGAAACAGAGCATCTGCCTCAGCTCCCATTCCCGCCCCTCCTCGCTTCACTCCGAGACCTAAGGTCCCCAGAGCTTCCATTTCTCATTTCCCCTCGCACGCAGAGTAAGCCTTGCTCACCCAGCTCCACCCCCCCCCCCCCCCCCCCCCGGGATGAAGCCTCTGAGATTGCTCTAATGGCGACTCAAGTGATCACAAAGCCCACAGTGGGCATAGCCCTGAGCCGGACGGTATGAAAACCTCAATATTTGGCAAAATTGAGGGGTCTCAAAGGGAACAAATCAGAACTCTGGGGACAGGCCGGAGCCCAGGCCCCGGGGCAGAGGCCAATGAATACAGCAGGGCCCAATCTAATCCTAGGAGGGTGAGAACCGGCCCCTTCGCTTCCTCTGGCCAGGCGGCTGATGTGGGAGGTGGAAGTTAGGGAGGCCCGAGATTTTGGAGGTGAGGGGTGTTGGCAAAGTGACAAATTGGTCTATTTTTACTTCAAAAGACAGAAAAAACTCCAAGGAAAGCAAAATCTCTAAAGGCCAACCCTCCACCCACCCTCTCGCTCCTCTGCCTCAGAGGGTCCTACCTGCCCTGAGAGAAGGCACTAAGGGCAGGACAGGGCTGGAAGGGGACACAGGCCCTGCCACTGCGGGGTGTGGGGCCAGTGCTCCGTACTCACATCCAGTAGTGTGGCTGACTGCAATGACTCCTCACGACTGGGGGGAACTCAGGAACCCAGCCCCAGGGATCACTTCCCGGTAGCCAGCACTGGGCAGGGCAGGCCCCGGGGTGGGGCTTAGGCATTTAAAGGGCCCTCGCAGCTGCTGCTCCTTTCCTCCTCTGGGCGGCTCTCACTGCAGCTGCAGGCGCTGTCCTCATTTAACAGAACCAGCTGGCCTCACTGGAGAGACTGGGAGAGGTCAGAGGACTGGCGACAGGTGGACGGAGTTCACCTCTAACTTCCCAACCTGGGGGAAGACAATTATGCTTCCATGACTATTAGGGCTCCAGCTGCAGCCCCTCTCCTAAGAGAAGATAACTTTGTATTTTTTATTTTAGATACAGAAATTTCAGGCCAGGTCTCCAAACAGAAAACGTAACACACGCGCGCCCTCTCGCGGGCGGGGTGCTGTCGGCCCTCCTCTCTCCAGGTCTCCCAGCGCCAGGCTTAGGGCAGGATGGCCGAGGCCCCCGCAGGGACTCGCCGCAGCCTCAGGCAGCACCAGTCAGTATTTCCGCTGCCGGGGGAAGAGACTACTCCCTGAGGACCGCAGTGGGGGGCTGGCAGGGTTGGGGTCCCCCGAGTCCAGGCTGAACAGGTCCCTGCCAGTACGAAGGATCTGCTCCTCCAGCTTCTTGTGTCGCTTCATGTCCGAGAGGACTTTGTCCAGGCGGGCTTCCCGTTTCTGGCTCCGGGCGGAGCTTCCTGGAGAGGGAAGGTGAGAAATGTGGAAGGGGGTGAGGCTGCCTGCACCTGCCTGGATGCCACTAACCACCTGGGGAATCACCAGGGAAGACCCGGCAGTGCAGAGCAGCGCAAAGGCCCAGGGTGGAAGCAGGGAGATCTGTTCAAAGAGTGTGGAGAGCTGCAGTGACATGAAAGATGAAGCCAAAGAAAGGAGGTGGAGGCCCTGATAAGGGGTTTGGATCTTATTTTATTTTTATATTTTTATTGATTTCAGAGAGGAAGGAAGAGGGAGACAGAACCATCCACAATGAGAGAATCATGGATCGTCTACCTCTTGCAAATTCCCCACTGGGGATTGAGCCCATAGCCCGAGCATGTGCCCTGGACCAGAATGGAAACTGGAACCTTTCAGTTCGCAGGCCGATGCCAAACCGGCTAGGGCAGTGGTCGGCAAACTGCGGCTCAAGAGCCACATGCGGCTCTTTGACCCCTCTTCCACAAAATACCACGGCCTAGGTGAGTCTATTTTGAAGAAGTGGCATTAGAAGTTTAAGTTTAAAAAATTTGACTCTCAAAATAAATTTCAATCGTTGTGCTGTTGATATTTGGCTCTGTTGGCTAATGAGTTTGCCGGCCATGGGCTAGGGCATTTTGGATCTTATTTTATTTTATTTATTTATTTATTAAAATATATTTTATTGATTTTTTACAGAGAGAACGAAGGATAGAGAGAAACATCGATGAGAGAGAATCATGGATCAGCTGCCTCTTGCACACCTCCTACTGGGGATGTGACCGCAACCAAGGTACATGCCTGTGACCAGAATCGAACCTGGGACCTTTCAGTCCGCAGGCCGACGCTCTATCCACTGAGCCAAACCGGTTTCAATCTGGATCTTATTTTAAATGGAAATGCCTTTGGAAGCCTAGGTGGGGGTTGGATTCTCTCTCAACACGCTCTTCCCAGCAATGGAAATCTTTGGAGGATTTCAGACAGAGAAGTGGCATGATTTATGTTCTAAAAGGGTCATTCTAGTCACCCAGATTGGAGGCAGAGAGATCAGTACGGTGCTATTGCAAATATCCAGACAAGAGATGGTGGCTTGGATGAGCGGATGGTGTTGAAAGTTGTAGATGAACTTGGAATTGTGGAGGCAGAGCCACTGGACTTGCTGCTGCTGGCCTGAATGTTGCAGTAAGAGAGAAACCAAGAATGGCGCTAAGGGTAAATTCTAGGAAGGGTGAAAACTGGGTCAGGTTAGGAGACTTAGGAGACATACAGTACACAGGAATATAGGGGTGTGAACCAAGACAATAATGAATGACCAGGAAGACCTGGACTTCTGGGGAGAATGGAGAGAAAGGAAATGGGAGCCATGATGGAATTGCCTGTGGAATTCTCTTAAATGAATTTAGGGTTATCGATTTAAGCTGAAAGGATAGACCCATGTGTGCATGCGCTCCCCTGCAGCAGCAGGATGCAGAACAGCCAAGGCACCAAACGGCTTCTTTGAGAGTCACTTTTGGGGGTAAGTGGGAGCAGAAGCCCTTCACCTCCCCCACTCGCTCCTCCCCCTTGTCAGTCAGTACCTGGGGTGCGCCTTCGGTCAATCAGGGAGTCCTTTGGTGTCAGGGGCTCATCATCAAAGTCAAATTCTGTGGGCATGTGCGGCCTGAGGCAGGTGGACAAAGAGTGAAGGGTGAGGGTGGTCTCCCCAGACACACCCACTCGTGTGCTTCGCCCAGCCTGCCAGCTCTCTCTCTCTCCTGCTCTCCCCTCCCTCCGTTTTCCATGCTCCCGAGTCCCACCTCCCCCTCGCCATTTCCTCCTGGCTTCAGGGGACCGACCCAAGGACCAGGCATACGGGGGTGCCCTCACTTTTCCTCTTGCTCCTCTTTGGCCTCGGGCTCCTCGTCGGATCTCTCCTCTTCACTCTGAGCCTCGGGAGTGGGCGGCCGGCGGGGCAGGATCTCGGCCTGGAGCTCCAGGGTGCCCTGGGCCGCCAGCAGTTCATAGAGCCGCTGGATTTCGGAGGGGGGCGGCATCCAGACCTGCCCATCGGCCGGCAGCTCCACCTCCTCATCGCTGCAGGGCACGCACCAGTCCTCGGGGTCTGCCTGGGCTGGCTCTTCCCCCTCGGCGCTAGGGGCTTCTCCCTGCGCCTCCTCGACCCCAGGCCCCTCACGCTCGGCCTCCTCCCGGCCTCCTCCCCCCTCTTCCTCGCCTCTACCGGCCGAAGCCGGCGGGCCTGCGGGGTCTCCCACGGCCAGAGCCTGGAGGCCGGAGGTCACTTCCCCTTCTTCGGACAGAGGCGCCGCCGGGGTGGCCGCAACGTCTCCATGACCCCGGACAAGGGACATAAGCCCCTAAGGAAGGAGCCCTGGGGTGATGGGTGAGGCAGGAGTCCTGAGCTGGGGCCCGGTCCCCCAGGAACTGGGCTCCCCGGGGGCGTCCCTAAGGATGTCTCTCCGACCAATCAGGCTCCAGCAGCGATCCCCGCGACCGGACCGCCCGTCCCCGCGAGGGGGCGCTCAGCGTCCTCCAGGGCCCCGCCCGCGGGCGGGGGTCCGGCGCTGCGTGTTCTCGGCCTGGCCCGCCGCCGCTGCTCGCCGCACACCGCCCCCTCCGCCGCTCGGAGCGCCGCCTCGGCCGCCGTACGCACCTGAGCTCAGCCCGCCGCGGCGGGTCGCAGTACGCAGGCGCGGACGGCGGCTCCACGCTAGGGCGCTACCGGGAGGGGGCGGGGCCGCACATGCGCAGGCGGCGCTCGGGCTGAGGCTTCGCCCGCTGGAAAGATGGCGGCCGGCGCGGTGCGGTGCGCATTGGCCAGGAGGTTCACCCCAGAGGCAGCACTGGCGCACCCGGTGGCGGACCAACGTGAGGACCAACTGAGGCTGGAAGCGAGTTTCATGCAGTCTCCATTTATTGGTGTTTCAGACTCATGCAGCATCCGGCATACAAAAAGGGAGAATTAGTTTAATGTATCCTTTTTTTTTTTTTGTAGACTTTTAGTTTTGTTTTGTTTTTGGTGTTTTTAACCCCCAACCCCATAAAACAAAAAAAACCCGCTAACTCCAAACCGCGTGGTAGCTAGGTCTCTGCCTCCCTAGCGGAAGATCGCGTGCAACACACTTCCCTCCTCTTAGAAAATAGTTATTCAGCGCCCCGTCCCTCCCGCGCTCCTGGAGGCTGGTAGCTTTGGTCCTGTTTTGGGGGTTCTTTCGTTACAAAGCACGTGAGTCACCCCAGTTCTCGCCTTTAAGAAACTTGCCGACTGGGTTAAAAAGCCCAGATGGGGCAGGTCAATAAAGTAGGCCCGACCAGGGGAGGGGCAGTCGCCTCACCCCTCCCTTCTCCCCAGTGTTTGGAAGGCGCTCACCATCCTGCACAAGCCCCCAGAGGAGCCCTGGCCGGCCAGCTCTGCCACCCCGGGCACCCTGGAGGCATCCGGACCTGGGTCGTGCCAACAGAGAACAGCCCTGGGCTAGAGGGTCCTCTCCTGACATTGCTGCCCTTTCCCAGCCTGATCTAAGTGCTGGAGTTTTTGCAGAATAATCAGTGACAGCAGAAAAATCAAAGGAGAGTACCCTTAGGGGAGGAGAAGGGTGCTGGGGGGAGATGAGGCAGGAGGAGGGACAAGGTGTGGAGAGGGAGGGAGAGATGAAAAAGGAGAGAAGGAATAGAGGAATGGGGGGGGGGGGGGGTGAGATGGCAAGACAATGAAAGTTGGGGTTGAGTGGGGGAGGAGACCAGGTTGGAAGTGCAGGTAATTTGGGAGGTTTGAAGAAGTGCAAGTCGGGAGAAATGCAGGTAGGCTGAGAGCGAAGAGTCTGGGAGATGTTCAGGGAGGTTTCCGGAAGTGCAGGATGAGAGGCCAGAGGCTGGACTGGCTGCAGGCAGAAGTGCAGGAAGACTGGAAACGGTGCAGGGAGAAGGGAGGCCTACGGCTGGCAGAGGAGCCTGGCAAGATGCAGGATCAGGAAAGAAGCTGTAAACAAGGCTGCTCAGGCTCCCTTGGTCCCTATGGGTGCGGGCCTGGGCCATCGATTGGGCTCCCGGCAGGGGAGCAGGGGAGGGTGGGCCCAAGACAGCTCCCAACAGGAAGGAAAGTCTCGGAGTGCAGGGCAGAGCCCTCACTTATACACTGTGGAAGAGGAGAGGGGGGGCCGAGAGAGAGAGAGAGAGAGAGAGAGAGAGAGAGAGAGAGAGACAGTGGGTGGGGTGGGGTGGGGGAGACAAGGAGAGACAAAGGACAGGAGGGGAGACAGACAGGAGAGAGCAGGGTCAGGGGTTAGTACAGCTGCCCTTGCCAGCCCTTCCATTCCTCCCAGCCGGTCCCAGGCCCCCACTCACCGCCCAGGTTGATGACACAGGAGGCGATGATGATGAGGACCCCCCCTACCAGCGCCACGATGCTCAAGAGCTTCGCCACTCGCCCCAGACGCAGGGCCCCATCCACATCCCCCTGCTGCAGGCTGTTCCGGGACTGAGATGAGGGTGAGGAGTGGGGCATCGAGGCCAGGTCAGAGGCCAGCTCAGCACGGATCAGGCGAGAGTCATCCAGAGGAGAGAGGCCAGCCCGTGGTCAGGGAGGAAGGAGAGTCGGAGAGACAGAGGGAGGAGGGCATAGGTCAGCAAGGCTGTGTGAAATGTGCCTGGCCATCCCTCCCACCTGAAGGAGAGGGGCCATAGAGGCTCAGAGGGTGAAGCCCTGTAATTTGGAAGCCAGATCCATGCAGAGGGAAAGCCGGGCTGTCCCCGGGGCTTTGTTCCAGCGCGGGGAGTGGGGGGCCCCCGCAGGCCTGGGCCAGGGTCTCGTGGGGCTCACCATAACGGCATAAGCGAAGGCCACGATGTTGACAGGCCACATGGGGCAGAAGCAGGACAGGATGGCGAGGATGATGTAGTCGCGAGGTTTCTGGGTGCCTTCACCCCCCTCTACCCCAGATCCTGCTAGCTGGGAGCTGGGGTGGCGGCTCAGGCTGCCTCGGGGAGACCCTGGGTGCCCACTGTGAGCCCTTCCTACTCGGTCCTCCTCTACAAGCTGCTGCAGCACGCGGGGAGGAGCCCCGTTGGCCGGAGGGGCCTTTGTGGAGGGAGAGGAGTGAGGCCGGGGAGCGGGGCCCTCTTCCCCATCGCCAGCCTGCAGGGGGACCACTGCCCCATTCTCCTGCTTCCCCCCCACGCTCTCAGTCAAGACCTCAGGCGTGGGCTCCTCCTGGATGAGGGGCTCTGTCTGAAGGGCTGGCTTGGGAGTGGGCTGGGAAACTGGCTGGAGGTCCAGCTGGGGTGCGGGCTCTGAGGCTGGCTCACACAGGCCCGCAGGTTCCAGGGCTGACCCCTGGTCAGCAGTGGCCTCTTTGTTCGCTTCAGGCTTGGATGCTGGCTCTTGGCACACTTCCTTGGGCCCGGAGTTGGCCTTTGGTTCCCCTCCTGGGCTGGAGCTAAGATCTTTGGCCTGGGCTGTTTCTGGGGCCCCTGTCGGGGTCTCTGTGGTTTCTGGAGCTAGCCCAGCCTTGGGCTCTGAGTCCACAGGGTCCAGAGTGGTGTCTGGACCTGGCTGCCGGGCCTCTGGCTCCTCTGGGACCTCAGCTGGGGCCTGGGGAGGGCCAGTCCCCGCCTCAGAACGGCCAGGCCCTTCGCCCGGGGCCTGGGGACCCCCCTCTATCCCCTTTATCTCAGAGACTTCAGAGCTGCTGGCTGCCATCTTGTGATGGGAGAGGGGAGAGGGCCCCTGTGGGGAGGATGGAGCAGCAGAGACAGCGGCAAATCCTGGAAGAGGAGATCAGCTTGGTGTGAGGAGAGGAGCTCTCAGCACTGCAGCCTAAGAGGGGTATGCTCCTGTCTGGGCGCCAGCCTTGGGCTGCCTCTGGGGAGAGGAAGAAAAGTTGGGGTTTCCTTTGCCTTGGGGTGGGACATCTCCGGGGAGGAGTGCTCTGCTTGGAGAGCCCCGGGAAGATTAACCCTTTGTAAGCAGGCCCCTCCCCGTGGACTTTTCCTGGTACCCCAACAAGACCCAGCCTCCCAGGTCCTAGCGGACGTCCCAGAACCTCAAAATCAAGCTGTGCAGGCACCCTATACTCCGACAGGCAGACTAGGCAGAGGGCCCATACTCACATTCACTCCCGCATCCTCCCTACCTGGGCGCCAGTGGGTGCGGTTTTCTTGTTGCGTGTTTGGGGCGCAGATGCCCCCGCTCCTCCCAGAGGGTCCTGGGCATCTCTTCTGAGCCCCTTCTCAGCCCCTCGCCCAGGGATTCCCTTGTCCCCGGGGTGCCCCGGCGCCTCCTTCCATTGGCTCGGCGCGCCCAGCACCACCAGCCAAGAGGCCACGCGCCGTGTTCCTGTGCAGTGCAGCCCGCCCCGGCCTCTGCAGTCTGTCCCCTCCTACCCGCAGCCTCAGCCCATCCGTCTCACCTCAGCGCCGGCCTCCAGGCTGCTCCCGCTGCCGCCGGTGCAGCAGCCGCAGGCGGGGAGGAGGCGAGTCCGCGAGCGAGCAAGGGCGGGAGGCGGCGGGTCTCCCCTCCGCTCTGCTCATCCCCTCCTCTCAGGTCGCTCTGCTCTTCCCCTCTCCCGTCCCCTCCCTGCGCTCCGCTCCGCTGCCGCACGCGCTCCCCCGCCCCTCCAGGCCCGCCCAGGGGAGCCACGCGTGCCAGGCCCGCGTTACCCAGGCAACCGGCTGGGGGACCACTCGCGCCGCTCCCCGCTCCCTCCCACGCGCACCTCCTGGGGGTATCCCCTTCCCAAGTCCCGGGCCCCTCCCGCCAACGGTCACCGGGGTTCCTGGCTGAGGCAGGGGGTTGGGTGAAACGGAGAGGATCTGCGAAGAGGCAGGTCCAGGGTGAGAGGCAATACTGGGTGGACCACCCCTCGGGGCGGGAAGAGGGAAGGGGGAGAAGGCAAACTAGGGGAGGCTGCAGGGTGTGGGTCCAGGAGGGAGGCTGCAGAACCCCTCCACTTCAGGAGCAGCCGCAGAAATGGGTGCTGGGAGGCTCAAGGGTCCCTGAGAAGGAAAGCAAGGCCTGGAAGGAATTACAAGGGAGCAGGGCAGAGGCCGCAGGGCAGACTCAACAGTAGGAAGGGGCTGGGGCAGTCCCAGTGAGGACAGGGTGGATTATGGCAGGAATGAAAGGACAAAGTGCAGTTTTTTTTCTCAATCTCCCCCCCACCCCCGCGTAGCCTGAGGGTTCAGACTTCCCAACCTTTCTGCAGCTACATCATTGGCCATCATCTCAGGGCCTTAAGGATGTTAGTATTTGGCTGGATTCTAGCAACTGTTTGGGTTTCTAACCCAAGTCTCTTCAAACCTACAATAGCTGGCTATTCTGGGCTTGTCAGATTGGGTTCCCCCACTCCAATCCCTGGGAGGGAGGAGCCAGAGCTGCAGAAGGCAGAACAAGGCTGCCCCCATGGAAGCCCCTGGGGATGGGAACAGGGACTTTGGTGAGAGCAATTCAATCAAGCCAGAGCCAAGTTTTTATTTAAAATTTATTGTAATGGGATCCACGCCAAGAGGAGGGGGTGAAGGGTAGGGAACATGCAGGGGACACAGGAACACGATGACAAGGCCAGGGCCACAGCTTCTACCTTGGGGAGAGGGATAAAAAGGCCAGGGCTGGAGCTGGGGTGGAAGAGGAAAGGGGAGACGCTGCAGCTGCCTTCCTCCACCCCCAGGCAGCACCTCTAGTCCCTGGATCTCCCCATTACCCTGGCCTCCTAAAGTTCCACTCCTTGTCCTGCCTCTGGCCCAAGTAGGTCCTTTTGCTCCCCCTTGACTTGTTTTCCCCTGACAGATTCTTGAGGAGTATGCTTAGGGCCTGACCCTAAACAACCCCGCCTTATGAAGGTACAAACCTTTGCCTTCCCTGCTTCTGCCCCTTCTCAATCTCACCTTTCCCTCTCTTTAGGACAGAATCTTTGATTCCCCTCCTTTCTCTCCTCCCTCCCCCTGGAAAAAAAAAAGCACCAACTCCCCAGGGAGGGGCAGCAGACAGTGGGGGGGACCGGAAGGAGAGCAAGAAGGACCATCAAGGGAGGAGCTCACAAATCCCGGGAGGGCAGAGCAGGGGGGTACAGAGAGGAGGGGGGTGAAGGCAGTGCCGCTCGTCCTCTGTCATCCCTGCCCACTGTCCAGGGGGCTTGAACACAACCAAGGGGACAGGGGTGTGTGGGGTCAGGTCTGATAGGGAGAAGAGGAGCAGGAGAAACGAATGGTTAAAACCTAGTGAATTCCCCTAAGAAAACATCTCTTCCTCCTTTTCTTCAGGAGGCTCCTTGGGTGGTGGGGGAAGCAGTGAGGAGTTGGTGGGAAGAGAGGGGGAAAGGATACAAAGGGACTCTCCTCCATTCTCCTCTCCCCCTCACCAACTAGGAGTTCACCAAGGCTGGGAGGGAAGTGGCTGAGAGCTCACAGGCACCCCCTCGGCCCCAGAGAGGGAGCCCACAGCTGTGGGAGGGGCTGCCACTGAGGCAGCTGCCGCTGCCGCCGCCGCCGCTGCTGCTGCCGCCGCCGCCATTGGACAGACCTCACCGGTACCTGCGTGGCGAGAAACACCCGATCACAGCGCCATCTCAATGGCAAGAGCCCAGCCCTTGGCCCCAGACTCTTTCCCAGACTCCCTCCCCTGGGACACAGCCGTTGCTCACTTCCTGTTTGGTCCCCAGAGGCTTCGGCCTGCATCCTTACCCAGCTCTCCTGAAGGGCCCTCTCTGTTCCCAGAAGTCTCCCTAGCCTGAGTGACAGATGGACATCCCTGGCCTTCCTGAGATCCCCTACTGGGCCCCTTGTCCCACACACACCATCTCCCCCAAGCCATGTCCCACGCCTTGCCTGGTGGGTGCGGGGGTCCCCCTCAGCAGGTGGGCTGTGGCTGGGGGGCATCTCCTGGGACAGGGGGGGCGGCCCCCCCTAGATGGGTCTGCATGTGGCCGGCCAGCTGGGCAGGGGTCTTGCAGTGCACGCTGCACAGCTTGCACAGGATGCGGTCAGCCCGCGGGGCCTGGAGCCCGTGGTCCTTCACCGCGTGGATGCGCAGGTATGCTGCCGTGGTGAAGCCTATGGGGGGGTGGGATTGGGGGATGGGGTCAGCCAGGTGGAGACCCCAGAGACGGGGTTATTCTCCTAGGCTGGGGACACTCTCCTCAGATGGCCCTGTCCTCCTCCCACAGTCTTGGTAACCTGGGGCCAACTACTCTGCTGGGGCGGGTAGGTCACAGCCCCACCCTGAGCTTCGGACCTAGTTTAGTGTCCGCTCCTAGGCACTGGTACCCAGAACCCGTTCTCTGTAGCTGAGGGACCTCTCCTGGGGTGACAGGCCACTGATTCCTAGCTACTTGAAGGGTTGACCCTCAGTAGAGACGGCTGTGTCCCCTCCCTCCAGTGACCCATATAGTCTCAGCCCAGTTATTCAGTGAAAAAGCGAATCTTTTTAAAGCAGCTTTCTCTGCTACTGGGGCAGGGTGCGTGCTTGTTAAACTCCTGCAATGTGCTCCACTGGCCGCAGGAGCTGAAGATGAGAAACTGGCTGCACGGCTGACACCTTCTCTCTCAATCCCTGGGCCCTGGCGCTCTTGACCGTTCCTTCCCCAAACAGCATGTCCCTACCCGTCCTCCCCACGCATACCCAGAGGTGCCACCTCCTCCAGCCATGACCTCTCAGAGCTTAATGATGCTCAGTGGTCCCAGTGTGCTCCATTTGCTTCCTAGAGGGCTCTACAAGCCACGAGCTCATTACAGCACCTTTAACTCACATCTGTGAAAGGGCCTCTGGCTGTCCCCACCCATTGTCCCTGGCCCTCCCGGCATCCCTCAGCATGTACCTTTGTTGCAGAGCTCACAGACATGGTGAGGGCCCTGGCTGTGCACCTTCATGTGGTCCGAAATATAAGCCGAGCTCAGCATCTTGCCACATACGTGACATGGCACCTTCTCTTCATGTCGTACTGTGTGCGCCCTCAGCCGATCCTTCGTAGCAAAAGCTGCCTCACATTTCTGGGGAAGGGGGAGGGGTGTGGGGGGGTGTCAGGAGAGTTAAAGCTTCAGGGGGTGGGGAGAGGGGAACAAGAGGTTAAAGGAATCAGAGCCTTGGGGATCTTTGATCTGTAGGAAATGGGAGTGAGACGATGAGGCCTTGAAGAAGGGATGAGAAAATGGAGTGAAAAAGCAAAAAGAGAGAAAAAGGGGGTCTGAGAGGCTGAACTCAGACAACTACAATGAGGATCAAAATCATGAAAACCAAGACAGGAAGAGGGCTCCTACCTCACATTTGAAGGGCCGTTCTGTTGAGTGCACTTGTCTGACGTGACTGTTGAGGTGATCCGGCCTGGGGATACGTTGGGGATGGGGTTAGGCCCTGCAGTGTAGAAATGCCCCCAAACCCGCCTCACCTAGTACAAGAACCCTTGTAAAGGTCCCTGCATTTTCTCCCAAGCCCCGGGCCGGAAATCCCTCCCCTGGAGCAGGCCGCCTTGTCCACGCCACGCTTTCCAACAACCCTAAGACCCACCTCCTTGGCTAAGTACCACCCCCTGCTCCCTGGCAACCCAGAGAGATTTTCCTCCCTCCTCCCTGGGAGTGGCTCCCAGTCCCCATCCTCAGAAACCTCCCTCCCACCAGCCAAGGCCAGGCCACCTCCATCGCAGTCCCTCCCTCCCCACGGCCTAGCGCGCGGCCAAGGCCTGGGCCCCGTGCACACCGGGCCCCGCGCACACCGGGAGAAGCTCTTGCCACAGTGGGAGCAGTTGTAGGGCTTGTGCACAGCGCCGTCATGTGAGCGCACGTGGTAGCTCATGCGGTCCTTGCGCTTGAAGCGCTGTTGGCACACAGGGCACTGGTAGGGCTTCTCGTCGGAGTGCGACAGCTTGTGTCGGTTCAGATGGTAGACGTCGCGGAAGGCCTTGCCGCACATCTCACAGGCGTGGTTCTTCCGGATGCGCTTTCCCGAGGCGGTGGTGGTCACTACACCCCCGGCTCCCACCGCCGCCGCTCCGCCGCCCGCACCCGCTTCTCCCCCTCCGCCGCCGGCTCCGCTCAGTTGGGGCACGCTCAGGAGGCTCAGGGGCACCATGGTGGGCATCTTCATGGCACCCGAGGGGACCCGGCCGGCCTTGGCGCCCGTGTGGATGGCCTCGTGCCTCCGGAGGTTGTAGCCGTTCTTGAACTCCTTGGCGCACAGGGCGCAGATGTAGGGCCCCTTGCTCTTTGTCTTCTTCTCCAAGGCAGATGCAACCGAGGCCACGACCGTCGAGGTTGGGGATACGATGGCGGTGGCTGCGGCTGCGGCGATGGTGGCGGCAGAAACGGGGGGCGCAGCCTCGGCAGCGGACGCCGGCGGGGCCGGCGGAGGGGGTGCGGGCGGCTGCTTCAGAGCCGCTGTGTCCACGGTGGAAGCGGCGGCCGGGGCTGGAGGCGCTGCAGCAACGGCAGCGGCGGCGGCTGCAGCGGCAGCAGCAGCGGCGGCGGCGGCGGACTCCTGGGCGGCGGCGAGAACCGGGAGCAAGTCCACCTGGAGGGGCTCTGCCGTCGGGGCCTGGGGCGTGGGTGGGGGCGCCGGCGCGGCCTGCGGAGACAAGACACGGTGTAGGCCGCGGCCGTGGGTTGGCGCCCTCCCAGCCTGGCCCGGCGCCGCCGGCCCCTACTCACCTGGAATGGACTCTGGGCGCAGCCCTGGGAGGCAAAGAAGCGGGACTGGAGCTCAGCCCCGACCTGCAGGGGGTTCTGGGCGTGACCCTGAGGTGGCGGGAAGGAGTTCATGAGGCCGCCCACCCCCCGGGAGTCCAGGCCCAGCACGGGGAAGGGGGGCGCCAGCAGCGTGCAAGGGAACACGGGGAACATGGCCTCGGCCACGGCGGGGTCCCTGGGGCTCAGCGGGGGCCGGGGGCGCGGGCCGCGTGGGGCCTGGGCTCGGGGCGCCGCCCCCAGCCGGCCAGGCTGGGCCGCACGGAACGCATGGCCCGAGGGCCGCCCCGCCGCCCGCCCGCGCACCCCGGCCGGCGGGAGGGAGGGAAGGAGGGCGCCTGGCGGGCCACGGAGCGCAGCAGCGACGGTGGGGGCGGGAGGCCCCGCGGGGCCAGGGACCGGGGGCGGGGGCCCGGGCGGCAGCGGCGGCGGTTGGAGCCTGGCGGGCGGGGTGGGGGGAGCGAAGGAGCAGCCTCGGCCCCCGCCACGCGCGCGCCCAGCCGGCGCCTCGGGGAGGGCGGGGGAGGGCGCGAGGGAGGGAGGGGGACAGCTGCGCGCGCACCGGGCGCGCGGAGGGGGGGTGGGACGGGAGGGAGGGCGGGCGGGAGGGGGTGTGGGAAGGGGGGGTGGGGGCGGGGGAGGGGGTTGTTACCTGGAAGATGAAGCTGCTCCAGTTGCCGGGATCCATGGCGGAGGGAGGGAGGGAGGTGGCTCGTGCTCACCCTGGGGCGGGAGGAGGAGGAGGAGGCGGCGGTGGGGGAGGGGGAGCTCGGGAGGTGGTGCGCGGGGCGGGCGGGAGGGGGAGAGGAGGAGGAGGGTGGGGGGAGCGGAGCACACTGCGCGCGGGGAGGGCGGGCGGGGGGCGCGAGGACACACAAGAGGCTGGAGCGGGCGCGAGCTCGAGCGCGCGCGGGGCGGCGGGAGGGGGAGGTCGGAGAGGGACTCTGCGGGAGGAGGGACCCGAGGAGCCGCCCAGCAGCCCGAGCCGTCCCCAGCGTGAGACCCCTGAGACGGCCGCTGATTGGCTGGTGACGGCGCAGGTGGTGGGCGCGCGGGAGACGGTGGCCGCTCTCCCCCCACTTAAAAGAGTGTGCCCCCCCTCCACCGGCGGCGGCCGTTATTTCGCGCGCACGCGCACAAAACCGCTGTCGAGGAGCGGGCGGAAAGGGGAGCGCGCGCCAGGGGCACGGATGGGCGGAGCTAAACTCAAAGCGCGCGCCCGCCTAACGGTTGTTGTCCTCAGGCTTCGGCTTCGGTTTTTTGTTTCCAATGGGCCACCGTCCCTTCCTGCTCCAAGTTTACTCACAAACCTGTGCTGCTTCATGTTTTCCCAAAGATGGCGCCCCAAAAAGTTACAGCAGAGCTTGTGGCCGTCCCAAGGGCAACTATACCGGCCCCACCCCCATAGCCTCAAGAACCAGGCTGAAGCAACGGAGTTAAAATTGTATTTATACAAGAAGCGGTTATACAACGACTGGAAAGGAAAAAAAAAAAAAAAAAAAAAGGCAAAGTGACGAGAGGAGTTGGCGGTCAGGAGGGGCTGCCGTACTGGCCCGCGGCGAGGCCCAAGATGTTCGCCTGCAACAGGAGGGAAGGAAAAACAGCGTTAGAGCCGGGGGCAGGGCACAGGCCGGGGAGGGCGCCGGGCTAAGCCTTGGGCTCACCTTCAGGAAAGACTCCAGCTGTTTCCCTGACATGACCTTCACACGTTCCAAGTCCTCCACCTGGCAGGACAACAGCCATGGGCAAGTGGTCTAGGGCGTACCAGGTTCCTTCCCCCTAACCCACCCAACTCCATTCCAGTGCTGCCCTCCCTGGGCCATTACCTGGCTGAAGGGGCCATGGAGCTCCCTCCAGCCCACGATGAGCTGGGCCTTCTTTTGGCCAATGCGCTGTAAGCTGCGCAGGTCCCGGGCTGAGCCCTCATTCAGCATATCTAATATTTTTTGGCGCCCTTGGGCCAGTAGCTCTGGACTGATCTGTAGCTCCCAGCAGTCCTCAGCCTTTTCCTTGGACTCTGTGGCATCCAGGCCCTCCAACTGTGAGGTAGGGAAAGGTGAATGACAAAAACAGCAGTTTGCTGCTCAGACCACTGCAGGCTTTGGACTCCTCTGCCAAGGATAGCAGCCTAACAGCAACTACCTTCCCCGCCCTCTCCAGCCTCTTTCCCTCCAGTCAAATGTCTGACCAAGAACTTTTCCCTCTGGTCACTGATCTTATCCTCATTTTATTCAACTTGTGAAAGAATGGTTAATAGAATCGCTGTGAAGGTCAAATGAGTCAATGAACATAAAGCACATAGAGGGGCCAGATTTCTAAAAAAGAATCAGCTTTTCACCGCTAGGAAAGCACATAGAAGGTAATAAGTGGCATCTCCCCCAACCATCTCCGTTTTTAGGTAGTTCTTCACTGTTGTTTCGTTTTTCCCATGTTTAAGTCATTGTTTCCCTACATGGGCTCGTACTTTTATAGAAGGCAGGACCAGGGATACATACATATCATACTAGCTAAGTAGTTACTGAGTGTGAGAGCTTTCAGGAAAGAAGGTAAGTAAAAATAATAGAAAACCACTCTGCTAAGTACATGTATAACACTACAATCCATCCTAAATGTCCTGTGAATTACTTCTGTATTTAGACCATAAGCAACTTGGAAGAGTTGTAAATAGCTGATAAATGTTCTGACAGGTCATGTGATTCCATGGTCATTGCTCTCCCATTACAGGTTACTCCCTCCCTTACTTCCAGGCTCTAAGTATAACCTAAGCCTCCAGCTACTCTGACCTTTCTCTTGCGGCTTTTCTTCTTCAGGATATGGATGCTAGCATTTGGGGATGCTGCCTGCTCCTGAACTGAAAGAAAGAAGTGGAGTCATTACAGAAGCTACTTTTCACCCTCCCCGATAGCCACTTGGTTCTCCCATTTCCGATTCCCCAGTTCCCCTCCACCCCAAGTTAAGCTCTTCTTTTGTTGTGTTTCCACATGACATTTCTTAGGCCAGTATTTGAAAGTGATCTCAGCTGGTCTTGTATGATAATCCATCATGCATTTGTCAGTCTACCCCATGGTACTAAATGCCTGCGAGCAGAGAATCAGATCTATTTCAGACCCTCCTCATACTGTTCCAAACCCTCCTCCCTCCTGAAATCGGTTATCTGTGTCCTTCTGGCTGGCCCCCAAAACCAAACTTACTCAATTGTAGGGGGAGCACCACAGCCTTTTTGAGGGGCTTCGCCACTGTGACTGTGCGGCGGGCAAGAGGTCGGGGCATTGTGGGAGAGCAATTCTCTTTCTCTTTTGGGTCCACAGTTTCCTGGGCCCGCACCTTGGCTTCCAGTTCTTTTTGCTTCAACTTAAGCCTCTGTTGGGAAAGGATAAGGGAGAGATGTGACCCAGAACCAACTTTAGGGCAACCTGAAGGAGTGGATTAAGAAAGTGAGTCTGCAGGGCTCCAAGGCTCTAGAGCAGTGGTCGCCGACCGGTGGTCTGTGAGGTCTGAAAGGTTGGCGACTGCTGCCCTAGAGGGCAGGGTGAGGGCCAATGGAAGCTACCAGGAGACAACTGGAGCCCAATTAAGGGCTTTCTAATGATTAGGGCTGCCCAGAGATGGAGCAAGCCTTTTTAAAATACTAAAAGGAGGGAACTATTCAAGCAGAGTTCTACTTTGATTAATAGATTTTCCAAAATGGCAACATCTTACATTTTTCCCTTTTATTTTTTGTCCCTTTTATTTTTAAAAAAATATTTTGATTGATTTGAGAGAGGAAGGGAAAGGGAGAAAAACATTAGTGAGGAGAATCACTGATTGGCTGCCTCCTGCATGCCCCCCTAGTGGGGATCGAACCTGCAACCTAGGCATGTGTCCTTGACTGGACTTGAACCAGGGACCCTTCAGTCTGCAGGCCAAAGCTCTATTCACTGAGCCAAACCAGCTAGGACCATTTGTTCCTTTTCCCTGTAATTCCCTCTCCCATCCCCCTCCCACACACATCTGATCTCAATCATTTTTCAAACCTAAGCCATGCTAAAAAACATCCAAACAGAAGCTGAAAAACGGAAGGACTCAGGTGGTGGGTGAAAACTGGATGCTAGTTCTAGCCTTTCAGCGTCCTTCCTTATCTGAAGATCCTCAGATTGCTTCTCAAGGGAAACAGGGATCCCAGCCCCACCTTTCTAACACTTACTTCAATCTCCAAATCCTTCTCCTCCACGGTCTTCATGAGCACCATTCGCTCTCGCTTTGGGGTGCTCAGCAGAGGAGTTCCCTGGGTCCCCCGGGAGCCCAGCAGACGGTCCAAGCTCAGGAGGCGCTCTAGCATGGCTGGGTCCATGCTACTTAGCTTCTGTAGGGAGCTGAGCAGACAAAGAGGTTACTCCCCGCCTACTTCTCTCATCACCCTCTGCAGCAGCAGAATTCTCAATGTGCTTTAACTTGGTGTTCTATGTGGTTTCAGAACTCTGGTGTTAACTTGTTGGATAATTGAGCAAATCATCCAAACTCTCTGTGTACAGTATGGAGATAGATCACTATCTCTCAGAAATACCAGATCAGAGGAAAACAAGCTTTTTAAAAATATTTTATTGATTTCAGAGAGAGGAAGGGAGAGGGAGAGATAGAAACATCAATGATGAAAAAAAATGATGAGAAAGAATCACTAATCAGCTGCCTCTTGCACACCCCATCCTGGGGAACCAAGTCCACAACTTGGGTATGTGGCCTGCCAGGAATTGAACTATAACCTCCTGGCTCATGGGTCAGTGATCAACCACTGAGCCACACCAGCTGGGCAAGAACAAGCGTTTAATGAACACAGGAATTTGGAGCCTATGTGCCTATCCATTTGGAGGAGCAGTCAGGGAAGCTTCAGAGGAAGTCCTCTCCAACAGGGCTCTGAAAGCCACTGAAGACCTCAAATGTCGAGGCTTTCTCCTGAGGGCAGCAGGAAAGGCCTATTAAGTACAGTCCTGAGCATTACAATGACTACCATCTGTCCCTTCTGTCTGAATTTTCCCCTCACATCCGATCTCAATTGTCATTCAAAGTGAACTTGAAGCCACCTCTCTCATGACGCCCAACTTGATTGTGCATCTTCTTTCCTACACTGAACTAGCTCCTCAGCGACAGGGATTGCCCTGTTCTGTGTGTACGATTACCTAGAAGAACAGGATCAGGAGATATGGATGCATGTTAGAAGCCATTCCTTCCTTCCTAGCTCTCACAGAACAAGCAACTTCTCCATGCTTACTATGCTCTGTACTACCTTCTCATACCACGTACTGATAATCCCGCCTGATTTCCTCTACTAAAATGTGAGCCCTCTGAGGTCAGGGTGTGCTAGGTCTGATGTGTCCCATCGCTGTGCTCATCCTTAGAATGCCTACTTGGCAGAGACCTTGCCTGTTCACATGTGATACAGATGTGCAAGTATATATGTTTCTGAGTTTGTGCACATAGAAGAGGAGACTTTTGACAAATGGCTTGAGAAGACAAGATTGAGAGATGTGTTTCTGAATGAACAAGCACATTTTTCCTTTTTTTTTTTTTTTTTTTTTTTTTTAGAGTGGAAGGGAGGGGGAGAAACATCAATGTGAAAGAGTCACATCAATTGGTTACCTCCTGCATAGACCCCAACTAGTGCCAGGAGATTGAGCCTGCAACCGAGGTACATGCCTTTGACCAGAATTGAACTCAGGACTTTTCTGTCCATGGGCCAACGCTCTATCCACTGAGCCAAACTAGCTAGAGCAAGCACATTTTTATGTATGTCATCCTTCCTCAGCTACAACAGCCCCCTGGGGCACTAATCCTTGGCCTCCTTACTTACTTCTGTTCGGTACAAGTTTAGAGGGGGCTCAGAAGAAACAGCAATATTAAAACTGCAACTGGCTCCTTGGAGTTAGGAGGTAAGGTGGCGAGACATAGAAAGCAAGGCCCATGAAACAAAGGTGACCTGAGGCCTAGTGCATACTGGCCCACAAGGGTATCAGAACTGGGGGCTGGGGAGGGAACATCCACAGAAGAGACTCAGTTTAGAGAAGCTTCGTTTGGAGTGAGGGTAGAAGCAGGGGAATGCTATGACAACAACCGGCTCCTTGGAGAGTCATGAAGAGACTGGACTCTAGCACAGACTGAGGTCTCAGCGAGACTCAGCTCTTCATCTCTGTCTCCTTTGCTTTGCTCTAGTCCTCTGGACCTAAAAAGACCTGATCCAGATTACTCCTTGAGCCAGAAGCCAAAGTACCTGTCCTTGAAACAGCTGCCCCCAAATATGATGTTTTTGCGGAAAGGGAGGGGAAAGGTGCTCAAACAGGAAGCCTCTGGAGGACCCAGGCAGAAGCACCAGAGGAACAGGTTCACAGATCAAGGGTCTGATGGGCTCAACTCACTGCTGCTCTGCACCCAACCAGACACAATAGGAAAGGGAGTATGCCCAAGGTCTCCCCATCTGCTCACCTGAATTTCTGAGAAGCAGAGGCTGGAGGTGCCAGGGGCTCAGGATTCTCAACCTCCTCTTCCTCAGGGCCTCGGGCTCTCTTTGCCTCTGAAGGGCCTACCAGTTCTTTCTGAGACAGTTTCACAGGTGCCAAGACTAGGAAAATGGGGTGGGGGGTATGTCAGCCTCTGTGCTACTGCTTGGTGGATTTAACAAACCCCCAATTGTCCAGACCGGCCTTTCCACTCCTGCCAACCCCTGTCCTCACCATTAGGCTGTAAGCTCTCATTGGTAAAAGGTCGGTTGATCACCTCCTTGGACCTGGCAGCAAAATTGAGTGCAGAGACTGTGTCTAGGTAGAAGCATCTCTCGGGAGCAATGTTGGCAATGAGGATGCTGTGGGCTGAGCCACCCAGAGAGTCCTGAGGGATGGGGATTGGGCAGGATGGACTGGTCAGAAAGCCCCATGTTTCCATCTCTTGCCTGTTGTTTCTCAAACCCCCAGGAGGCCCAGGACCCACCCTGCCCTGATATGGGCAGCCTGACCTGCAAGAGGCGGGTGAGCTTGCTGTCCCGGTAAGGCACGCGTGGGAGGCCCTGGTTCAGCGCATCCACCACCTTGCCCAATACGAAGAGCGAGGAGTTGATGGCTCCACTCTCCTTCAGCCTCAGGCCTTTGTTGCCTGTACGCCGGTTGTCCTCTGAGCCAGCCAAGTCAATCAGGTAGAGCTTCCCCTCCCGCTGACGGAATGGGGCCAAGCGTTCCCGCTGATCCACCTGGGAAAAGACCAGGGCCCCAGCTTAGCTCCGACCGAAGGGGCTTCCCGCGTCCTCACCCATCAGCGGGCCTCACCTTCACCAGGAGCACAGCGTGACTGCGGGAGGAGCGCTGGTTGAGCCGAGTGGGTCCTACCGTCCGATTTCGACTGGCCGGCAGGAAGTGCTGCTCAAAGTCGGCAAAGCTAGTGATGGGCTTCTGCGTGAGGCCCGGAATCAGTATGTTTCCTCGACAGTCTTCTCGGATCACCAGGTCTCCAGATGCAGGGTTTAGGAGGTCTATCACCTATTGGAGCAGTGAGAGAGAGAGGGGGCCAATTTTCTAGACACACACAGCTCACTCTCTGCAGGATTCTCAAAGTTGTACCATCTGCTACCCCAACCACTCTCCAGGTGTTTGTTTGTTTTTAAAATATTTTTTTATTGATTTTAGAGAGAGGAAGGGAGAGGGAGAGATAGAAACATCAATGATGAGAGAGAATCATTGATCAGCTGCCTCCTGCATGCCCCACACTGGGGATTGAGCCCGCAACCCAGGCATGTGCCCCGACTGAGAATCAAACTGTGACCTCCTGGCCGAGACCGGTTTGGCTCAGCAGATGGAGCGTCGGCCTGCGGACTGAAGGGTCTTGGGTTCAATTCCGGTCAAGGGCATGTACCTTGGTTGTGGGCACATCCCCAGTGGGGGGTTGTGCAAGAGGCAGCTGATCGATGATTCTCTCTCATCGATGTTGCTAACTCTCTATCCCTCTCTCTTTCTCTCTGTAAAAAATCAATAAAATATATTTTAAAAAAACAAAACAAAACAAAACAAAAAAACTGTGACCTCCTGGTTCATAGGTCGACATTCAACCACTGAGCCACACCAGCTGGGCTCTTTCCAGGTTTTAAAAATATATATTTTATTGATTTTTTACAGAGAGTAAGGGAGAGGAATAGAGAGTTAGAAACATCAATGAGAGAGAAACATTGATCAGCTGCCTCCTGTACACATAACCTCCCCTCCTCCTCCCCGTGGAGATGTGCCCACAACCAAGATACATGCCCTTGACCATAATTGAACCTGGGACCCCTCAGTCCGCAGGCGGACACTCTACCCACTGAGCCAAACCGGTTAGGGTTCTTTCCAGGTTTAAAGTCCTTGATACAGCAAAACTTATGTTCTAGAACTAAGTTTCACTTGGACCCTTTCTCTCTCTCCTCCCCAACCAGAGCAGGGCCTCACCTTTTCCTGGTAGATCTCTAAGTAGGACATAGTGACAGAGAGAGCCCAGGGCCGGCCCTCGGCGCCCTCCTCCCTGGTGAGCTGTAGGAGGTCCATGAGAGCCCGGGGAATCACTCCAGGCTGCTCTGGGCTGCCCAGCATTGTGTGCGTCTTCCCTGGGAAAGAATGAGAGAGCTGTGAGATTTCCCACCCCACTCCGAAGCCCTCTCTAACCCATAGCTGTTCCTCATCTGGCTTCCTCACCTGCCCCTGTGGGCCCATAGGCAAGCACACTGGCATTTTGCCCTTCCAGCAAATGCCTTAGGATGGGCTGCACTGATCCTGCATAGATGTCCTGCTGAGAACTCCCCTCTCCATAGAAGGCATCAAACCTGCAGGCAGGAAGAACGGAGGGAATTAATGGACAGTTCCAATCTCACCCAGACCTAGAGGATAATACTGGCCTTAGATTTAAAGTCTATCCCTTTCTCATACAAAGACCCTTGAAAGCACCAGCTGAACACCTATTTCCTCCCAGTCCCTGTACTGATGTCAGGAATATAGAGATGAATCTGATGCCTCTGTTCTTGGGAGTTCTGCAGTCTGGTGAGATGGACACACACACACACACACACACACACACACACACACACACAGAAAAAAAGCCCAGATAGTAAATATAGGCTTTGTGGGCCATATGTTCCTTTCACAAGTACTCTATCCTTACACTGGAAAACAGCTTTAGACAATCCTATATAATAAAAGCCTAATATGCAAATAGACTGAATGCCAGGCCAGCCAAGGCAGGTGCCAGTGGGCAGAGAGGCGACCGGCAGGGGTGGCGGGTCGATTGGGGGGTGGGGCCGACCTGACCCCCAATCGGAGGAGGAGCTGAAGCAGGGAGCACAGTGGGCAGCAGCTCAGCTGGAGTTGTGGCGGCGATAAAGGCAGCAGTGTGTACACTGTAGCCTCCCAAACCCCGAGTTCTGGTGGGGGGCAGCAGCAGGGAGCCCTGGCAGGTCCAGCCACTGCACCTCCATCTCCCCAGCTGCTATGGCCGCACCCGGGGACTGCCAGCATGGCTGTGCCGCCCGATCCCCAAGAAGAGCTGCTGCCCTGGCTGGCCTCAGGTCCCAGTGGTTTGCGGACCATGAGGAAGGGGAGGACGAAACAGCGACGCCCAAGGCCAGCACCGCAGGCAGGGGAGTCCCGCCAGGCGCTGGGTGTTGGGGCCGGGAAAGCAGCGCCCCTGGAACTGGGCTTGAACTCTGCCCACTGCTGCTCGTTGCCATGAGAACTGCATCCATAGGTAAGATAGCTGGGCACCGCAGCCCTGCAAATGATGTTGGAACCTGGTCCTCAGACTGCCCCCTCCATGTAGTGCGCCTCTGCACCTTCCTTGAGTTCCCCACCTTGAGCACCAATCTCCTCCCAGCCCCCCAACACACCCCATGCCCGTGCACGAATTTTGTATGTCAGGTCTCTAGTCTATGTATATATAGAAAGCTAATATGCTAAGTATCCAACTGTTTGACCGGTAGCTCTGATGAGCACTGACCACCAGGAAGCAGACCACACGGACATGGAAACATGGAACAGACTGATGAATCTCAAAGGGGGGAGTGGGGGAAGGGCAGGAAGAGATTAACCAAAGATCTTATATGCACACTAGATATTATATCTGTACTAGGGTCCCTCGGCCTGGCCTATGCCCTCTTGCAATCCAAGACCCCTAGGGGGATATCAGACTGCTGGTTTCGACCCAATCCCACAGGCCAGGCTGAGGGGCCTCACCGGTATGTAAATAGTATGTAAATAAATGAGCATGGCTATGTCCTGATTAAGTTTTATTATAAAGAAGACTCCTGGTCAAACTCCTGCAGGCTGTAGTTTATCACCTTCTGGCCTAGGGTGACAGGGCAAGGAGTCGGAGAGGGATGGACAGAAGAATGCCTGAACCTTACTGGTATTTGAGAGTCTCCTGGTGGTTCCTCCAGTTGGCAATCTCTAGAGAATAGCTGTCCAGGCCCCGTACACAGGGGGTGTCATTTGCTCCAGATGTTCCATCTACAAATGGCCTCAGTCGCACAGCCACCCTTACTCGAGCTGGAGGCGGGCGCCGGACAGTTCCCACCTTGCTTAGGCGACAGCGACCAGCTCCTGGAGGAGAGAAGAGCCGTTTCAGCATGAAGTATGGTACTGCACAGAGGAAGCAGGGGCCAGCTTTGCTGAGAGGTAACGGTAGGAGTGTTAGAGGAGGAGGCATCTGGTACAGCTGAGCTCTGAAGGATGAATAGGAGCTTGCCAAGCATTCCAGGTAGAAGGAATGGCATGTGCAAAAAGCATAGAGGTTTGAAAGCTTGAGACCTTTGGAGAGCTGGTGAGGCAGGATGGAAGAAAAAAAGAAGAATCAAATATACGGTTTCAGGCAGAGCATGGTGGGGAGATTGGAGGTGAGAAATTATATACGGGTCAGGGACTATCGTGTACTCAGCCAGCATTAACATTTATTAAGCACTGACTACATGCCAGACACATATGGTGTTCCTGAAAGATAGTCCCATTTTATCAATGAAGCTCGTAGAGGTGTAGCAGCTCCTGTGTACTTTATACCTGGGGCCATGTGATAATAACTTTATATCACAGCCTATACTATAGCACTGTCCTTTGTGCTCTTCAACAGAGGAAGCAGCAGAGCCTAAAAGCAAAACAAATCCAGTATCTGAGAAGAGGAGAGACCTCCATAACCAAGGACACGGAAGAAGGCCTGCAGGCTCAAGCCTTGGGTTTACTTATTGAAGGGCCAGTGGCCACAGCTCATTTTGGGAGAAGTCCTTTTCTACCTTGGCCCTGCTGTGGATGGCCCCAAATTTGGCCTCAGTTCCTTCCATCCTCGGTTGGTCTGCACACCAAAGGGCCTCGGGTTCAATTCCCGGTCAAGGGTACATATGTGGGTTGCAGGTTCAATCCCTGGGCCCGGTTGGGGTACATTCTGGAGGCATCTAATCTCTCTCTCTCTCTCTCTCTCTCTCTCTCTCTCTCTCTCTCTCTCTCTCTCTCTCTCTCTCTCTCTCCCCTTTTCCCTCCCTCTCTCCATCCCTCCCTTTCTTCTACTCTCTCTCTCAAAAAAAAAAAAAAAAAAAAAAGCAAAAAAAAAAAAGCAATGGATAAAATATCAAGGGGGAAATAAAATACAGATTTAGCTCCAATGCCTGGGGCGATGCCTGAGATTCTGCATTTTTAGCAAACTTCCAAATGCTGCTACTACTGCGGCACACTTTGAATTGACAGGGTTGTCCTAAGGATTAAGAACACATTTGCTCACCTAAAACCATTCTTACACACACACACACACACACACACACACCAAACTTAATGATTGCCTTCTCTTGATGGGATTTTATACAGGTTTATTTTCTATGTACCCAGTCCTATAATGCTGTAGTGTATGTTTTTTTTTGTTTGTCTTTTTGTTTTTGTTTTTTTAAAGAATGGCACTGTGGACATCTTTGTTTGGAAGGGATGTGGTTGAGAGGCAGCCCTTAGTCTCTTTTTGTCCCAGTTCAGATTACAAAAGGCACTGACATGCAATCCTTCTCTACATTGTTTAGTATGCTTTCAGTAATTCAATCTAAGTCATTACAAAAAACATTGAGGATCATTAGAAAACAGGTAAATATAAAACTGAAAAACACCCCTTTTTGTGAGGATTGAATGAGCTAAAGAATAAAATCTTATGAGGAGGGTATTTCTCTAATTTATGTTGGAGGATATCATACTGTAACAGCAAAATTCTAACCTGGATATCTTCACCTCCAAAAACCTGCTTTTAATGAGGATGTCATATTGCCTCTATTGTCTACCAATTCGGAAAGTTCTTGGCAGTTCTGAATCCTTTTTGCTGGTAACAGGGAGCCAGAGGCCTCATATAAGGCAAGAGGCTGGCATGTGTTGGCCAGAACAGAAACAGCAAGACAAAAAGGTGGACACACTACCCCTAAAAAAAATCTTTTTTTAAAAATTGATTTTAGAGAGGAAAGGACAGGGAGAGAGAAACATCAGTGATTGGCTACCTCCTACACAACCCCTACTGGGGTTGAGCCTGCAACCTGGGCATGTCCACCTGGTTCATAGGTCGACACTCAATCATTGAGCCACACTGGCCAGGCTAGAAAGCATCTTATGCATAAGTACGACTTACCCATAAGCAGGTAGCCTATTTCATTTCAAAACTAGGCCTCTGTCCCTTCACCTGACAAATGAAGCTAATTGCACCATTTCTCAATTTATGGTTTACCAAGCACATGTAGTTTTATTTCATTTAATTTTTTAAATCTTTATTGTTGAAAGTATTACAATATGGTCCCCCTTTTCCTCTATTGACATCTTCTAGCTAAGCACATGTAGTTTTAATTTGATCCTCGTGGCAATCCTGAAAGTCAGCAACAAGTAGAAATTAAATTTTCAATTAGCTTGTGAACCGGATTAAATGACAACATCCATTTGCCCCAGTTTCCTTGTCTATAAAAGGGTGTGGGGTGGGCCTTGGAAGGGCTTAATGAGAATTAAATGAAGTAACATATAAAATTCCAATGCAATAACTAGCATACAGCAGGTAGATTCATTATTCAAGGTAAGGCAGCCTGTGTTCAAATCTCAACTCTACCACTTACAATTAACTGACCTAAAGAAATAATTATCTATTCCTGTGCCTTAATTTCCACACCTGTAAAATGGGAATAAATAAAAATATCTACTCTTTGGGTTATTAAGGCAACAAATAAGGTAATTCATGTAAAAGTACTTGGTTCTTGGTAAAAGCTCAGTAAGTGTTTTATATTTATCCCCCATTTTTATTTTTAAAATACATTTTATTGATTTTTTACAGAAAGGAAGGGAGAGGGATAGAGAGTTAGAAACATCGATGAGAGAGAAACGTCTATCAGCTGCCTCCTATACAATCCCTACTGGGGATGTGCCCACAACCAAGGTACATGCCCTTGACTGGAATCGAACTTGGGACCCTTCAGTCCGTAGGCTGACGCTCTATCCACTGGGCATACCCCCCATTTTTCAATTAAGCAAACATCAATAGAGGTTAGCTAACTTGCCCATGTCAACAGCTAGTTAGTGACAGAGGAAACTTCAAAGAAAGGTCAAAT